TGACAAAGCACAGGTACAAACACAAACCGTGACAAAGCACAGGTACAAACACAAACCGTGACAAAGCACAGGTACAAACACAAACCGTGACAAAGCACAGGTACAAACACAAACCGTGACAAAGCACAGGTACAAACACAAACCGTGACAAAGCACAGGTACAAACACAAACCGTGACAAAGCACAGGTACAAACACAAACCGTGACAAAGCACAGGTACAAACACAAACCGTGACACACACACACACACACACACACACAGTGACAAAGCACAGGTACAAACACAAACCGTGACAAAGCACAGGTACAAACACAAACCGTGACAAAGCACAGGTACAAACACAAACCGTGACAAAGCACAGGTACAAACACAAACCGTGACAAAGCACAGGTACAAACACAAACCGTGACAAAGCACAGGTACAAACACAAACCGTGACAAAGCACAGGTACAAACACAAACCGTGACAAAGCACAGGTACAAACACAAACCGTGACAAAGCACAGGTACAAACACAAACCGTGACAAAGCACAGGTACAAACACAAACCGTGACAAAGCACAGGTACAAACACAAACCGTGACACAGCACAGGTACAAACACAAACCGTGACACAGCACAGGTACAAACACAAACCGTGACAAAGCACAGGTACAAACACAAACCGTGACAAAGCACAGGTACAAACACAAACCGTGACAAAGCACAGGTACAAACACAAACCGTGACAAAGCACAGGTACAAACACAAACCGTGACAAAGCACAGGTACAAACACAAACCGTGACACAGCACAGGTACAAACACAAACCGTGACAAAGCACAGGTACAAACACAAACCGTGACAAAGCACAGGTACAAACACAAACCGTGACAAAGCACAGGTACAAACACAAACCGTGACAAAGCACAGGTACAAACACAAACCGTGACAAAGCACAGGTACAAACACAAACCGTGACAAAGCACAGGTACAAACACAAACCGTGACAAAGCACAGGTACAAACACAAACCGTGACAAAGCACAGGTACAAACACAAACCGTGACAAAGCACAGGTACAAACACAAACCGTGACAAAGCACAGGTACAAACACAAACCGTGACAAAGCACAGGTACAAACACAAACCGTGACAAAGCACAGGTACAAACACAAACCGTGACAAAGCACAGGTACAAACACAAACCGTGACAAAGCACAGGTACAAACACAAACCGTGACAAAGCACAGGTACAAACACAAACCGTGACAAAGCACAGGTACAAACACAAACCGTGCCAAAGCACAGGTACAAACACAAACCGTGACAAAGCACAGGTACAAACACAAACCGTGCCAAAGCACAGGTACAAACACAAACCGTGACAAAGCACAGGTACAAACACAAACCGTGACACACACACACAGGTACAAACACAAACCGTGACAAAGCACAGGTACAAACACAAACCGTGACAAAGCACAGGTACAAACACAAACCGTGACAAAGCACAGGTACAAACACAAACCGTGACAAAGCACAGGTACAAACACAAACCGTGACAAAGCACAGGTACAAACACAAACCGTGACAAAGCACAGGTACAAACACAAACCGTGACAAAGCACAGGTACAAACACAAACCGTGACAAAGCACAGGTACAAACACAAACCGTGACACACACACACACACACACACACACAGTGACAAAGCACAGGTACAAACACAAACCGTGACAAAGCACAGGTACAAACACAAACCGTGACAAAGCACAGGTACAAACACAAACCGTGACAAAGCACAGGTACAAACACAAACCGTGACAAAGCACAGGTACAAACACAAACCGTGACAAAGCACAGGTACAAACACAAACCGTGACAAAGCACAGGTACAAACACAAACCGTGACAAAGCACAGGTACAAACACAAACCGTGACAAAGCACAGGTACAAACACAAACCGTGACAAAGCACAGGTACAAACACAAACCGTGACAAAGCACAGGTACAAACACAAACCGTGACACAGCACAGGTACAAACACAAACCGTGACACAGCACAGGTACAAACACAAACCGTGACAAAGCACAGGTACAAACACAAACCGTGACAAAGCACAGGTACAAACACAAACCGTGACAAAGCACAGGTACAAACACAAACCGTGACAAAGCACAGGTACAAACACAAACCGTGACAAAGCACAGGTACAAACACAAACCGTGACACAGCACAGGTACAAACACAAACCGTGACAAAGCACAGGTACAAACACAAACCGTGACAAAGCACAGGTACAAACACAAACCGTGACAAAGCACAGGTACAAACACAAACCGTGACAAAGCACAGGTACAAACACAAACCGTGACAAAGCACAGGTACAAACACAAACCGTGACAAAGCACACACACACGGTACTTACTGTACTGTACTTGCTCACTGCCAAAACTGGTCACGTGGGTATCTCCGGGAGTGGAGAAAGAGACTCAAAAGGAATCTTGGAAAGATAGTCATGACTCAATTGGCTATTGAACTGCCCAACGGCTGACACGCCCTGAAATCCCAAACTCTGGGTGGACTTGGACATGATCCTACTGACAGGCTCACCACACCTCAGTAAGTGGGTGAGGACAAGGTGCAGAAAAAGGATTGATGGCATCAGGGTATCCGTCCTGGGATCCAACTGCAGTTACGCCTGCCCCCCAGTGAAGACAACACTTGCTACTAGTGTGGGTGGATAAATCAGAGTGGATCTGATATAAGTTTCACTAGCACCATTGATTACACACGAGTTAATCTAGCTAGAAGCAGTCCATGGTTAACAGGTATGTATACTTCAAATAGAAAATATACACACGCACGCACGCACACACACACACACACACACACACACACACACACACACACACACACACACACACACACACACATTCATAATAGCACGTGGAGGGCAGTCCTAAAACCAGTGGCACACAGGTGTCCAACTCCATTTGCCACTTCCACACTCCCATTGCGCTCCTTACTTATGGATAGTGGATTGACACTGATAGAAGTTAGAGTACAATGATATATCAAATCTAAACCTCAGGGTAGTATACAACGTCCGAGTAACAAAACATAATGCCGACCTTCTACTACAAGCCTTGAAACATCACATCCCGGCTCTCCAACATGAATGGGTCCACACCATAAGTACTGGCGGTTGTGTCCAGGTCCTCGCCGTGGATATTGCCGGTGCGTTTGACCGGGTATCGCACACAGGAGTGCTGTACAAAGCAAAGCAGGCCGGCGTCGACGGACGCCTGCTTGTACTTCGAAGTAAGGCTACAGGACCACCTCACCAACCGAAACATCCGCTTTGTGGTTGGAGGCCAGACGTCAGATGCTCAACCCATCCAGGCTGGTGTCCCCCAAGGCAGCATCCTAGGACCCAGCCTCTTCCTTCTATATACCTGTGACATTGAACAATGTTTAACTCCAGGAACGCAGTTGAGCAGCTTTGCAGACGACACCACACTCTACAGCTTAGTACAGCCAACTGACGATCTCCAACAGTCCACTGCCTCCCTCCAAGGGTCCCTCAACAGTCTTGAGGAGTGGGGCCGCAAGTGGCGTATCTGTTTTGAGCCAGCCAAGACACAGCGCATGACTCTACATCGCAAGCACGTTCCCCCCTGCACTCCACCAGTCACCTTTGGAGGTGAAGCACTCCAGGAGACACATACCCTGAAGCTGCTGGGAGTCATGCTCGACCCTACTGTCTCCTACAGAGCGCACACTCGCAGTGTTGCACTGCGCGACTCCCAAAGGCTGGGTTTCCTACGAAAGGCAGCACCCATCCTGGACGACCATGGTCAAGTGACGGTCTACAAGGGATTCGTGCGACCCCTACTTGAATATGCCCCACTGGCCTGGTCGAGCGCAGCCGCAACTAACATCGCCCAGCTGGACAAGGTTCAGCAACGTGCCCTATATTTCCTGGGACCTGGAACCATCCTCCAAAGTCTTCAGCTTCGTCGGATGGTGGCAGCCCTGTCATACTTGTTCAAGCTGCACTACATTCCAGGGCCTCCCCAGGTAAAGGCCATGCTGCCACCAACCAAGCCCCCTGCCGTAGCTAGCATGTGCACACGGCAAAAACGTCAGACGCACCATGCCTTCCAGCTGAAGTGGACACCCCCTCGCACAGCCCCTGACTACCTCCTGCGATCCTTCCCCTTCTTCGCCATCACACCCTGGAACAACCTGCCTGCGGACCTCCTGCTTCACGAACCTTATTCAAGACGCCTCCAAACCTTCAAGGTCAACGTATGTAAGGATCTAATCCGAAAGAGATGGCTGTGGTCCACACAGTACCTGTGACGATGATATTGAGACCCATTTAGTATTTACCTCTCTACTAGTACTTGCTTGTTATGATTATTGTTCTCTTTCTTCTTTTTCTCTTCTGGTTTAGTCATTACACGTATTTATATTATTTGGTGCAATACTAGCGCCCCTTTCTCGCACCAAATTATTATTTTTGCTACTTGACCATGCAACCCCCCCCCCCCCTTTTCGATGCCAGGTTGCAACGCTAACGCCGAGACCCCTGGTCGGTCGAGTTGCTCCCTGAAAAAAATAAAACTGATTCCATCAAAAATTTCCCCAAGTAAAATTTGAAATTGTACACCAAGTTCAAACTCAAGTAATGCCACCGACAACCAGTCTGCTTAAAAAGTTCGAAAGCTCGGAGCAGTCCTTTCGTCCCAGTGTGTACCGTGACATGCTGTTAGAACAGAAATTACTACAACTAGTTTGTCTGTTCTGGGAAAGAGTATACTGACCGGTACATGCAACTGTTACTGGGCCAGGCTAGACCACGTGATGGGTCAGTCTGAACATGGCACATTTTATTAAGACCGGTAGTAATTCTCATCAGGCTCACTGACCCAGGTGAACCTCTCTCGGAGCATCCCTGGCTGATAGGCAAAGAGAAAGTAAATGTGTATTTATTTAAAACGGGACTTACCTAAGCAAGACCTCTTCCTCGTACATGTAGACGCGTAGTGGGTTGATTGATGCAATTACCACGTACACACCAATGTCAAACTTCCTGTCAGCACAGCCAAACAACACCCAATCTTAGCCTTACTGAGATACTAGAGAGATTGTCTAATCAGTGTGCCATCAGAATATTCTTCAAGTACAGTGAACACTGATAACACATCCCCTTATAGGGAATGAGGAAAACATACCACATATAAATATCCAGGGTAGAGGAGACGGCTCGATACCGGGACGTTTTGACAGCCAAATTTGTATAGACCCAAACCGATCATCAGCGTTGATTTTTCACTCGAAATATGTTTGTGGAAGGAAACTGGCATGTTGAAGTTTGCTCTGGGGCCAGAGTCAATCGAACTGAGCCACTCCTTTGTGTTGACCCTTTGCCTCCAAGTTGCCCAATTTTTCGCTTCAAAAAAGTTCAAATCAGAGGTGGCTCCAAACCGGACACGTTTTAGAGTGCCCGTCTAATTCACTCTGGGTCTGAAATTAGGTAATTGCTATCGCTCCACGACGGCCAGTACAGAGTAACAATAAGCCTTGTGTGTGCTTCCATTAGTTTTGATTGGTATGCGGTGCTTTATTGTCGAGAGGCGAGCCGCTGTTTACCTGCGACAAGAAGTTGATTTTTCGAAAGTCGTAAAACTCAAGTCGCAGTGCGAAGCAACACGTCAAAAACTCACCTGCTTGATATGGCGCTTCTGGTCATCGCAGAGCCATGAAATTTTGGCTCGGAGTATAACACATCGTAGTCTCACTGTGACATATGTTTTCTAATCAAAATACCAAGAGAGAAAGTGAATATTGAGTCCGTTCCGGTTTGCAACCGGTGTCCTATTTGAAACCGTCCCCTCTACTGGCTTTGCTTTTTAGATAGAGCTGGCCTCAGTGACACAAGCCTCAACCCCGACCGATATATGCCTCCAATAAGTCAAGTGGTGCTGCACAGTGCCCGGCATGACACTGACTCACGGCGCCCGGATTTCATTCAGCAACACTGCAATGCAAACGAACAAGTACCTGTCACACTTGCAAGGAGATCAGACATTAAAATTGTCAGGTTTCATGCACAAACAAAGCTACTTTGTTGACTTCCGGGTCAATCGATCATGATTCATCATTACCAAGAACGCGGCACAATTATGAAGCCATGGTTGACGGGCTCTCCAACCCCAAACTTTCATTTCTTACCGTCCATCAACTAGATAAGGTTTGTCAACAAACTCCTGGACAAAATTGAGCCGACCCTTCTCGCTTAAATCCATGTCTGTAGTAAAAAAGGAATACAGTAACAACAGGAACTCAATCACCGGGCAGCTACCCCCAGTGTTTTGACATTTTAGTCTCATGAGTGGACTCAGAGTCACTGGCAGAACCAATCACAATGGAAATCCAGTGAACAATAAAGCATTTTTAGACTGGCTCAAACTGAGCCACGATCCAAGACTGGAATCGTCTCCCACCTGCCCTGCTACGCAACCTTCCCACGCAGAAGGGAATGCAAGCATTCAAGGAAGGCAACTACAAGTCTCTCCGCAGTTGAAACTGGCACTCAGCCACAGATGCCCTCTGAACCCTCCCTGAACACCCTCTTCGCCTCTGAACCCTCCCTGAACACCCCGAGTCTTCGCCTCTGAACCCTCCCTGAACACCCTCTTCGCTTGCACTCTGGCTTCCCCCCCCCCTTTTTACTCCACCACATGTATATTATCATCTTTCCTTTTTTCATATTCTAGAACAATAATACTAGCAGCCAATCACAGTTCACAACAGACAGTCATACGGGTAAAGTGGGAAATATGGGTTTAGCCATACACGACTCATACATTACTCACAAGCGACTCACGGAAAGGGTAATAACATGCAGATACAAAATACGCAAGGAGAGAAAAATGTAACTAACTGCCCATCTTGGGGTTTGAACCTAGGAATCTGTATCAACACAAGCTCTACAAATAAATACTCTTTTACTGCGAAAAATATACTTTATATCAAAATGCAACTCCTACACAGCCACCTCTATCATGCAGTATTCTGTTCTCGAGGCTCGTGGTTTCTCGTATAAAAAGAAAGAAAAAGAAAAAAGGCATCAACGTCAGAGTGCTCTAAACTGTGAGAAGCACAGGTTTGCACAAAGGCAGTAACGACAACTCTGCATTCTGGCCAGGAATGCTGGGGAGGGAAGAGGGAAGAGGGCATCGGCACACAATCATTGCCTGTCTTTTCCCGGCAGGGGTGGTGGTTGTGAGCCTGCCACGTGCAAAGAATAAAACCGTTTGACCGAGGCTGACGCCAGCACAAGCACTACAGTTCAGACCCAGATTCAGTGTATTGATATAGTGAGGCAAGCGTATCTCTATCAGCACCATAGATGACATTGGTTTCAGAAATATAAATACACCATCATCAGATTCATCACTCAACATTCACAGTCCTGTCAGTCACTCACATACATGTCCGGTTGAAGTACTGATGCAAATGCAGTGTACACAATATGTTATTGCTACCACTATAGTACTACCAGCCTTTTTGATGGGCACATCGTTTTCACGTACATATACAAGTTGCTCCAGGGTACTCATGATTTTCAAACATGATCACGGAGTTTAAAAATGTTGCCTGAAAGGCATTCAAATGCCACTAGAGGCAGTATAGTCGCATCTTAACCCTTTAAGAGCCACAGGAAATTTTCAAAATTCTGCATTTTTTCGTGTTCCTCAGATCATAGCTTCAGTTCTACTGACTCAATCCTCACAATCTAGGGCTTCCTGGAACGGTCTCCGCGAGAGGAAGAGAATGAGGTCGATCATGATAGCCAGCACACCGTCTATCCAGCGCTAGATCGCAGCGACAGTACGAAAAATGGCCCAAATGCGTCCAATTGCGTCCCGCTCCAGATATTTCATTTTACTCGATCGTGGAGTTCCAATTTTTTTCCTGTGTACTCTTGACAATAGAGAGGTTAAGTTTCACGTAAAAGTCTTACGTCCGTGAACTTTTACGTCAAAAAGTGAAAAAACTCACGTAAAATTTGACGTGTTTTACGTAAGTTGACTGTCCCGCACGTAAGTTCATGACGTGAGTTTTTGGAAGTTTCGCTTGGTTATTCCGGCCGAATTTGTGTGAGTTTCCGGAATTATATCGAGTTTTATCGAGTTTGTTGGAAGATTTAATATTTGTGCGAACTAAACTCGAATCCTGCCAGGCAAAATTTCACGTCACGTCGCACGTGTAACTTAACCTCTAAAAATTACACGTAACGTGAGATTTGCACCGCGTTTTGAAAAGGGGCAAAAAACGTGTAACTTAACCTCTCTAATATCAACAGTGAAACCCGTGCAAATTCGAGTAAACCAGCGTGACGAAAAGTCTCAAAATTCTCAATACTAAAGTTGCACTGCGCGCTTTTGAAATTGCCGCGATCGCGGCTCAACTTACGAGTGATTTATCTCAGGAACCGTTGCTCGCAGCGCTTCGCGGATTGTTTCTCCCGACAGGTGAGAGTTTTCTCTTCACCCTGGATATTTCGATCGATGGATTTGAGCGAGATTGGACTGAGTTACGATCTTTTGAAGTTTTGCATTTGAATGCGTCGTTTACGACGCATTCAAGTATGGGGCGGCTCTTAAAGGGTTATTGTCATGGAAGGTTTGCAATGCCGGGGGCGGGGACTTATTGCTATACCTCACCTGCAAGAGTCTTGATCTTTATGCCTCTGTGGTCATTGCTCTTCATTACAAACATCTTCTTTGGGTTGCTTTTGGCCTGTAAATGAAAAATCAAGCATTCGCAATCTATAACTGCCACAAAAGGAATGATGTAAGTTTATTGAAAACACTAAACCTGTCTCTACTAAGCACCCTATATGACAGAAACTTAGCAAAAACACGGCAGAGGGCTAAGACTTAGTACAGAAAAGGAACGACAACTTCAGCGGACAAGGGCTATGCAGGTTCACACAGGGTATATGCCCCCTCCCCCCGCCCTCATATACATATACCTGGTGCACACCAACAATTGTTGTGCACTGTCAGCTGGTGAATACTAGAAATTAGGGGTGAAACGGTTCCATGTTTTTCATGTTCGGGTACCCGACTGCCAGCAGTGTTTCCCACGGTTCGGGTATCGGTTCCGATCCTCCATGCACTCTTTTCTCCAGACCGACAAAATGCGTTCGCGACAATTATTTTTTAGAAAAAAAACATTTTTACGAGCAAGAATGAGACATCGGAGAGTCCAAGTGCGAAGAAGATAATGACCAGAGAACTCTTTGGAAGAGTGGGGATCGTAAGGTAAGACAATTAAAATCTTGAGTAGACTTGACGTGTACATGTATTTGTACAAGAACGAGATTTTTCGAGTTTCGGTTCGAAATTTGACGGAACGGGTACCCGATTCTTTTCAGCTGGCGGTTCCAAAACCGGTTCCTTACCCGAACCGTTTCACCCCTACTAGAAATCACACATGATTCCCATACGGCAACACACAGTGCTAATCAGCACTGGCACCACCCCTGCCGGAATAGGCAAGCAACATGTACATGTCTTACGGATTTCTTTAGAGCATCGACATCGCTAGGAATTTTATAGGCTTTGGGTAGATACTTGATCTTAGACGTTGACAGACTCATCTTGTTTGTAATGAAGCCAGAACCAGGGAAGTGATTGACCTAAAACAAAGACATGGAAGACCACAATGAACATAGTGTGTTCCTACAACTATTGATCAGCTGCAGCGTGGATGTCCCCATAGCCATCGCGGTCACCATAGTTGTTTAGAGACACGCTACCAGCCGTATCTCAACTTGTCTGATTTTGTGTTCATTTTCGAATCCCCCTTCTTCATTATCTTCAACAAGTGAGACCCCTAATCCAGCAACCTACAAAGTTAGGGAGAAAGACACGCAAGTTAATCAGGTATACTGGCATGCAGGCCAGACTCACTTTCTGAGGATGCCTCATCTTGTGAATGGCAGCTCGCCAGCCACCCGAGAACGGGTATTCGTACGACCAGAGTACGTCTGTCCTCGGTGCTGGTTGGCGTACAATCTGGAACCCTGCCCGCTCAAACACGGTGATGACATGATTGAGATGATGCACCTAACACGTCACAGTGGCAATACAAAAACACAGTAAGAGAAAACACTAGTATGATGGGGAACAAGCAAACCTGAGTATCGACCTGCCCATGCCTGCATGGCATGTAGCCTTGTAGGCATACCAGTCAGCGGCTCATGGCTGATGAAGTGTACTAAAGTAAAACCTGGCTTAGGGGGTGATTATATGTGCAGCTCCAGCCCGGGCTGGTCGACAGGCGGGCCAGCCCGCCTGAAACGGGATCTCGGGGTTGTAAACAAATGCACACAAAACCTGTGGTGCGTTTACATGGCAAGCGGGCTGGCCCGGCGAGGCGGGATCCCGCCCCGAGCCACCCAGGATCCCGGCTAGGCGGGCCAGAAAAAGCACATCTAAACAGACCAGCCCGGGCCAGAGTTGTATTATTATGGTGTCTACACTGCGTTCATGCTACAAAATAGGTACTTTTACCTTTTGAGGGAAGTTATAAAGAGGATCATAGTCCTGATATTGTCTGGAAAATCTATGAAGCTTTTTGTACAGCAACAAGAAGGACGTGCAGTGAGCACTGTTTATTTGTCGACATGCATGATTTACTTTAAAATGGAAGGGGAACTACTTGCAAAATACTTTGATATGGACAGCTAAAAATGTGAAAAACAGGAAAAAGAAACGAGGTGATACAACACACCAAACGTGTGCCACAACGCGAAAAGAAATCAGCAGAAGAATACCTTGTGTGAGAAAAAGGTTTTTAGGTTTATAACCTGAGTATGGCTTGCAGCCCTGCGTTTCAGCCCGGGGCTGCACTCTACAGTCGTAGTGTGTTTGCTGCATACTCACAACGAGCTGGCGTGTGCTCAGCGCATATAAACTCACTGCGGGCTGGCGACTAGCCCGGCCTTGCACATGTAAACACCCTTGGCGGGCTGGCCCACTCGCCCCAGCCCGGGCTGGAGTTGCACATATAATAGGCCCCTTAGGCGACCACCCCACGGTGCAAAAGCGGTCGTTAAAGCCAGGTGGTCTTTAGAACCAGGTCCCACAGTGTCTGTGTAGAACTGTCTGTGCATGGAAAAACGGTCGTTAAGAGCAGGTGGTCGCTAAGACCAGAGGTCGCTCACACCAGGTTTTACTGTAGTATAGTATACTATGTGTCTGAACATGCATAACAGTCAAGAGCAGTATGGTAAATGTGCCAACACCAGCTGAAAGTGGCTAATACTAGGGACTCTGCTGTTCGAGATAGTGCTGTTCTTCCTTTAAAGCAAGCTGTGAAACAACCTCTCTACCGTCTACACAAACCACACGTATAAAATGGGGAAAGCCACAAGAAAATAGTACAAAATACCATGTGAAGTGCGAGGTACACATGTCAGAATAGCACCTCAGTCTGTACTACAGATCGAGTCCCAGTCTCAGCACAGCATTTCAAGAAGTAACTTACCACGCACAAACATACTTCAGCAAGTACATGTAATCAATCGACCTCCAACACACACACTGTGGACAGTATGGAGCCACGCTATCATAGCAAGATGCCCAGCATCACAACCATCTGCATATCAGCAATACACGATGTACAATGCTGCTCAATGAGATCCGATCGCGTGAGTCAAGTTTGCACACCGCACAAGCCACGCAACGGCCCAGTGTTCATAGGTCTGGGGCTGCACAGTGCCCAGCGGCACATTGGCTCGCATCATCGGATTTCATTGAGCAGCTCTGTACATGTGCCGTGCTGCAGTGCTGCTATAGTGTAGGCAATACTGCAGTGCTGCTATAGTATAGGCAATACTGCAGTGCTGCTATAGTATAGGCAATACGAGTGACTTACCGACTTGGACATCAACCACAGTGTGGGTATGGAGCGAGTGTTGGGAAGATACACGTCTCCTTTACCACCATCGTCAGCAGTGCGGTGCTGCTCACCTCCGTGCACCTCCCCTCCATGGTGTGATGCTGCTGGTTGCTGGACATGTTTCAGCTGCTCAATGTGATGTACCAGACTGCGTTGCTGCGTTTTCACCAGTTCTTGCAGTGAATGCAACGAGTAGAGAATGTACAGCGCTGTCAGTGCGCCGCACAGCAGCAGGCACGTGGTGGCGTTGCATCCCCGCGGTGCACGCATCATGCGCAGATGCAACGGGCTTCGTTCCTGCGCACAGCACCAAGCCCGTGCAGACGTGCGAGCTTATGAACTTGACTATACACACAGACATGACTGTAAGGGCAAGTAGATCTTGTCTACACAGTGCATTTCGCTTTAACTCGAGGTAATACTCACCCCATTCTACAGTAATGCCCATGCACCTAGTCATTGCATCTGGACTCATACAATACCACATCATTATGCACAGTTCTACGGGAAGTACAATGTACTTCGAAATAACATTCCCGATCCCAATGCTAGTGTGCTAGAAGTGCACGATTGTACATTTTACTCCATTTCATGCTTTTACCGCTAATTTAAAAAAATACCGCTAGGTAAAAAAGGATATTCAAGTGTTCCTGGACTAACCATGATCCCTAGTAGAGACTGATCTCCATGTTCACTAGCGTTGCCTGTGCCGCGCAGACGATGGAATACCATGAAAGCCACTCGCTACCCGCCGTATTTAGCCAAGACCTCGGGCTGAAACTGTCCGGTACACAGCACGGATAGCGGAACGCGCACGGAATGAACCTCCAATCGCGATCCGAGCCTGCGAGCTCCGATCACGTACATAAACACACGAACGATACAGTAAATCTACATCTAGACTGAAAACCTGAACTCTTGGTGAAGGATAAAGATTGAAAGGAAGGAAGCCAGCTGCCGACCTGGCATCTACATGAAGCAACTACTAGTATTGAGTATTGTAAAGGTTTCAACTTTGCAACATTAATTTATGACTTTTCAAATCATCATTCAGCTGCCTATTTTCTGCAGTCAACAGGGCTTCACTTCATCAGTTCGTGAGTGCCCATATCGACGCTGACTTCTCGTGCAGATGCGCTAATGCGAAGATAGGGACAAAATAGACATGTCATTGTCAGCCAGGTCAAGCTTGCTGAATCACGCTGTCCGCATGCACTAGTCATACGTCTACGCAGATCTACGTAGTCGTTTGCTACTCTCCATCTGTCTGACTCTCACTCAGACTGTCACCTGGTCACTGTCAATGACAGTCTGTGTCAGGATCTCGGATTTCGAAAGGGGTGATTCAGCATTTCAGATTGCTATGTCCGCTTTTACAGGCTTTACTTCTCTCGCCCCGGCCCCTTACCAAGTTAGTTACCTGGCCTGGCATGGCAGGCCTTCAGTTTAGGCTTTGCAAAAAGCAAAGACTTTTAAAAGTCACACATTTACTAAGTAATACTTAGTTCACACGTTACTGTACTTACCACCTGTGACAGGCTGTGTTCAACACTACGAGCGACCCAGCAAATAGGAAGGCTTCACAAAGGGGAAACTAAGCTGCAAGAATCACACTTCACTAAAGAAAGTCAGTACACAGTACTAGTTACTGTCTAACGCTGTAGACTTTACATTGTACTTATTTGTAGTCAAGCCAAGTGTGCATGCGTGCAGGTGAGCTCTCACTCAGCAGCTAGGGTTGTCTTTTTCCTTGTTAATCCACCGAAGTAGTCTAATACCGGTATGTTAGTACTCCTTGCTTCTTTATTGGCCACATACATGTATGGACAGGCCATCGGTTCTAACCAGGGAGTTAAATAATGCAAACAGACAACCAAGTAGTATTTCACTTAGGGGTGAAAGTTGGCACTGATATCCCGAGTTCGAGTACTCTGATTTTTTCCGATCGAATATTCGAGTATTCGACTATTCTTCATCTCCTAAAAATTGCACACCAAGGGCCTTAACATCACATGATACAACCCTGATTGAAGCGAGTGCCAGTCATTTTTCTCGGGTATATTGTTTGGTGGGTCATGTGGGCTCTCTCTAGTCGTGAAGAAATGTTCACCACACAGTCTGCACATCAATATCTGGCGACTGCTGCTCTGAAACTGCAGATTTCTGTGGTGAATGCATGTACCATGTATGAACGAGTACTCTGATCTATTCCGAGTACGATTATTTTTGAAAAAACCGAGCGAGTACTCGAGTATTCGGTATAATTGTTTCACCCCTAAATTTTCACTGCAGTAGTCGCGCGCCGAAGAACGTGGATTCCAAGAACGTCCTGCCTGAAATGCTAGGAACGCCACAGCCTCAAGTTATGAACGGCGGTGTTGGTTTTCTGGCAGAATTTGGGATACAGTGCCTCAGAACGTGCTATAAGAATGCAGCCAGATTGCTGAAAAATAAGAACGGCCCAGGTTAACCCCTTGGAAACACTGTTCTTAGGCGCACAACTCTACTGTACTCCCCGATTCCAACAACCACAAAACATGACAGTGTACTGTCCTAGCCAAAGAATTGTAAGTCCTCATACAGTAACACGGTCCAAAAAGTTGGCAAAAACCCACCCAATCCGAGGGCCACATGAGCTTTGGCCCTGCTCTCAGCTCACTGGTCGGATTTCTTTGCCCACAACCAGGGAGTATTGAAATGCCCGGTATTTTACTACTAGCCACAACTGTACATAATGTTCATCAGGGAGGTATACCCAAACCAAGTTTTGGTACTATCTAAAAAAAACTGACATTTTCTTTCTGAATGCATAGATTAGGATTGTGTTTACGGATGAAAACAGCTTCTATTGTGAGACGATTTTTCCCTGATGATAGTCTCAAGAAAATCGATTAGGAACATCAATTTTAACATACACGTACATGTATTCTCATTGATCATTTCGTAATGTCCGCTTCGCTTATACTATTTTATCGCCTTAAGGCCATGGTAAAAAATAAAGTTGATTCTCAGGTCATGAGCCTGTGAAAATCGGTGCGAGCGAGCGATTTTTTATTTTAATTCCCACAATTTTTTATTTCCAAAGATAGGGTCACACATGTGTACGTCACAGGTTCATAATTAATTTATAATTATTTTATTATTCAGGCCAGGGAGTAGAAAAATACCGGTATTTTACTACTCCCGGATTCATGCCTTTCGCATTGACCGTTTTCATGCACACATATGCATGCATAGAAATAAAAAAAATCGTCGGTGCGCCACCAAAAATCGATGCGCGCGTACTTGAGAATCGAAGATATTTTTTACCATGGCCTAATAAAACTATTAAAAAGGCTCCAGCCGCACTAGGTAAAACACACACACACGTACTATAAATGCGGCTTTTTGGTATAAGTCATCAAGGACATATACGGGAAATCTAAAACGATCCATATACTGTACCGTTCATACATGTGCATGCAGTTCCACCCCATCCCCGTCCAGGAAACTGGAGGTCTTCCATCAGTAACCAATCTGGCCTGGGAAAATTCAAATGCTTTGCTGGGAGGTGGTGTGGCCCTGTGGGGTCCTACAGGCACTACTCCTGTAGGATACCGCATGTTTATAAATAACAGCAAGAGTACATAAACCAGAGTGTGCAACTCGGGATGGTTCCTGTGGGAGCGTAATTCGTGCACTACGTCATTTCTGACGGCATGGTAAGCCACAGGTACGGTGAAAAGTTGCGTAACCAGTCGCGGTGGTGCAGTTCACTGAGTTTGTCCTGATTTCGGTTTTTTGAGACGGATAGCCTGGTGACTTTACTTGTCGGTGGATGTACGCAGCGTACACAGTCACACAAAACACCGAAATCCTGAAACAGGACGTCTAAAATCAAGCAAACTTGGCTGATTTCCGGGCTATGAAACATGAAAATTTGAGCTCTACGCAAGTCGCGGCTTGGCTGATCTCATCAGGGTGACGTAGTGCACGAACTGCGCTGTTTCAGATCTGATATGCACAGTTGCACACTCTGGTTTATGTACTCTTGATAACAGCCATGCATGAGTGGAGCACCCCATTTTGCCTGCAAGGACAATATATCAAGAACCAAATTCTTCCACCACTACTGTGCACTCTGCAGACATGATCTCAAACCATGTCTTGGGCAAATGTGTAGAAAATAGACATGATATGAGAGGGACTAATCTAAAGAAATAATGGAGGGAAGCAATGCCTTCAAACCTTCCATTTAGAAATGCCGGTACTACAGTTGTGGGCCATGAAGTGAGGAATCGTAGTCACGCACGCCATGGGTCTTCATGCAACAATGGCACATGTGCACAATGCTGCAGTGCCCCATGTGCGACACCAGGTGGCGAATCTGAATTCCAGTGGTCACAGCTGTAATTCCAATAGTTATGTGTTGTGAATGACGCACTATTTTATATAACATTGAAGTCTTCTCATTTCTTTGTCTTGGATGGCTTGGAGCCCCTGTTCTTCGTGGATGCAGCCTCAGTAGTATCCCTGCAGGAAAATAAAAGAAACGTGCCATTACAATCAAACAACAAAACATACAAACAGCACACGTACATGTACCTTTAAAATAGAAATCGCTAAATCATAGTAAAATAGTAAATAGATGGTGCTGATATAGAGCTTTTCAAGGTTGGACCAACGGTCACCTTTTGGGGTCACGTGCGAGAAATCTTTGAATCGCTGGTGAACAAGCGAAGCCCAGTTCACGTTCATTTTGCATGGGAATGGATGCGTGGAGGTGAAAGAAGCGGTAGAATAGCGCTCCACTTGATGTCCGACACTCGTGTTGAGTCAGAGCTGTTGCCAGGAAGCCCTTCCATGGCTTGGGCGAAAAAGGACAAGCTTCAAAATCGCTCCAAGCGCTGGTGAAGAAGAACCTGTCACATTTCGTATACATTTCAATGCGTTTTGACATGCGACCTGTTCACCACAATCTCGGGGTGAGCGTCGCTGACGGGCACGGCGCTCCGTCCTTGAAAAAGCTCTATAGGGCAGTTCGCAGTAAGCCACAGAATCCCTTTTTTTAATCTCTCTCACAGTGGTTGCCTCACGAGTTGACAACGGTTCAATCAACTTGGGATATTGCACTACCAACTTGATCTTTTGCGCTCGCAAAAGCAGTTTCAGTGCCCCAAGTTCTACAATGAACTTGATATCATTTTGACCAGGGAATAGTGAAGTGCCATGTATCCACGCAGCTGACATCATACTATCCCCTAGTTTAGGTGTTTAGTCACACCAAACACAGCCAAGCTAAGCTGAAATTGGTCTGCAGGAGCTGTGAAACTGATACTTTTAAAACACTGCCAACACTCTGCTTTCCGCCAGCAATCACATATATCGAGACTTCACTGAGAGCAACTGACCGAGGGTATCAATGTGCTACTGATAGTCTGGAGAATTTCACACAACAAAGGCATTGCAATGGATTGTTGGGTGACCACATGCAACTCAACCAATCAGGTACCTGCCTAGATAGTCTAGATAGACAATCAGCTAACACTATGAACGGAAGACAGACTCACTTGTACGCATTCTTGGTGTAATTTCTCTGCTTATACCTGCGATGAGGACTGCAGGAAAGCAAGACAATAAGCATGGCATCAACAACACGCCATAGGTGAAACATGAAAGTAAGATCAATGCCTGGATCACGAACATATAGACACCACATTCAGATGACACAAGTAGTTTTTCTTTAATGGTCCAAACTCATCTTGAAGTTGGTTGCTCCAACGAGGAGCACACGCTTCTTGCCGAACTTGACACTTGACTGACTCACGACTGCCATCCGAAGCACACGAGGAGCACGTCGCACCTTCCGCTCGGCAAACCTCGTTGGAGCAACCAACTTCATGACTATTACCGCCGAAGTCGCAACTTCTAAACTCATCTTGAATAACTTAAATGTCGGCTAAAAAAAACACGTTCCGTCCATTCATTACCAGATAGCCCATGACTTTACTTACACAACTTTCCGCCGTGGCTCAAGAACATTACGTCGTTGGAGACTGGCAAAGCGATCTTGCAGGGTACTGCCCTCTGGCTGTGATGACAGACAAACACACAGACACGCACAGGATAGTAGGATACTATTAGCTGTGAAACTTGACAAAAACAGCAGAACTGCCACGATCTTCAGACGCCACGACCTCGCAATCCAATTCCCCCCCCCCCCTCCACAGAGAGAGAGAGAGAGAGAGAGAGAGAGAGAGAGAGAGAGAGAGAGAGAGAGAGAGAGAGAGAGAGAGAGAGAGAGAGAGACACACACACACACACACACACACACACACTGGAGTACGCCGCAGAATTCGAAAGTCATACAGCAATCAGTTAGACAGTGCTCACCTTCAGCTTTCGCAATGCACCTGGCAATTCATCACTGAGTTGAACAGCCACATCCGGTGCTCGATATCTACACAAAGGGCATAGCAACACAGATAGAAACATTTTATCGCCAGAAACAACATGTCAGAACGACATGTAACAAACATATATTGAGTACGTGCTTTTTTTCAGAACAGTAAAGAACGCTGCAGCATCAAATAATTTTTGTATTTCCAAGTGAGAGTCACCCTTCTTTACATGAAAATATCAGGCCAAATTCACCCCGCGGCCATACCTTTGGTATTCATTTTCACACAAGAAACGTGACATATTTCCTCAAAGAAACAGGACGACTCTGACCCCGAGATATACAACAATACAGAAGGCAGTGTATGCAGGACAGTCGAGAAAACACTGTGAAGGATGATAGTGCTCCTAGCAAGCACAAGCACACTTGTAGCAACAGGAAGGCACCTAACCTACTGCAGACATCAACACATAACCAGCGCATGCACCGCAGAACAGCATTGACAACGTTATTAAACAGCTGAAACGTACCGGTGGGGGCCGAGCTTTCTTGGCGTCGACAGTTCCTTGGCTGCTTTCTCGGTTCGCTTGAGCCGTCTCTCCTGCACTTTCTTCTCAGTCTCTGCTAAGTTTTTCTTCAAGCTTCGTATCCTGAACAAGCCAAAGAGAGGAAGGGAAGAAATTTGAATTTCGAAATTTAGCATGCACAGATTCAAGATACCGTAATGTCGCGTATAAAAGCAGGTGCTTACGGCCGTATAAGCCGATATCAGTGCTAGGCTTCTATTCAAACCACGTATCTCGATGTATGTCAACACTGAACCAGGCTTATGTGCTAACAGTGTATCAAATCAGGCTTGTATTCAAAACAGGCTTCTATACAAAACAGGCCTTTCTACAAGACATGTTTTCTGCCAACCGGGTTATGGTTGTAGTCAGGAGCACTATGCATCCTTGACTTGTAACATGCTGTCAAAATCGAAAAACAGAGTACGTGTACCTAATACAGTACCAGTACAGGCATAACAGAAGATGTCACAAATCACTACATTGATTTTTAAATTTATAGCCATCGCCGGTACAAGTATTGTTAAGTGTAGCGATGGCTTACCGAAACACTTCCTGCTCTCTCAATTGTGTTAGCCGTGCAATCTTTGCCTCTGCCGCCTATGCACACACACACACACACACACACACACACACACACACACACACACACACACACACACACACACACCACACACACCACACACACACACACACACACACACACACACACACACACACACACACACACACTGCACATAGAGAGGAAACATGACATACCGCATTATCTCTAATATAAGCACGGACCTTTATTTTTTCAACGTACCTCCGCCCCGTGCTATTATTGGAGACGTTCCTTTATTGGAGAGTGTTCCATTATTATTTCAACCTCATTTCAGAGGCATGTTGCCATGCCAAATTCATGTCAGACAAACACATTTCAGGGTTTTTTCCGCCGGTACAGATAATGAATTTACACAGTGTGCTTATAATGGAGACCGAGCACTTTATTTTTTGAATGCCGCCCCAAGGTATTCTATTATTGGAGACGTGCTATTATTGGAGACTGTGCTTATATTAGAGATAATACGGTACCAGACGAAGTGCACGTGGTGCACAAAGAAACAAGATCAAGGTGCACTATACTGGCACATAGATGAAGAAAACTTGTACACAGGTGCTTATTGAGGTACTGCATCTGAACTACCAACGCCGACACAATAGCACTGGCCATCTCACAGAAACAATAACTATCGTCGAATCCAGTCAGCATAATTCCATTCGAACCCCCTCCCCGACCTTCATCATTGTCCAAATAAAATATGGCGTTCTCCCCACGATTCATTCCTCCATTCACCTATTACTGTCAGGTGTTAGATCCCATGCTCAAAAGTGTGCATGTGTGCATGTGTGTATGTGTGTGTGTGTGTGAGACTCAGAACGGATCACAAGATCACTGCTTTAATCAACCAAACACGGGCCCCTTACTTGTTGGCGACGCTCCGCTTCTTTCCGTCGCTGTTGCTTAGTTTTGCGGAATTCCGGCCGAATGAGCTTTGGTGCTGCTGGTGCTGCCTCATCACCACGCACATCACTCTCCTCGTTCTCGTCTTCCTCTCCACTTGCTCCAGCCTTGTCATCATCATCCAGGTCGAGTCCAGCCGACATTTCCTTCATCCAGACGCGCTACAAACACACAAGCGAGAAAAGAACAGCACGGGAAACACATTATCAAGTTTATCTGCCAAAATACACTTTAAACTTTTCACCGCCCATTGCAATACGGGAAGACCATATGATATCCCATGTTAAGCTCTGTTCAGGTACAATCAACTAATCCTGCACCCCCCCCCCCCCCCTAAAATAAATCAGCGGAACTGTGGGGTAGAGTCCCTTTGATCTCTATTTCCTATATTTCACTTTCCGGTGGTACATGCCCAAGTACAATAAAACCTGCATTTACCGGACACCCCTGGTGCAGCTGAATCTATCCCGCTACATCAAGATTCCTCTTGATAGAGGGAGGCATGCGCCACCCACAATCTGCATGTCAAATTGATCAGCATGACACCATCTTTGGTTCTAACCAAGTCAAAACAGCGGAGGTTCTGCAAAACGAAAATGTAAAAACGTTCGCTCTAGGTCATGAGGTGGGAAACTTCGCACAAACTTTCAGAACTTCGGACACGAAATTTACTTGCATGAAACGCGCAATGAACTTTCGCATCAAGTTTCGTGAAAGTTTGACTTGATGCACGAAATCCGTTCCGCTATCTCCGGTCAACAGCATTCAGCTTGTGGCGGTGAGTTTTCTATGGCAGCCCGTCCGTGCATGAAAATATGTCTGGTTCGGACAGGATTCTGCTTGATCCAGGGTCCGGTAAACCTAGGTTTCACTGTATATGGGAAATAGAGATCAAAGGGAATCTATCCCACGATGCTCTCAGGCAGCAGTGAAACTGCTTGTGTGCTGCTATTGAAGTAAGGTGCAAGTACCACACACACAGACACAGACACACACACACACGCTCACACAGACACACACGCTCACACACACACACACAAGCAAATTACGTAACAATGCTAACCTCTCTTTCAATGTGGTCCATTTCAGGCACGCCCTCGAAAAACTTCTGCGTTCTCGCAACTGCTCTTAACTTGCGTTCCTCCACCTCTGTTGCCTCAGCAATAATTGCCTGAATAGGTCAACGAGAAAAATATATACATGTAGTGGCAAGAATGGGATACCAACACAAAAGACGGCATGGACATGAAAGGACTTGAATACAAGACTGGGTCCTGACTAGCGGATAGTAAGGAAGGGATCATACCACAAGCTATACATGTACACTTATATCTCTCTTATACGGCCCTCGTAGCTACAGGGGCTGTGGGTGAGTTGTAGTGTAAATATCACTACTTCTAAGTACTCTCCTATCAATTTTGTGGAAATAGTGACGTCATATGCCAGATCTCTGACTCTGGCCCTTCCCCATTGAAAAGTGTGTGATTCAGAGTTACGGATGTTTCAAAGTCATGGGCAGTGCACAGTCCCAGACCGTCCGGATAAGAGAGACATGAGTATAGTTACAGTGTGTAGCAATACTCCCATGAAGTCTTACCAAAACAACTTGTCTGTCATTTCCCGTAGACACAAGAACAGAAACTACGCATATGGCGAAGGAAGAACATTATCATGCGGAGGTGTACAGCAGAACATCTCATTGCTATGACGATTCCATTGAATAGTCGCACAAAGCGAGTGGTCGCTGCATATGGTGCATCTTCAATATACAGCTGTCAGTGGATGCTAAACACAAGTGGTCGCTTAGACCAGGTTTTACTGTAAGCTTTGTCTTTCGTTTGCAGACCACCCGTCAACAGGTGCGAAGCACATGGAGCCGTGCCACTGAGGAATCCAGGCCCTGGAATCCTGGCGGCATCCTTACAGCATACCGCAAAAGGCTCAAACACTGCAGAATTCGAGAGCAGGGCCATCCATCAGCAGTAAGATATGGCCCAAGTGGCCAAGAGTCAGGCATCAAAGCACCAGATCAGCGCTGACAGCAGTGGAACTCGTACTTACCTGGTGATCATCAAAAGACGGATTGTAGGATGCACCAGGATGCGCTATCTCCACAGCCGGGATTACTGACACTTTCTTGGATAAGCTGCGAGGACGCTGAGCAGCACAAATAAACAAAGACATGCACAAGTACATGTGTGAGATAATCAAACAGCGCTGTATGATGGCCACACTGTGCTAATGAAACTCCGAGCAAAGCAACAACACAAACTTGTCTCCATTGTTCTCCTGTACTGAGCTGTGTCCCCTCCTGCAGCACTCGACTCTTATGTAGCCAATAAAAAGGTTAAAAGTTGCTGCTTACCCATCTACATGTAAGAAAAAGAAAGAAATATCAGTAGGAAAGTCTCTTTTAGACGCGAGGTTCTTTTCCGAAAGACCTCTTACCTTAACTGGCGCCTTTCCTGTCAACTGATCAAAGATACTCTGCTCATCAGTCTTGGGTGCTGTAGCAAGTGTGGCAAAAAGGCAGAAAGCAGCTTTGAATACATGCATACACAGATCAGAGTCAACACGCGACAGCAAGGTTAGCTTGCCACACATCACAAGCAAAATATGTCTAATGCTACATTGGACGAAAGCCGTCCGGATTTCCCCTGGGAAGATGTACCTGCGTCTACAATTGGACGCAAAGGTGGCTAACAGCAAGAGCGCTTGGGACCAACGGCAGTTCTTTGCTGCTGGCCTTGACATGAGCCGAACTCTTGATAAAGTAGACCACCAGTGATAGCGTAACGACATGCAGGGCACTGTTACACTGGCTAAACAGGCAATGACTCAACACCAGCTCTTTTTAACTAAGTTGCAGATATGTAGCAACTGCAAACCATACCTTCAGCAGCCCACACATTGGCTGACTTTCCTGTCTTCTTTTCTGCTGACACAGACGAATCATCCATGGCAATTTCAGCACGGACCTTGCGATTGACTTTCTTTTTCGTAGCAGGTTTATCTGGCTTGACGGTTGGCTCGACGGTTGGCAGCAAGGCAGCTTCACATCGGAGTGGCTTCTTCTCCCTCTTCTTTGCACGACGCACAACTGGCACTATAGTCACAAAAAGAGGCGTAGAAGATCGTAGAGAATATAAATAAGACAGATTTCAACATTGGGTATTGGTGGCATTCACACGCGCACATGCGCGCACACACACACACACACACACACACACGCACACACACACCCGCACACACACACACACACGCACCCGCACACGCACCCGCACACCCGCACCCACCCACACACACACCATGTACCATGTATACGCAGTCGCAAGAGAAGCATGCAACTCTGCAAATGCACTGGATGCGCACCCACAGATTTTCTCTTATAGCAACGATAGTGGATCTGAATCTGAATGAAATAGATCAAGACCAGCGCCAGATTACTGTCTAATCCACACAACTGGCGAAGCCATGTGAATCGACCCCCTCCCCCAATGCACACCTGGTCTACACCACACGGAGCACATCGGAATAGGACGCACGCACACACACACACACACACACACATAGGTGTCCATTGCACAATGCAACAGCAGAAGCCATATCAACTTGTGCTGGGATTGCACCGTTCAATTGCTCACAAGGCTGAAGAATTGACTACTAGCACGACTGTTTAGCCTGGTTCACACCACACAGCTTTTTAAAGTTTTTTTTCTGGACAGTGAATCCCTACTTTTCTGTCTTCGTTCTTTTTTCCTTTTCCCACTCACACACCACACCATAACCCCCAGAAGAGAAAGATGTGTGTGATTGTAACCGTCGGGAATTTAACGCGCAATCTCTCGATCGGAAATCGCACATACCACTGCACCATGTAGGACACCCACGGATGGGCACACCCATACACACACCTATACTTGTACTTGCTCACTGCCAAAACTGGCCACGTGGGTCTCCCCGGGAAGGGGGGGGGGGGGGAGAGAGACTCGAAAGGAATCTTGGAAAGATGACTCAATTGGCTATTGAACCGCCCAATGGCCGACACCCCTGAAATCCCCCATACCCTGGCATAGGGATACACTACATGTATGATAGGTAAGCCTTGTTTGATAGATTAACACTACGCCATGTACTTAAATAAACGGCGAGGAGACAACAATTTTAGAACCGCAATCAACAAGACAAGCCGAATCGCCATTTGTGTATACTTTATTCACTGCATTGAATAAAGTATACACAAATGTCGATTCAGCTTGTCTTATTGATTGCGGTACTACATGTACATACACTAGCAGCAGTGACGATAACCCTAGCAACACAGCACAACAAGAAAGGCATTCCATCCAAAGGTTATAAGAACGACACATGCACAGTTCTCCGAGGGAACAACAACCTGGCACACTCACCAGCATCATTGTCTTTCTCAGTGTCCACAAAGAATCCTCTTTTAGTGGTACCTTGCACTATTGTGGTAGTGGTAGCTTCTCTGGATTCACAGATTACACAGCGTACAAAACACTCTTGACTTACAGCACTTACGTAACGTTGCAATGTCAGAGATCATTGTGGTGGCCATGTGCTCACGAAATGACTACCATACTTTATAGGTTATGCATAATAATTATTACGATGTCATGGTGGTGAACTAGCAGATTTGCATTCGTGCGCTAAGTATACAGCATGAGTCGCAGATTCGGTTATAGGGCCACTAGTATGCAGCAGGAGTTGGCGGTTTCGCTTTGGCTACTACATCACTGGGTCATGACTTTTCCCACACATGTCAACTGATGATGTAAGTCCATAACCTCTATTCCCAGGCTTGCGTAGCCATACTGTATAAAGCCTGTCTTGTAAAGGAGCATGTCTCGTGCAGAAGCGTGTGAGTAATAATAATATATAATATTCGCGGGATCCGCGTTAGCATCACTTGAATGTTCAGAAACACACAAGCTATAGCCTTCGCTTCCGCAGGCCACCACTATGCCTTTACACCTTAGTGGCGAATGCAGACCTCACAAGTGAGTCAGGGGAGAGGAGGTGAGTCTCTCAACCAATCGGGCGTGTAACGGCCCATAACCCTGTAAACTGCATCCTTGTTATCCTCACTCGAGCTGTGAGTACCCAGTTGACCGTGGGTGTCGGCGCAGTTCAACACGCGTAAAAAGTCTTTTACACGCTCCCTGCTGCCAGCGCGGGTCTCGAACTCGGGACCTCATGATTCGCAGGCAGGCCTGCAAACCAATCGGCCATATGCGTTGGTCGTGTGAGTTGCTACCTAAAATGCATACAAGCCACGACTTGTATACAATGTACAAGACTTTACAGTATGTGACACTGCAAGAAATATGACTTGGCCAGTTTCAGGCATAATTTGTGAAAATCAAACCGATGACAACGTGAACAAATATTATAGTTTTTAACTATACCATCGCACTGAGCTACTACTCAAACGTTACATGATAGTGATTATACATCGTGTAGCATAAACACGAGGTAACAATGAGTACCAATACGCATATGGCAGCTACATAATGCACCAGGCGATTATTCCTCATCATTTCAGCTTACTCAATACGCTCTTCCTGGCGTTTCTCGTCCAGGAATGTTTCTATATCAGCAACATCCGTGTGCTTTCTCCACGCAAGCTTGTTCTTCTTAGACACCTTTTTTCTCTTGCCCAATCGTAAATTCTCTGAAGGCACTGTCTTGGACTTTTTAACGCCATCGATAAGGCGAAGCTCTCTTGGAGCACTAGACACAGCTTTCTTTCCCATCGTGATAGGATACGAAAGACAACAATCACAAAAGTAAGTTGGTGAAGAGATCACCAAAAACAAACATTTTTTGTCCTTTTTGTTTTTCGATTTTCCGCAATCACATACGCCATTTTGGTTGTCAACGGCTACGCGCAAACACGGCACGTGCGCGTGCGCGCGTACGTCAGGCCCGGGAGCCGTATACGCGTACCCAAACGGGTACCGTACCGTGGGTTGACCCGTACAAGACTCAAGACTACATACAAGACTCAAGACAAGAGGCTTTATTCGAGTTTGGACAACCCCCCCCCCCCCAAAAAAAAGGTCCCCGGCCTGGTACAGTACATGGTACCAATTACCAATGGCAATGCACATACGCGGTGCGGTTTCTTGGCGTTTTCCAATGTGTTGTAGAGTAGAACCCGGGTTAATAGGGATCCACCTACATTGTAACTCTGCGCGGACATACATGTAGCTGGACTCAGTTGTACAGGGATGGGCAAAAAGGTGTGCAAAACGACTTTTTGTGAGTAGATGGACCCCGGAAAAATAGTTTGGAGCGAAAAAAATTACGGCTTCCTCGGAAACCGACGGGGGACCCCCCTGGGGCCGGAAATTAAATCCCGGTATAAGGATCACCCGCACAATGTACATGCCAAGTGACCCCCCCCCCCCCCCCCCCCCCGAGGGATCACCCGCACAATGCCGGTACGTGCCAAGTGCACCCCCCCCCCCCAGGCTCCGATCCCTAATCCGGTGTGACCCTTAACCCGGGTTCTACTCTACTGGAATATTAATTTTTTTTCTTTTCATCATGGTATCTCTATTTTTCACATCTACATGACTTGTGTATTGACTTTGTCTTGCCCGTAAGTTCAACAGAAAAGAAAAGAAAAACTGTTCAAAAACCCGGTGTGGTTAGTCTTGCAAGCAGGGAGTCGTAAAATCGCACCCTCATTTGTACTCTCCAATTTCTCCCTCGTTTCCCTTTTTTTAGAGTTCATAAACAAGAGTGCAGCTATGCATCTCGATTCTGCAGAAAATTGCTCCCATGGCGAAGTTTTTTGTGCACGTCATCATGAATCATAGAATGTCCGTCATACGGTACGGCGCTAAATCACTGTATCACTAAGGCGATAGCAGGAAAATCGCAGGGAAACCCGGGAAGCCTAATCATGATCATGTACTAGAACATGTATGCCAGCAAAGCAGCCGGCATCTTGACTAGGCCCTAGCGTGACTTCAATACAGCGGCATGCCTGGGGTGGCCAACGTCCCGGGTGCCCAAAACTTGACTGGATAGTCTGCCATCAACATGTTCGGCACCAGTGATCCGCTCAGGCTTCGCTCCACGGCTGACAGTGCAGACAGCTGAGCATAGCCGGATCAAACCAGTGACAGATGTCCCTCGGCAAATCACACCAGAACGTCAACACGGATCCTGCACAGCCATGTACAATAGTATAGATAAGTCAGTCTTTGCCGATTCAGTGTTGAAACTGCTCGGCAAATGCTGCGATATCTCAACTGGCAAGGCTGACAGTGAACAAAAATACTTCTTTCAAAATACTGGCATGAGTCGTGCTTGGTGCTTGATGTCACGGATAAAATAATGTCCCTGAAGCTGTGAGGTTGCGGCTGTGTAGTTCAATGTGATTCAAGAAGTGCCGGGTGCTTGGGTGCCCTATCTCAAGATGTCAAGCCGGTCTAGAAGACTCCGGGACTGCTTGCCGCTTTGCTCCTTTGCCCTGCGAGCGAATAAAGATAAAATACTTGTCTCACTCATGACCGGTTAAAATATAACGGTTGAAAAAGTTCAACAGTGGTCAGCTAATAAAAGCACTGCACACATTACAAGATGAAATAGCAGGCTTGTGGGTAAGTAGCTAGGTTTCCTCTCAGCATCTGAGGCATTTCACTAAGGATCTTGAAAGTATTGGTGCTCTAGCATGGACTGGGCTGAAGGCCGTTGGGTGTAGTCGAATACAAACAGCTGAGAGAGAAAGTGCCGGCAGAGCGGGCCAATGTGTGACGGCATCTCTGGGCCACTCGAGCCGGTTTTGGCGATGGTAAACAGTGCGGTCATTGGCTCCAGGTCGAACCAGGGTGGCTTAGTAGTGAGCATTTCAATCATAGTGCATCCCAAACTCCAGATATCTGCTTTCTCGTCATAACCCTTTCCTCGAATCATCTAGTCACAAGCCAAAAACATCCGCACGCGCGCGCGCACACACACACACACCCACAAACACGTGTACCCCCACACACACGAACAGCATCACAATGTAGCTAGATCAGAACAATAGCAGTGAAGCAGCATGTTTGTCCGAAATCATTCTTTAAAAATGCTCACGATTCACCATTGAGTTTGTTCAGGCAACACAGAATGATTCAGATCAGCCTGTGCCGAGCTGGGCCAATGCAGGACGGAAAATCACGTATCCTCTGTGGCCATACCCTATTGACCACATGCACCATTCAATCTCAATTGTCGTCATGCAGCTGGGAAAAATACGGCGTCTCAGACTCTGTTTCCACATTGTACAACAGTGGCCAGTGAAACACTGGACCACTGGCGAACTCGACAAGTAACACTTTGCATACATTTACATGTACAGTATATGCAAGGACTATGCAAGAATCAACTACAGTAAGATCGGGCGCCGAAGAACGCAGGGGCTCGAACGCAGCCTAGGAAAGTTCTTAAATTTTTGATTTTAGCCAGACCGTTCTTATTCACACGCGCGCGGCGAGTCGAGTGACGTCATGACGTTTGTCATGTACATGTACATGTAGTGCAATGTAGAACTTCTAAACTAGTGGGTGTCGTAAATGGGAATGACTGTACATGTAGCAGTTACTGTTTACACGTGTACATGACATGTACTCACCTCATTTTAAAAGTGTTCTTAAATCTGATAATTCTAGCCTGGACTGTTCTTAAATTTTGCCGGTTTTCCAGCCTGGGTGTTCTTTGGCGAGGTGTTCTTCGGCGCCCGATCTTACTGTAGGCAACATTGCCATGATGAAAAGATTGAAAATGGTTTTAGATACTTCAAGTACGTGTATGCAGCTAGTGGAATTGGGCGCTGTTTCTACGCGAATTATGTGTTCGGGTGCAGGCCATGCGGAAGAGCCAGTGGTTAGATTTTCCTGGCCACATCTGTTACATGCACGTCTTTTCCCCACAGTTTATCTCCAACATCCGTCACACTAACGATTGGATACATCATGGCATGTTTATCCTAGGACCTTTAAAAGCAGCTCAGTGTCAGTTACTGTACAGGGTGCATACCAGTGTTCTTACCTCCGGGCTCATCCAGTATGGCGTGCCCTGTATAGACTTGTTCACCATCATACTGCGTATGGTACGCAGCTGCTTTGATGCTCCAAAGTCTGCTAGTTTCACATTGCCGCTGGAGTCACGCAGTATGTTGGCGCCCTTGACGTCGCGATGAATAATGCTGCGACTGTGCAGGTACGCGAGGCCCTCTAGAATCTGGGAGGTGTACTTGCGCGTCAGCATTTCGGTCAGGGCGCCGTTCTCGCGCACATGCGAGTGAATAGACCCGCCTGGCATATACTCCATTAGTACTGACAGGGTTGTGTCCGTTCGGTGCACACCGACGTAAGCGACAATGCGCCCGTGCTTAATGGACTCTAGAAACTTGATCTCTGCCTCTAATGCCTTCACTTCTTTCTGCATCTCAACACCAGTCTCCTCAAAGACAACCTGCTTGAGGGCGCATTGTTTTCCACTATCCACATCATGGCACAGATACACAGCACCAAATCCACCAACACCAAGCTTGCGACCAATCTTCCAGTTCTTAGGGGCGTCGACCGAACTGGATGCGATAACACTCGAAGAAGCGGAAGCAGACCCTGCGCTCGCCGATGGCTGCTGACCAACCCAATGAGCCGGTTCATTATTTGAGGCAGGGTCAGCGCGAGGGCTTAGCAAGGTAGAAGCAGTAGGATTGGACCTTTCGCTATCTCGTCTCAACAGTGCTGAATGCATTGCTGCCGAGGCCGGGGTAGAGGACGGCATACTGTCTCGCCGCACCATTGTTGGTGATTGTAGCGGTACAACACTCCTGGGTGGAGCCCACTGTCGAGATGTCATGGCGGCATCATTGCTGTTGGCTGCAGTGCTGGAGGCGCGACCTCTAGTGGAGTATTCACCTGCTAGCATGCCACCAGCACTACCAATGGCATTGCCACCACTGTCTTGATGCATGGCTGCTACGCCACCACTGCTGCGTACAACTTGACTAGACATCAAGTGTGGACTATGAGCCGCAAGAGGATCAACGTTGTCGCTAAGCGGTGAGAGTGAGTGGTGGCTTCCCGATGATGTAAAACATTGCGTATCAACAGCACCCGGCGATGGTTCATTGCTCACTTGAAGGCGTAGGCACGCTAGTGGCTGGCCTTGATTTAAGTCCATCAATGCTCTCTCTAGGTCAGCCTGCACTTGTATGAACAGCATTGTCCGGTATGATGTCAAGTAATACAGGGGTAAGTCTTGACCAAATGTTACAGCCACTGTTTGCCGTATGCCATCCAGTGTCAGTGGCTTCTTCATGAGCACCGCCCTGCGCTCGTTCAAGAAAGGGTTTTCAAACTTCACACGGATCACGGGCAGAGCAGCCCGTGTGCCAACGATTCCACCTGCATGTTGCTCTGCAGCAGCTGAGCCGATATCCATTGGCATCTCCATGGTTCATGGAGTATGGAGTGTGCAAATATATTCGCGGGTTTCAGATTCAGGCCAACCTAATACTTCGCTGGGTGCAACACGTTCGTGCCAATTATTTCAACTATACATGTACTACTAGTCTTCAAGATATAGGTGGATCACAGGACTACTTCGCAGCCCACATCAACGCAATCACTCCATGGCCATCCTCAGTCACAGCGACGCTGCGCCAGGCTGGATTAGAAATCGTCCATCACTGCACGGCACGGTGCGCCCCAGCGCAGTGGGGTGGGCAATGTAGCGAGCTCTAGCGCTGCCTTAGAACGAGGTAACGGCAAAGCCAGGCAGCAGGATCGATGAACTAACTTTAGAGTTTAGGCAGCGTCAGTCTTGTTCAACAGTAGACTACTCAAAACATCGACAGCAGATCTCTGATCTTCGGCCCTGGCCGACATCTTGCAGATGCATCAAAACCAGGGAGTCGTAAAAGCCCTACGACTCCCTGATCAAAACCAGTGCTACAAAATCAAAACATCACCATTTTCACACCCACGTAAATCATCCTGAAGCTGGTACAGACATGCGGCTTCTTTTTAGGATCGATCACCTGATCACCATGCATGATCACAACGAGTAGAACCAGAGAGCCGGAGTCGGGCCCGGTTTAACTCCCTGGGCATGGGGGCCTGGTAGTGTGGCACATACAGGTACATGTACGTGCATGCAGTGCTTGGATGCATGTAAAGATCGTGACAGCATTCACCGCGATCCGGCGTACATGTATCGTTATCGCTTTTTTATTGTTGTATTTTTGTTCTGACTTCTGTTTAGTTGTCAGCAAACAGTAAAGACGACCCAAAAGGCAAAAGCAAAGCCTTGGCCCCGGCCCAGTCTAACGAGTGACGACGAGAACACAGTACTGTCAGCAGCTGTCTTCAACTTAGTGCAGAGTGCCACAAGAAAGTTGAAAGCGTGCTAAAGCATTCCAACCGGGATAAGGGAGAAATGAGGATTTCGGTGTTGATTACTATCTAGTAGATCTACGTCCTTGGTTACCATCGCTAGAATCTAGAAGTAGACCTAGTACCTACAGACCAGTTCGTCCGGATCTGCTGTGTAGTCTGTCCTTGTTCCCGTTTCGACGTGAACCAGTCTGCCCAGCCTAGCGCCTGTCGCTAACAGTATTACGCACATTAGTCATTGTCGCTAGTAGTATTTTATAGCAGCTATGGCTACTCGACCCCATACAGACCTGTTTCTTCGACTCAGACACGAGGCCTTGGCTGAGAGGAGAGCGGAGGAGGAACAGGTTGGTATTATTACAAAAATGGCTATACGTGTACGTATTTTTTCTAGCACAGCAGATGCTTATTGCAATATTGGGACATCTCTCTCATGAGCTCACTTGAATTTTTGTGACCGCAACCATTATTTCCCTACATGTACCGTGGGTGGAGGTGAGCGTGGTTATGGGTGGTTCGAATAGCGTGGTTATGGGTGGTTCAAATAGCGTGGTTATGGGTGGTTCGAATAGCGTGGTTATGGGTGGTTCGAATAGCGTGGTTATGGGTGGTTCGAATAGCGTGGTTATGGGTGGTTCGAATAGGGATACAATCATGTTCTACTCACTGTGTTACTGAGGCGGTGTTAAAAAAGAATATTGATTAGAGAAGAAAGAAGAACTCCTGGAACAAACTACAGTGTGTACAGCCGTGGGAGTGAGTTATAAATAATTATCCCTGAGTGCATGCATGTTGCTGAGTTCAGCGTAATGGCGTGCCATTAGCAGAAATACAAAGACGAAAGGAGACAAGGAGACCGGAAGAGTGCTTCGGCGGAGACACAAAGAACGTCACATGAGAACTCACAAGTGTTCCGAGTCACAGAGGAAATGCAGTGACGCACTTGAATACTGCAATCTGGTGATTTAGTTTGTTCTATTTAGATTCCTTGAACAAACCGGCACACTTGCCAAAGTACATAATATAACTGCATAGAGACTGTCTGCTGATATTGGACAGCGAGTGAAGAAAAGAAACTTGCTTTCAAGCACGGGGCCTTGGATTCTTCCCATCATACCCATGGAGTCTCTGTGCTCGCCTGTCTTGTTGCCACAATCATGTGGGGAGCTCTAACATTTGTATTTGCACATCTTATTCCCAGGGAACAGGGGACAATATTGCACTGGTTGGATCAGCACGTGGCACCCGTGGAGAGGAGAGCGTTGCATTTACTCGCGGCGGAATTGCGGAACTGCCACCGGAATGGTGAGAACTAGCAGACACTTTTATGTTTTAATTAAGGTGTCTAACCACTTTGGTAGTACAGTCATGTATTACAGTTGTGGCATGTTGATATTGACCTCATGGCTATGATTAACTAACCACCTCTGCCTCTGGGCTGCATGTTCCTACTCCTATCATTGCGACTCACGCATGTTCCTACTTCTATCATTGCGACTCATGCATGTTCCTACTTCTATCATTGCGACTCATGCATGTTCCTACTCCTATCATTGCGACTCATGCATGTTCCTATCATTGCGACTCATGACTGGGCTATGCACACACTGCCATGCTGCTTTTTATTTTCGTGTCGCTTTTCACCATATATAGTAACATGTGTTCAGTACCCCAGGTGCTGTAAACAGGTTGGATACAATTTGGCTGGTCCGTTAGCAGCTAGCAATTGGGATATGGGACCAGTTTCATGCATCACATTTCCATTGAGATGTGCTAGGGCTTCGTGGAGACAATACTGAATGTGCTGTTTGTGGATCTGCAGGGCAGAAGATGTGAGTATACGATGTACAGTGCTGGTCGGTGAAATCCAGTCGCGTCACTCAAGTTTGTGCCCTTGCATAATTTCGCAGCCCGGTGTTCGCAGGTCTAGGGCTGCGCAATGCCCGGCGTGTACTTGAGTGACTCTGTGACTGGATTTTATTGAGCAGCACTGTAGTACCCCCAGACTGCATATTGAGATTGCGATCATTTCTGTCATGAGGTGTCTTTACCCCTGCTGAATTTCTTTTCGCTGTATGGTGTACATGTGTAGGTGCGACGGTGTGGAGGAGATCCAGTTCGAGTTGACGAAAATCAAGCAGAGGATCCACGAGTTGCAGGCCATTCATGACAAGCACATGAATCGACCATCGTTTGATGACACCATGGAGGAAGAACACGAAATTGAGATCATGACTCAAGAAATCACACAGGTACTGGCAGAATCATCACATTATGTTCATACACTCAAGAAAAGACATGCTTTGTATGATGAAGTAAAGAACTCTTCCTCTCCTCTCCTCCATGCGCTCTCACACGGCCGACTCACTGCTACCCTCGGTAGCCATTACACACACCAACAGCCATACAGGGAAGGGTTGCAGGTAGATACTGAAATTCCTCCTGACAGCTCGGTTTCGCCCGTTCATAAGGCTCATCAGAGAAGGTGATATTGAATAGGATGATATCAGGTGGAGATGGTCAGATTTATACTACAAAACATGGGCGCAAGATTACGGGCAAAGTGTGAGAATGAGAAGTTACAATTCTCCAGCAACACAGTGCCAGGGGTTCCAAGAAAATGGCAGGTGAGACAGGTGATTGGATGTCTCACCTGCCATTTTCTTGGAACCCCTGGCACTGTGTTGCTGGAGAATTGTAACTTCTCATTCTCACACTTTGCCCGTAATCTTGCGCCCATGTTTTGTAGTATAAATCTGACCATCTCCACCTGATATCATCCTATTCAATATCACCTTCTCTGATGAGCCTTATGAACGGGCGAAACAGCTGTCAGGAGGAATTTCAGTATCTATCTGCAACCCTTCCTTGTATGGCTGTTGGTGTGTGTAATGGCTACCGAGGGTACAGTCAGACCTCGCTTAACCGCACACATCTGTTTTCCACAAAAATATCCGGATAGGCGAGGTAACCGGATAACTGAACACACATACTGTATATGCATGTATATGCATGTGACATGTCAAAAGCAGTGACATCGTACATACATGTACATGTAGACGGGTCCTATGCAGTACAACTAGTAGCGTGCACAGTATGTAAAACAAGTGAGGAAAATGACAAGTGCATGCAACTGAGTGCTGTCCGCATACACCCAGCAGGTCAAGGACCTCATTTGCTTGTACAACTCCCTGATACTAGCTTCTGCAAGCGCTAGCCAGCCACATGCAACCGGATACGACGAAGCTTTTTGCACACATTTTAACCAGTTTGTACACAAAATCATGCACCGGTATGCGGATCGCGAGGTCCGGTTATGTTGTATGCATGACATATGCTGCACATCGGTAACCAGCGATTTTCTTCCGGATGGCGAGGGATCCGGATAAACGAGGACCGGATAAACGAGGTCTGACTGTAGCAGTGAGTCGGCTGTGAGAGCGCATGGAGGAGAGGAGAGGAAGAGTTCTTTACAATACTGTAAATATACGAAATTTCAGCGCTGCAAAATTTCGGCACTTCACGATTTTTGACATTTCGGCGGCGATTTATTTTCGGCGTGGGGTAGAGGGCATGGTATAGTGCGACAGATGCTGTGAAAAATTTCATCGGCGTTTTAATTTAGGCGTTTTGGGTCGGTGCCGAATATAGCCGAAATTAAATAGCTGCCGAAAATTTGTATATTTACAGTATTGGCCGAATAGTACCGTTCACCATTTGAAATTGTATGATGAAGAGCAAGCAAAAAAAGAGTTTTGTCCTTTCAATTCTGTGCAAAGAGGGTTTTCGGATAATTGATCGTTTGGATAGCTGACGGTTGCGAATAATCAGCTTTCTACTGTTGAATGAATGTTACCTGACAATTCAACAGCCGGGATAAGTGAGTAACGACTGCTTGCTGGATAGTTAAGTTCTTTGTACTGATTCTTTCCTTCTCCGATTTCTTAGATGTTTCATCGATGTCAGAAGCTGATTCAAGGCATAGGAAATCGGGGTCGTGGCGGAAGTAACCAGGAAACGAAGGTGACAAAGAACGTGATGTCATCGCTTGCGTCCAGCTTGCAGGACTTGTCTGTGACATTTCGAAAGGCGCAGTCATCGTACTTGAAACGTGAGTGTCATTTGGCCAATACATGATGTACATGTAGTAGAATATTAGGTTACCTTTCTTTTTTTTAGACTATCACCTTTTACTAGCCTAGTACACTGCCACTCTTCACAGCATGTTTGAGACCGTGAATGACTTGAAAGAGCACAGTTCTGCTAATAAGGAAAGGATAGGACTGGGGAACTGCTAACATAACCAGATTCCAAGTACGTAATGTACATGTAGTACATGTAATCATATTCTTCCTTCTGGCGGATGCACCACTAGTCTTGTTCTTGGCTCATACAAATGTCCCTGTATATTGCGCAGGATTGAAAAATCGTGATGAGCGGGAAAAGCAGCTGTTCGACACTCCGGCAACACAGGTTTCTAGCTTCATGGAGGAGGAGAATGTAACCGAAGATGAGCTATATGATCGTGTGAGTGCCAAGTACACGCCAGCAGTCGTTATTGGCTGCTAGTGAAGTCTGGTCGAGTTAATGAAGTGTGGCACTGTAGCCTGCAGGGTTTCTGTTCATGTCGCCAGGAAGCTCCCTGAATTCTAAAATCTGCCCAATGACGAGTGTGCAAAACTAGGAAAAAGAGCTTGGCTTCTCCCTGTACATGGTGTTGTCCCAAGTCCTCTCCTCATGCTTTGGTGTACAGTAACACTGGGTGCAGGAGAGCAGGGGTAGGGTCTGGTTAAAGCTGGTCAGGATGTTGGTATTTTCGAATGCCAGCATCTTTATACTTCAAGTATTCTTATTCTGAACTTGTACGTTAAAATATAGCGCAGGCACACTGTGCATGCAGTGTTGAAAAACCCAATGAGGCTTAGAAACCTTTGCTTCCTGCCTGGCACGCTCTTACATGATTTTTTTCTAGCCTGGATGTTCTTTGGCTGCACGTTCTTCAACGCCCAATGCAACTGTACTGTCTTGGTGAATTTGCTTTTAAAAAGCAAAGTTTCCTAAAAAGTGTCTTCGGACTGTTTTGATTGGTTCATCCTCCTACTTGAGTTACTTCTCAACTGGCATTCAGACGTCTATAGCCTCCTAACATTAAATCCATGACATGTTGAAATCAGCAATTGACAGTTCCCTCCATCTCTCTGTTTGAAATATTCCTTTTTCAGGGCTTTACAGAGAACCAGCTCGGGCTGGTTGAGGACAATTCTGCAATGGTGGAGGAGAGAGAACGGGAAATCATCAAGATCGTGCAGTCCATCGCAGACTTGAATGAGATATTCCGGGATCTGGCCACGATGATCGTTGAGCAGGTCGGTAGACCGGTACTAGTAACTTGCTATGTTTTAAACCGTATTCTGGGTGGAACTTTCATGCTACTAAACCGATTTCCGAAATGTTAGGCATGGAAAGCTTTTTGGGATTCGTAGAGCATGGTAAGCTCAACGGCTGGCTCGACATCATAGAGATCCTTTATCCAATGACATCATTAGTAGTGCTTTCAATGAATTCAGTCGATTTCTGCATGGTCCGGTCGTAAGGGGTTATGGTTGTGATCAGTTTTACAAGCCACATGTACACATACGTCATGCACATGGGTGTTTGTAAATTCTGACAGGAGAGCTGCTGTTCCTGACTTTCTGGTTCGAGTTGTCTGCATATTTGCATGTGGCCCACAACTTTGCTACCTGAATGGCTTGTACATGTACCGTAGTGCATCTCCCTTGTTGACATCTTTCTCATCGTGCTAGCATGTCACATGTGCACCTTTCATGTGGACTGTATGTTGTAAAAAAATTACCGTTCAATGCGTTGTGCCGTCTGATACAGGGAACCGTATTGGATCGAATCGACTACAACATCGAGCAAGCCGCTGTAAAGATCGAGGAAGGTGTTGTTCAACTGCAAAAGGTACATACTTTAGTCCTGAAAAACTATTTAGTTCTGAAAAACTTGGTATATCTATTTCGGCTGCTCAGTGTAAGATACATCAAGTAGTTTTGCGTCATGAGGAAAGTTTTCTATGCAGAGGGTAAATCAACTTTGAACAGACGCTGATGGTTGTGTGACTAACTACTCTGAAGTCTGTGTGGGTGGAAGACATCCTGCACTGATGGGTGCCATCTTCCATTGGTTGGGACATTTCTGAATGATTGTATCTGATTTTTCTCTACTACTGTGTGTGTGTGTGTGTGTGTGTGTGTGTGTGTGTGTGTGTGTGTGTGTGTGTGTGTGTGTGTGTGTGTGTGTGTGTGTTTGTGTGTGTGTGTGTGTGTTTGGGTGTTTTGTATGTGCAGGCGGAGAAGTCTCATAAAGGCACTCGAAAGATGCTATGCATAATCGTCCTTGCTTTGCTTGTTGTCGGTGGTATGGTCGTATACATCGCCTTGAAAGTTAAATAGTGTCATACTTGTATGATTTGAGTCATTTCAGTTGGAATCGGGCACTCCTGCATTAGCCGCTGCTGTTGCTGCAATCTGGGTTCCATGTTTAGGGTGTGATGATAATGATTTCCTGCTTAACTATGAGGACACGACCTAGTGCTGCCGTTCATGTATCCCATTATAGCCGACGGTGTGCTGCTCTGCTTTATTCTGTTGGCAACTCCGCCGGTATCTTCTGGTGAAGTGGCTGGTCTGCTTCTGTAGAGATGCTGTTGATGTGACAGCTCCGGCCTGCTCTACCGGGGTGCTTGGCTATCAATTTAACACCCCCCCCCCCTTCTTTTGGAAATCTGTTATCTTATTTCAACATTAGATCAAATGCATGACTGCCTCTTGTCAATTATGAACTCGTTGCCAAGAATTGCATAATGCAAATTCAACAATCTACAGTGCTGCTCAATTAAATCTTATCCGGCGGTGTCAGTCAAGTTTGCGCCTGTGCTAGTGCACAACCTAGTGTTGACAGGTCTGGCACTCCACAGCGCCCGGTGTGGACTTGCTTGATCGGATTCCATTGAGCAACACTGTAGTTTGCGTTGAAGTGTATGCAGAATGGAGGCTAAGAATTTGCTTGCTCTAGAGAATGTCACGGCTCAATGCTCACAAGAGCTAATCGTAAGTCATCCTCTATTGTATTGGTTGTCTGATGATTGCCTAGCGGCTATGAAATGAATGGTTATAATGATTTTGAAGCATGGCACACTGTGACATGCTTCTCTGTAACTCGTACTTCGGCTCATATGACTGCACCAACATGACACGGTCATCATTACAACAGTGACAACTTCTTTATCTGATAACGTTAGCTGCAGTTCCCGGCGGTACTTTTGAAAAGCACACATAATAATTATTTTTTTGGGTCCCAGAGCAACTGCATGTTTGTCAATCGGCACAAGTGGAGGACGGTTGTCACACCTGCTATCTTATGATCTGTAAACCAAACTTTACCAAAGCCATATCAAAACTATTACACAAGTGACTGACTTTGCACTGCACTTGCTTCTACTAGAGCAAAAATTCCTTTTCTCTATTTCTCTTGATGGAGTGAGACGATCACATTGATTAGATCAGGAAGTTGTATAGAGTCTACAACTCCCTGGTTAGATCTACTAGCCATAGCACATTGAGTAGGAGGTACAGCGCTAGTGGTGCACTAGCGATTCCAGCTGTATACCATGGTACACATAGCGCCCATAAGTGGTTCCGCTGACTCACGTTGTAGTATACTTAGCACCTACATGATTGTATAGACGATTCCGCTGATTCACCACCATGACATCATTCATGTGAGTCAGCGGAACCGCTTATGGGCACTATGTACATGTATACAGCTTGAGTCGCTAGTGCATCACTGCACTAGTGATATCCCTGTGTAGTGGTTTTGCCAAAGACAAGTCTCTTTTTGTTTTGCTTTTATGTACTTTCATACTCCAACCTACATGTATGATGATAGAGAGGAGTGTCATGGTAGTGGGGATGCGCACACTGAGTCGACCGCGAGGGATGCCCAGTGACCCAAATAAGGAGAAGAGAAACTGATCGTGTATGACCGCATGTGCACCAAGCGAAGAGAGAAAAATAAGAGAATTTAGTAAAAGTCTTTAGGGCCACAGAAATATACACACCCGCGGCACCGTGCATGTGCACAGCTGATGATGTACATTGTAATCCTTCTCATCATAATCTGGTAAGTCAAGCAATCAAAGTCGGCAGGAAAAGCATGAATTGGGTGGGTCAAATTTTTAGAAATAAGGTCCGGACCGAGTGATAGACATGAGGGTTATAAACTTATAATACAACTACCCCCCCCCCCCCCCGCAAGAAGATAGTGACTACAGTACACTGTATATAGGAAATAGTTGCACTAGCCGCTAGTGTATTTAGGCAAACTATTCCAACAAAACTGATCGAAACTTGCCTCAATAGGATACTACAAGAAAATTCAAGTATGTGTGCTGAATATGTGAGAGATGTAGTTTTATTGTCTCTGAGAATAACAAATTTGAAGAAACTTCCTGTTAGCTATAAACAGGTTTGTTCTCTGCGTCAAAGGCACTATTAAGATTAGGTAGAACAGTTTGCTGATTCGCTGGTCTTGCAACCGGCTGGCGACAAATGAAGGACATCCGCCGGCCACGCTGCACAGGTGTGCCGCGGAAAACCGATTCCTCCGCCTTCAGAACCTCGTGTGTGTACAAGTAGCGGGCATCACCACTGAACAAAAGAGTCAACAAATAGAAAGGGTTGTAGGTCAGTGGAGTACAACACCTCCGACTACACAGTGATAAGGACACGTCATCTCGTCAAGAGCGACCAGTAGGACTTTGCAGTTGATATTTACACCATTTTAAGTACATGCAAATGTACATAGTAAATTCGCATTTCAATCAAGAATAGCACCGTACATGACTGTACTGCATTGGTCATTGAAGTACAGCTCCAGAGTAACGTAATTGACTAATCGTACACTTACACAGTAATCACATACATTGTGACCTAAGTGAGCACACTACATGTACATGTGCAGTTACCATGGTTACACACAGGGTCTAGTGGATATTTCAGGCTTTGCTGTCTCTGTTCCGAACAGTGCCATGCAGCAATAGGCAGTCCTCACACCAGGGGACTTTCACTTTGACCTGTTGACCAGGTTCCTACAATATTTTACTGTTTCCATTCGCTTCCATGTAATTGGGCGACACCGCCCGTTTGGTTCTGCGAATTCAAATAAAAATGTATCTACCTACCTCCTAACGGTACGTGTACAGTCAGCATGGCCGTGTACTTACGTAATCACATACAATGAGAGACGCGGCAGGAAGACATCGACCATCTTCTCTGGCTCCTTTTCATGCTTGAAGCGCATAACACAGTCCGACAGCAAACTCAAACCCGCTATCGTGTCTCCACAGAACTGAGTCGGACAAAACAAGGACAGAATGTAGGGCAATCCGTGGCCTTGTTTGTCATTTTGAAGTATGTCTACCACATAACATCAGGTACTACTACTCGATCAACAGCAAACCTGAATTCAGCCTTGTGAAAAAAGACATGGGAAGATTGGCTCAGACTCAGACTGTGCGGTCAAAGAGCTGCAGTTCTTCCTCTTACTGATCTTTGGAAACAGAGCTATAGCTTCACCATGTGGTGTCATGGCAAGGGATTTGGCTAAAAATTGTGTTATCTGTAACAAATAATAATATTATACCGATTATACGGCCGGTAAAAAAAGTAAATTATCGTGTCCATTTCTGAAGGAAACTCACGACGACCGCTAACACCCGGTAAACCCTAGCGGCATATGCAGCGCCTAACGGTGGGGGTGAGTGGATAAGTTTCACAACCACTGGCACAAGTGCCGAGAAACCCCATTAGCCACGGCCGGTACACAGAATGAAGAATGGAATTCGGTTGCGACTCGTACCGGGGCTTCACGCAAAAGCGATCACCAGACAACAATAGGCTAAGGATAACGTCTTTGTATGAAAGTCTCTGAGATGCACCCAGATCTCGTCATGCCTCAAGTTCTGCTCAGGAATGCTCTACCCAGCGGGCAGTGAGTACTCTGTGAACAGACTCGGAAATATCCTAGTAAGCGGCGTGTGTTTGGAGTAGCGGAACACTCTGTTCAGACGGTCAACCGACAAGTGTCTCTATATACCCAGGGCAAGGCTGTGTCTCTATAATACCAGGGCAAGGCTTCCCAGTACAGTACAGCATTAGTCAGAAGGGTACCAGTAATACGACCGGCAGCATACCTTGACGGAATCAACATGTGGCATGATGTACCTACAAAACACCACAACACATCAAGTAGAGCACCTCTTAATCCACATGCTTCTATGTCTACTAGTGTCATGAACATGGAAGTCTTCGTCCAGACTGGTCACTCAGTATCTTTGTGCAGGAAATGCCAGAAATGAACGCGAATAGTGCACGCATAAACGCATGCGGGCCTGCATACACACAAACACATGTACTACCGTAGGCTGTACGCAGTGTAGCCTACACTAACATCACTCACTGCTCCATCACACTTCACAGCAAGTACATTGCCCAGGTTCATGTACCAGTACATCTGTTGTGGCAGCCCACTCCGGCACTCGCCCATCACTCCGACACTCGCCCCATCACTCACCCATCTGCAGACAGGTCCAGAACATGAACACGCGGCCGAATGGTGACATCATTGCCAAATGCTGCTCTTCGCATCCGCTCCACTACGGCACTGTTTTCTGGCGACCAGCGAGACTTCTCCGTTTCTCTGTATCCCCGGATCACCTTAGCAAAAAAAAAGACGAGTACACTACTATTGAATATTGCAAAATCGTACAGATGAATCAAGTATGACCTCGATAGCTGTTCTTCATCCTCATCTCAGTCACAGTACAGCCTTCTTTTTAAAACCACTGGAATTCTACTATTCTACTGGTACAGTGTATTCTATGCCTGCAGATGAATTTTCTCCATGTCACTTGTTGAAATCCGGGGTCGAGCCGCACATCGTTTCGAGTACTTTTATCTCATGTCGACTCCCTCGGCCTGTATAATATGGCTACGACTCCCTGGTGATCTCCTTGGCGTGGGACCATACCGGGGAGCTCCCTGGTGCATACGGGATACATGGTCCAGTCCCTCCTACCCGGTCAGTGCCGCTGTTCATCCCGCCCTTGCCGCTATCGCGGCGCCTGGCTGGATTCCGCGGTAGTGCAGCCCTCGTACTCGTGCAGGAACCTGCACTGCAGTATAGTAGTGCAGACGCGTACCAGTGGCACACCCCCTTTATTTTTGCAAAAGCTGAATTGACATTTTCATAGCTACACGGTAGTACACGAGCTGGCTAACCAGTGACATGCTCAGCTGCACTGTTGTGTACTAATAATATGTCGTCATACAGTTCGGGCTTACCCCGTCCCAATGATCATACTGATAGTCCAGGTGATCCACGTACTTGGAGCATTCCTGCACCAGCGATTCTTCCTCTGCTTCGCTGACAAATCCAGGTAGAACACGGGCACTAGCGTGGGGCAACACACCTGATGGGCTGTGGAAATCCCCACAGGAACGTTTCTGAATTTTATGACAGGGTACGAGGCTGCCTGTACTGATCACACTCAGACCAGTCAGGGAGCGATGAGAACATAGCCGCCTCAACATGATCATATCAGCAGATTTACCTGCCCTAGGCCCCTACTGCCCTAGCTACCCCTGCTATTGTTTTCATTTTCATTCAGCGGATCGGAAAAACAGTTTCTTGGCCCAGCCACAAACAAAGCAAAGCTAGCTCGAGTAATAATCGTCTTGTGCATGTGCTGCTACTGCACTGAACAGAGGTCAGTGAAAGCGATTAGATCTAGATGGGTCGGAGGCGCGGCTCAGAGCGCATGGAGGCGGGAATTCCCCGCATGCAGCCAACAAGGCCGCCGGCCTGACAATTTTTGAAAAATTTACTGGGTGTGTTTGATTCGAAGTTACAATTTGCAGTTCTAGTAATCATTCTGTTCATCTTGCTCCTAAACCAAAGCAGGGCTGTAGACGTCTTTCGAGGCCGTGCCTCAGTTCATCGTTTAGTCTCCTGCCTAAAGAAATAGTCGTATTCCTACAGGTGATACTTACTTGGTCCGCTGTGCGGAACAAGATGGATCAACAAGATGTCATCTATTTGGCCGTCCTTGTAGCGTCAATTTTACTTGCACATATCTTCAGACTAATTCCTCAGCCTGGAATCAAACAAGTATTTGGAGGGATCATTGGCTTCAGCATCGCTGTTTTAGTGTGTGGGTGGCAAGTATATCATTCGTTGATTACAGCCTCAGTAAACTACATCTTCATTCGACACGTCAGCACAAAGTAAGACCATTTGCCAATGTATGCTTTCACTGAAAGTACATGTACAGTGTAGTGGCGTTTCAGCTAAGAAGAGAAGTTTGCTCTTTCTGGCCAGCGCTGGATTGTCTTTCTACTTTAATATCCTGGTAGAAAAGGAGAAGGACAAAATGTTACGAGTTATGACTAACTGTCCACCAACGTAACCAGATCATATACAGTCAGCGAGTGCGACAAAAGTTAGTCATAAGGCCACCTAGAATTAATTCGTTGTTTCGGGTCACTTCACTCATCCGTACCAGGGTCGGTCGGTCGGGTTTATTTTTTATTTTATTTTTTATTTTGGTTACGTCCATGTACATGTACATCGAATAAGTTGTCCATCTAGCCAGTCGATCAAATCTGACTGTTGTGTAGACCATAGACAATCCAGCGCAGTCATTGTCCCATCAGATCCAGGTCCCCTCCAGGACCAGATGCCTCGCTGGCAAACGAGTCTGACCGGCGAGCAGCTCTCACCTTGAAAACTTCTGTAAATAGCGACAAGGTGGCGGAGCTGATTTTTTTTGTAAATTTAGTAAATGACAGGATGCAGCGCTTGGTGACGACGTTGTCTTCTATCTCCGATCCGCAATCGGTCCTGAAACAGCATCAGCTGATTTAGCCATGGCTGCTTCTGAGGTCGATTTCTGGACTGCTATTATTAGGGTCACGTCGCGTGTGTAGTCTGTACATTTGCATGCACTATAAAAAAAAAGCATTTTGCGGTCGGGTGAAAAAAGACGGTCGGTCGGGTGACCCGAAACAACGAATTAATTCTGGATGGCCTAACTCGTAACATTTTGTCCTTCTCCTTTTTTACCAAAATTAAATTGGCTCACCATCCGAGTTAAACTTTAATATCCATTACGTAATATCCACCACTCCCCATAGTGCAATGTAGTTTGACGGATACTTTTTATATCCCTGTGGAGTGTCATCACATAATAACAAGAGTACATGTACATAACCCCAAGAGTAATAGTATGCAGCTCTCATTATGGGGTCTGGTGCGGCGTGCTGCCCGCATCACGTAGCCACGAACGGTGGGCCATTGCGTCGTTATTGATCTGCTACGGTTTCAGGTTTCCAAATCCGCTTTTCTCGGAGATTTCAGATGGGTTTGTACATGTATGTGTGATGTTGCGCACAGGTATTGCCTTTGAACTTACCATATTGCACGTGAAATCGCTGAGGCTAAACTGTAGGAAGGCTAAAATCCAGGCAGCTGGATGAGCTGAGTGCTTCTCTATTCTCCTGGAACTGAGGTCTTGTCATCTGATATTGATTTGATACTGATGTGCGCGTACCTTCCAGATACAATCACATCCTCTCCTTCGTCTTCTGCTTCGCATACATTGGTTTCACCCGAGTGTCGTTCTTATTGGGCTTGGAGCCTATCGGTGGTCATACCAATGTCATCCAGTTAATTCTGACAGTCAAGGTACTGATGGCAGTTTCATGAGAACAGCTTTTTTGTTTTGTCTGTGTCCATGACCCTGCATAAGACAGGCATACTCAGTAGTTGCTAGGGGATAGAGGTCAGAGAGTGCTCGTGTTGTAGTGCGTTATTTTTGATGTTGTTGGTGTGTGGAAAGTCAGCCTTCGTCTTAAGTGTCATATCCAGTTGTGTTTCCGTCGTCTCTCCGTAAAATGAAGTTCTTCCGCTATGTAATCCTGTCGTCAATGGGACCTATGCATAATCTTTCCGCCATTTGGCTTTGCTGGGCAAGTCCATTTCAGTCGTACTTTGAAATACACACTGTAATACCAGCCCTGCATAGAATGTCATGTACTGTACAGGTATGCTCACATGTGTACTACAGCTGACTACACCTGCCAAATATGGGACAAGTTCCCCCACAAAAAGGCTGCAGCCATGTTTTATGCATATGATAGGTGCCATGGAGTCATAAAATGCGACAAGGTGGTGATATGCCCCTCGGTATACGGCTATATGCTGTATTTTTCGACTTCCTGATAGGTGCCATTGTCTATGTGTGAAGATGGCACATGGCTGGGAGTAGTGAGAAACGGTCAATTACAACACTAGCTATGACTGTACTGTAGGCCTATATCATGTTGCACGTGCCCAATGAGTGTTTTTATTCTGAGCAGACGAGTCCCATATGAAAGTCATACACTTGCAGCTATAGCTACTGTGCATAATGTTCAACAGGCATATGTCAATTGTAATTGATAGTTCTGGTGCGGTCTTGTTTGGTGTGTTGATGCAGCTTGTCAGCTTAGCCTTTGACATTCGTGATAGGAAAATCAGCCAGGAGAGCAACAAGAAAGACGAGGACAGTCGCACAGCTATATTTTATCGTGATGAATATGACTCTGCTTTACTTGGATTCAAGATGCCCACCACACTACCATTAATCCCGGACATAGTGGAGTACTATTGTTTTGTCTACTGCTTTGTTGGGCTGCTGACTGGACCTTTCTTCCGCATCTCTACCTTCCGTCATGCTGTATGGCGACCTAATGCTGGCTCGCTGCCTACATTGAAGCCGTCTTTACTGCGACTGGCACCGTTTCCTCTGTATGCTGGCATTACATTTGTAAGTTTCAACTCTCCCAGCAGTTATGTGTGGGCATCGTGGTACATACAGTACAAAATGAAAGTACATGTGCCTATGTTCGTGGTAGTTCATAATTCATGGAACTTGTGAATCATCCTGTCCGTTTCGACACACCTGCTGGCACATCATCCTATACGAAGTGAATCCTCCATGTGCTGTGCCCTTCTGAAACTCTTCTGTGTGATTAGATATTTGCCAAGTACTTTCCACATGCCTACTTGGGCACTGATGAGTATGGAGAGCTACCGTATGTACACAGAATCCTCTATGTTGTTCCTGCCTTCATTGGCTATCGCTATCGCTATTACACCGGCTGGTCTTTGGCTGAAGCAGCTATCGTTGCCTCCGGTGTTGGGGCATATCCTGTGGAGACAAAGCCAGAAGCAGGTAAGGACAGATTGCTTATAGTGACTGTTTCCACTGCTGCGTGTAATGCTCCATTACCATCAACACTGTTAGTGGAGTTGACTGTACATGCAGCACATTACAAACCCTACTTTGTCTGTTCCAAGTGCTTGTCCTAATGCTCGTCCTGGAAAGTGACATGCTCAGTGCTACTTGGAACTGCTGTTGCATAAAACACAGTGCACCTGACAGCATGCGGAGCACATGGATCTAGTACAATTTTTACAAGTACTTCGAAGTACATGTATGTGACGAGGCAAACCAAACTTTTTGCATCGGTGCATGCATAAGCAAATTGTTTTGTGAAGATTATACCGCGACTATTTCTTGCATCCAGAGTCATGTACTGGCACGTGTATTCGTTGTAGGGTGCGGGTATGTTCACGGGGCCGTATTTCACTTGCCACCAGCTAGCAATTTTCAGTCAGCTAGTGTTTGTTCTATTCCCTGGACCTGTTTGCTTGCTCCCAAGGCCAAGGACCGACGCAGCCATTGTCAGATGGGAAAAGCTCTGGCCAGTTGGATTTCTCTGCCGTTTACAATCTGGACGTATATCGCATTGAAACAGCAACGGATATGCGCACTGCCATTCGTCACTGGAACATGAGCGTGCAGTGGTGGATGACATATTACATCTACAAGCGATTTCCATCGAAATCGTTGCGGTGAGTGGATTCATTATTGGCTGAGCGGGTATCGGCGACAGCATATCTCCTTTGTTGCTGGGTCAGGGGTGGGTTGAGACTGAAAAATAAACACACCGTAAAGTCGCATATGAAAGTTGGTTTATTCTTGTACAAGCCGATGTTTAAATATTGTTGTTTTGTACGTGTATGTCAAGCAATGGAACTTTTAGTGATGTCACAGCACTTGGCATGTACACACATAGCTTTAGTTATCACTTGCTGCAGGCTTATACTGTTATAGCGACCATATAAGTGCAGTTGGAAAGCAAAGACAAGTCAGAAAATTCAGAATCCATAGCGAAAATCCTGCAGTACAAACACTCTACTGAAAATACATGTGAATGCATAGGTTCACTAGTTGAGGGAATGAAAAAGGGAAAAGTCTGAAGAAGACATTGACCGTCACCACCAGGACTCAAACCAGGGACCTTCGCTTGAGGCCAGCGATGCTCTAACCACTGAGCTACGGTGTAGTCGTCATCTGAGCAGAGACCGTTCAACATTTCCCTCAGACTTCGAAACTCACGCTTCCTGTGAAGCTACAATGCGTAGCTGTGTATCTATCAGGTGTACACTCAGAGCGAGTTGCGGCAGCTCGAGTCAGTGCTCGGTGCACCTACGATTGTAGGTACAGAGCCTTATACAGATACAGAGAAGGCCTCATGAAACTAAAGCGTTACAATTTCACCTCATCTCGTCTCCCTCTAAAACTCGCAGACGGGGTGCTGATATGCCCCTCGGTATCTGCTGTTGGCGCCCGCCATCTTGTTTCACCCCACCCAGCTCGCCCATGTGCATGTCACTGTAATGTACACGATTGGCACATATCATTCATCCGTGCAAAGTTACCCACACTTGTAGCAACCCATATCGAACACATTCTTTGGACTTTGTAGTCAGTGCTGTCCACACGGGGGGAAGAAGCCCAAATATGCACAGAGAGCTCAATAACCAATGGGGGTCTGTACTTGCCTGATGATGGCGCACCACTCATGAGTTACGAGGATGCCTTGATCCGATGTTTGTTTTTTTGTTGCTTGCTTAGTAAGTGCTGTCTAATGTTCGCTTGTGCGTGAAATTCCGAAGAATATACTTTCAATATAGCAATACAGCCTTAGTTTCCCATATCTGTACCAGAATCACGTGTACATGTATGTAGAGTTTTATTTGTAGACCTCAACATATCCTGTTTCTATTGCCCAGGTTTCCGGCAGTGTGGTTCACTAGTGCTTACTGGCATGGTGTGCGACTCGGCTACTACCTATGTTTCATGTCCACTGTGCTGACCAGCCTTACTGAAAGTACATGGTGGAAAGCAACAGCATTCCTGCGGAAGAAGGGCCCAATGTATGAACGGGCTATGCTAGTGATCGGCTGGTTCCTCTGCTTCCGCTACTTTGAGCACCTCGCTGTTGGTTTCATGCTCCAGCACCCCTCTATCGTATTCAAGTCCTGGTCATATACATACTTCTTTGGACATTCATTAGCGATATGTGTTCTAGTTCTGGCCATGCTCCTCACAGCAGTGGTTCCACCCGAAAAGAAGAAAGAGTAGGACTGTTTTTTACTTGTCGTTATGCTCTACTTATTTATTGAAGAAATTTCTATAGAACAATTGATTTTTCAATGCTAAAGTTGCTTTTTAGGATATGTTTCCCCTGCCTTTGGCATTATGGAAGTGACATTTTGTCTTCCGTTTCTTTTGCAAAATTGTGGACCCCTTGTCCAGCTTTCTTTTTGTCTTCCACAGGACTATTAGATTGTTTTTGCCAAGCCATCCCTCAATAGACCACCAATCCCATGAGAATACACTATTAGAACCCATATACATTGTACATGTACTGTACTACCACTGCAGCAGTACAGGAATCTGCAACATGCATTTTTTTATGACTCCCTGATCTACACCTTACATGTGTGGCTAAAACAAACCCTGCCTAGCTAGGTGGTAGCATAGTACGCAAATGGCATAGATCATTGAAGCATAGCAGGCGAATGGCCTGGATTTTAGCATTTGTTGCGTCAAACTCTAAAATCTTCCTTCGTGCCTTTTGTGTGTAGTACTAGTAGTCACCCTTATAGGCGTTGATATTCATTCCATGGAGTGGTCGTCAGGTGCGAAAACAAATAATGACCTTGTAATTGTTTCGGGTCTAAAGGATTCCTCTACACAACCTATGCAAATTGATGAAATGGGTTTCATGAGGCGTCGCACTGTTTTCCGTGCACTTCCCTGTCCCCGGGGAAAATTGCGATTCCGCGGCCGCGTTTTTTTGCGATTTTTGAAAAGACCGTGTTTTCCGCGATTTTTCCGCGTTTTTTGAACTTTTTTGTTGCACTACACGCACACACAGTGCACTGTTCGGTCAGGAACGTCTCATCGTGGCGGCTTTTTACTCAAATATGACGAGTGCTTACACCAGAGACTTGTAACTGATTGATTTCACTACATACTCACTGAAAATTGCCGCACATCAATATTCTTCACCGCAAATTCACCGCAAATTATGCCGTATTATGCCGCGTTTTTTTGCCAATTTTTTCCGCAAGTTTCCCTGGGAACAGACTTCCATAGGAATAATCCAAATTTCAAGCCGATCGGCCAATTTTCGGGGTGAAGCTTCCGCTGTAGTACAGTTAATTAAAAGCACTAGATATGCCAACCTGTGGCACTGCTCCCCAATCAATCACAGACATCTATGCATGGCAGAAGGAAGTTTTCCTCCTTGCATGGTACATGTATCTATGTACTTATTCAGCATACTAAGCATTCTATCATCATCTGCATCCACTACATACCGTATATTCTCTATTATAAGCACAGGTCTTCATTATTAGCACAGTCTCTAATACTAGCACACTTTGAGTACCTTTCGAAACATTATAAGCACGGTCTCTATTATTAGCACGGTCTTGTTGGAAATCAATGCGGCATGCATGATATCTAGCATGTATTTCTTCTTTCTCTGTATGGATGTATTGGTTGAAAAAATATAAGCACGGTCTCCAATATAAGCGCGGGGTAGAGGGGTGTTGAAAAAATATAAGCACGGCGCTTATAATAGAGAATATACGGTATACAACACTTTGAATCATGCAGAACACTCATATCCTATATATAGGATCCGACAAAAAAAACTGACATGTACTCTCTAAAACGGCCCTATAAGTCAAGCGATAATACTGGTACTCTTGAAAACTTCTGAAGAGAACCTACTGATACTGCCCTAACACCTTACGATACAATTTAGGCACACAAGTTATCCCGGGCGGAAGCAGGGTCATGATTATTAAGGGATACGAACGGTGCCATGCGCCAATGCAATGTGTGCAAGTGCACTCAACGAGGCATAACTCAGTCAAATCTCAACCGAATTCAATCAAAATACCTACGAGGTAGCAGAGATCCTCAGCTGTCGGCTCGAAAAACTCCGGGGTCGATACGAGCTAACGGGCTGGAAGCAGGGAGTAGTACAATACATGGTATTGTACTACTCCCTGGCTGGAAGCATGCACTCGAACCTTTTGCTTGATTTCTCAGGATGTAGGACGACAGGAATACACCACATGCTGTACAAGAACAGTGAGTCAGTCAACTAAATAACTACTTTGACATTGATCCTGGCCATGATACATGTATCATGTACATGTGTAAGACTGGTACTCTTGTCCATCAATAACACAACGATCGATGAACCAAAAAAAGCATCCAATTTTTTTTCATTCCGGCCGAGTCTCCTTTTTGAGGGGTTGCCGGCTTGAAACAAGCCTATTTTTTGTTTTGGCATAGGGGAAGTTACGCCTAAAATCAAATTTTCACCAGTTGTAGTCTTTGGGGTGGAGTCGAATGGTCTTGGTCCGAGGAAGCTGAAACGCTCCCTTCCTCCTTTATTCCCAATCGAACTCGCGCACTTCCACCGAAACTGGGTGACTGCGCCCTACTAGATGGGGATGTGTATGCAAAATGTCACTAAAAGTGCCATTTCGCTCTTATAAAAGCCCGGATGACCGCTATTGGCCCATATGTTGTAGTCTTTCGGACGCTGAATCGACTGGTTTTGGTCCGAAAAGGCTGCGATGCAGCGTTCGGCCCTTATTCCCAATCGAACATGGTTGAACAAGCGGTTATGTGCTCCTGCGCACACCAGTCACCTGGTCACCGCGCCAGCAGGCAACAGATTTCACACCAAGGTTCAACTCGAGTGACAGAAACTCGCCCAAACATGCTGTAAGTTGTAGCCTGCAGGCACGGTAACCAGGTGACTGGTTTACGCACGAGCACGTGACCACTTGTTCAGCCATGTTCGATTGGGAATAAGGGTCGGACGCTACATCGCAGCCTTTTCGGACCAAAACCAGTCGACTCAGCGTCCAAAAGACTACAACATATGGGCCAATCGCGGTCATCCGGGCTTTTATAAGAGCGAAATGGCGCTTTTAGTGACATTTTGCATACACATCCCCATCTAGTAGGGCGCAGTCACCCAGTTTCGGTGGAAGTGCGCGAGTTCGATTGGGAATAAAGGAGGAAGGGAGCGTTTCAGCTTCCTCGGACCAAGACCATTCGACTCAGCACCCAGAAGACTACAACTGGTGAAAATTTAATTTTAGGCTTAACTTCCCCTTTAACATGAGTGCTGTGAATTCACTTCTGGTTTATGTCCAAATGCGTGAGTCAAGCGATCGCCGAGGGAGTGCACTGCGTTTGCTACCGAGCTGCACACTGGCGTATCGGTATGCACTCTTGCTAAAGCCTTTATTTAATACACTAATTTTTTCTATGGAGAAATTACAGAGCTCCTCAATGAAATCTAAACACGCGAGTCAATGTCAAGCTGGGCGCTGTGCACTTGTGCATCGTATTTCATAGAGCAGCAGCACTGCACATTTATGTTACATGTAGGTCAGGACTATATCAAGTAAGTAATTTCTATTATAATGCCGGGGCTTTAACTCCCTGCTCGAAGGTCTGCAGCCACCATATCCTGCCTGCAGATGAGTCACATTTCCAAGGACGTGGCCCCCTGATCAGACATATTTCGCAGAAGTTAAACACCTGTGCATGCAGCCAACTCCAAGCTCCCAATGACTCCCTACTACAGCCCTGGCCAGAGATATCTGACCTCATGATGAGCAGAGAGGTGTGTGCGGCCCTCGTCGCTATTATATTCATGAGGGCGGACTTCTCTGGCCAGGACTGTGTAGTTGCACTGTACACGCACTGTCTATATGTCATGCATGTAGTGTGCGTGTGTGTGTGTGTGTGTGTGTGTGTGTGTGTGTGTGTGTGTGTGTGTGTGTGTGTGTGCGTGTGTATTGACTCCAAAGGAAGACTGGCCCGGCGTTCACTTGCCATGGTCAGGCTGTGCAATCACACATTGTTGTAGTTTTCTAGGAGTTCTTGAATTGAATCTAAGAGCTAAATGTTTTCCAAGGATTGTCATGGAAAGTATTCACGAAGACATTGCAGCAAATGGCATACTATATGTACAAGCAATTTTTCATGATAAAAGATGTGTGAAAACAATACCTTTAAATAAGCAAATCAGCACGGATGAAAAACAGCTACCACTGTCCGGCGGTATAGCTCCACAGATTAAGCCTTGAGGAACTCAGGCAACTTCACCTCCTGCAGCATAAAATTGTCGGTCTCACCAACCTTGGGCATTCTTCCCTTCATTCGCTGGAATGGGTCGAATTCTTTCAGAGGATCAACCTCAAACACACTCTCCGTAAATTCCATGCTAGCTGCCGCCATAGGGCCGAGAGACGATGTGTCCAGCTCTCCGTAACGGCGCTGAAGGTTGTATTCTTCGTCCTTGAGAGTTTTCAAATCGTCACGAGTAGCACCAACAAGTCCATGTTCAGCTGACTTCTCTTTGGACTCGTATTCACGGATTTTGTTCACAAACAGAGACTGGATAGGACTAGCATTGGTGGAAGCTGATCGTGCAGCCACCAGCCGCTGGCATTGGGCAACAGCCCGTGCGGAGCACAACAAACTCGCCATTTCACTCTCTCGACAAGTGACAAGATTTGCTGAAAATCACAAGGCAACCACCGTGCATGCATGCAGTGCAGTCAGCTCAAGTAAAAACGACCAGGCCGGCCTTTCTGACGTAGGCCTGCTCAGCGTCCGCGCCACCGCCGAAAGGATCAGCGCTGCAGCGGCATTTCGCTCGCTACCGCATGGCCGTGATGCATTTTTTGTTGACGGCGCGGCCGCGGCGGAACACAGTGCAAGCATGCCGTCACCATGGTTTTTGGGTTCTCAAGTGCGCATGCTCGACTTGTAAAGTGAATAGTGACTGTCCTTTGTCACGTTTGTGTTTCAATCAGGGAGTAGTACAATACTACTCCCTGGTTTCAACCATGACGGAATTTATGATAGTAAAATCTCCCTGATTTGAACTCTATAAATTGTTGTACATCATCGTACATTAATCATTATGGTACATTATGCTGTGTGTCTCTGAGAATGTTGTTGCCATGCAGGAAGTGAATCTACAGAACAAGTGCCGGGTGTGGGGACAGTTACCATAGTTTCCCAGCATCATCGAGAACCGTCACTAACTGAGGTACTGAAACACTAGTAACATAATACAGTGACTGTTTAACTTAAAAATAGTCGAACAGCCTAAGCGGCTAAGTTCTCGGCACCGCCGCACTAGACATGATCCGGCTTCACTGCCGGAGACGGTTCCCGGCACCGCCATGCAGCCATACCACTAAGGGACCATCGCAAAAGTTCGCAGAAGCCCCCAAAACGAAGACCGTGAGTTTCGGGCCTGACCCCCCTCCCTCCCCCCTCAAACGAAACGACAGTCACAATATGGGCTTCATTTTTTCACTTGGATGCTCACACATAATAATTATTATAATACTACACAAGCATTGTTGTATCAGTGTGTAACAATGTACAGCACTTTATAAATGCAACGATGATATCACCTTGCAGTGGGTGATCTAAGAACGAGAACAGCTAGAGCTATGCAGTTGTATCCTTTGAGCATTACAATGAACGTTGATTGGTGTATATTGCTTTCACATTCCCCATACGCGTCCTGACAAGCGATCTACGCCGGCTGTGATGGCATGCTAATCCTACAGCTCCTATAATTATGTCGTCAATACTTTTTTGAATTGAAGCCCGGTTTGCGATTTTCGCACCGACTCCCTCCCCCCCAAACGTATGCACTTCGTTTCAGGGGCTTCTGCGAACTTTTGCGATGGTCCCTAAGTTTAGACATCTCAGTGCATGGGTGGTATCAGCCATCAGTGCACTGAGATCTCACAGCACTGATGGCTTATCATAGCTATAGTATAGGTATTTTACGCAAGATATTTACACCGTGCCGGGCCCCCATGGAGTGCCTCTTCAGTGCAACCTCTCCCATCGCCGGATTGCGCCAGTATGCCGTGAACCATTGCAACAATGCCGCATGATTCCAAAATCATACGGTAAATCATCGGTGGCCATGAGGGCTGGCAACTTGAGTTGGGTAGTGTCCACTTGAACTTTTCGTGCGGGCTTGCCCTGGTACTGAACGGGATCCCTTACAATTTTGAGCGAAAGTGGTATGTGACTCGACTGAACCCGTGCACCCCGGTGATCGCCCGTGCCGGGACCCAGACTCAGTCAAAATTCCAAACCAATCACAATCTATCATGAGACAAAAATTGATATTGTCACTGCCCTGAGAGTATTGCTATTCAATTCAAGCTCCAGTTGGCGGCATTTGGTCACATGTTTTACTACTTTTTTTATTTTGCACTACAGCAGTACTCGAACCGTATGCACGTGATCTCCTTTGGCATCGGGGCTGACCGGGGGCTAGCCCACCGCTGGTGCTTCCCGACGCCGATTGGGCTCAGTATGCGATCCAAACATGGTTAATTAAGAGATCCAATCAAAACGAAACTTGGTTAAGAGATCGCATATCTGGTGACTGGTGATGTGGCGAGAAAGACTGTCTGCGGAATGGGAAACAGTACTGGTTATGGTGTTGAGCAATTATCCGGCGACTTGACTCAGCTTTTTTTGTAGAATGCCTTATGCAGATGCGTATCATAGCATTTCATGACATGGAACATCATAGTACCTGCACTAGAGACAGAGTTATTCAGCTGGATTGGAGAATGTTCTGGAGCCATGATGCTCACGTAATCATGAGTGTTCTATTTTTCTAGCCACGTGAATTAGTAGCCAAACACTGCGGTAGGAGGCACCCGGCCAAAGATCTTGACCAGAGCCAAATGCCTCATGAGAGGAGGAGCACTCCGAGCCTGTTTACAGAATAGCTCTGACCTGGCAATCAAACTGCGACAGTGCCGGATCTGGATGAATATCAACGCACGGCAGACATTTCACAGGGACAAGTTTGCCTGCTCTAACTCGTTAAAATGATACAATTGTGCATAGACTCAACACTGGAGGGCTGTCTGTTTCGTTTCGAAGACGTTAGTGAAATAAGCACGGTGGACGGTGGTTTTTGTGTATCATTCTGGCAGCAGCGTGTCGTCAAGATCATCATCTCCGAAGCCGTCGTCATCAGCGGGGTTGGCTCGACGTGCGGCTGTCTTAGGTCTCTCAGGCAGTCCTTGAAGGGGATCACTGTATGATGCATCTGTGCAGATGTTACGTGAGAGAAACAGAACACCTCTTTTTAACCCGGCACCCAACATTCGCGCCAGGATTTGTCAAGAAACAGATCACTTTTTTCAACCCCCTCAAACCAACAGAAATAGATCGTTCCAGTTATTTTGAAGAATACGAGAACGAATCAATCTGAACATGTCGCTGGGATACACTGGTGGTTCAGTGGCGGGACAGACTTTACATGTGATAAATATACCGAATAGCCGTTTAAAACATTTTCAATATTTTTTAGCTACTAGTACCCTTTGAATTGTTCAGCTGTGAATACTTACCAATTGCTTTGTTGGGTTGCGTTTCCTTGGGTGCCGGTAGATCAACATCATCATTGTCATCATCCATCTCCTGCCTTCTCCTTCGTGACGATTTGACTAAATGCACGTATACAACACAGGGATGGTAATTATGGTTAGTGCTGGTCAGTGTTGGTCAGTGTTGGTCAGTGTTGGTCAGATTAGAGTACGAACAGCTTAGTGGAGAAACCGTGATATCAGTACTGGTAGGTAGTAGGTCATTATGAACCGTGACTTAAAAGAAAGAAAAGAAGAAACGTCAGTTTTAGATGACTCCGTCCTAAGGTAGTCTACATCTCTCACCGGTTTCATTCACAACAGCTGTTGTAGAGCCACTGGGTCTTCTCGGCCGATCCTCTTCATCCTCATCATCGCGCTTCTTCCCAGATCTCTCTCCTTTCTGCGCTCGCTGAAGCTGGACATGACGACATCAACACCATAGCCGATTAAAATCGCCCGCATCACATGTTTATTGGCACTATGTCATCGTGATCGTGGAATAATAATGATAATAACACAGGGGGCTATTGTCAAGGAGCATTTAGTACAGTCCCAACATGTGTGCTGTGAGGGTGCACACAATAATGTACGCATAAATGAAACTTTCTGCCACTGCATTTGCCTCTGAACTGCTTTCTGTAGGTCGATCTATTCTTTACGGGAGTGCTCAGGCCAATAAACGTGGTTGCTGACACCATGATCAAGTGTCGTACTTCCCCTCGGCCTTGTGTGCCTCACACAAGTATCATTCATGTACATATAGATACTACTAGTAGTAGCTACTGTCATTTCCTTGTCAAAATCCATGACACTTGGCATGGAGCTCTGCCATGAACAGTATACGGTCTTACGCACTGAAAGTGAAATGACTCGATCAACCTGTACGACGTTATACCTAGGTAGAGTCACTATATCTGCACAATGTGCAGAGATAGCGCCAGCCTAGGTAGAGGCAGGTCGCATGGCATTGGCCATAACTGTAGTACTTGTACTAGCACACTCATCATGGGTATCAGCGTCTTGGAGCAGTCTCCAGCACCGTTTTTCATTGGCACTTCACATTCTACGCAGTGGCATGCTATGGTACAGGATGTTGCTCAGCTGACCTTTTTCTCTTCCATTTTCTGCGCTCGCCGAAGCTGCTCGGCATAGTCCTGGCTTTCCTCCAGGTTCATGTCAGCCGTTACACGTGCTAGGTACTTGAGACCTACAGAAGAGCAGAGAACACGGCCAGTTCAGTACCCAAACAAGGGCAACAAGAAGGTCTGAAACGTGTTCCCTTTCAGAATCATTTCAAGGATAGACTGCAAGTGAAGAGGATACATAGTGATAGTGAGCTAGTGTTACTCTTGTACTCTTGCCCCATGTACCGTTTGTACACTGAATGCTTACATGTGTGTTACTCTTGTACTCTTGCCCCATGTACCGTTTGTACACTGAATGCTTACATGTGTGTTACTCTTGTACTCTTGCCCCATGTACCGTTTGTACACTGAAAGCTTACATGTGTGTTACCATTGCTCACTGCTAACTTATGATTGCAGCTATACAACTTTGAAGATGACTGACTATCTGACAAGTGCCCCTGCACTCATGTATGCTCTTCGCCAAGGTCTCCTGTGAGCTAAGTGCTTTACTGAGCAGCAACGGATACTGATGCATTGCTTACAGTCGACATTGTCTGGGAAACGCTGGTGTGTAGCCTTGTAGTGATCCAGAGCCTCCTGGTAGTTGCCTGAAGAGTAGAATCACAGACAGAAGGGCACCTATACAACATGGATACAACATGGCTGCAGCCTTTTTAGTGGGGTAACTTGTCCCATATCTGGTACAGTATTTTCCGCCGTGTAAGCCACACTGGAGTATAAGCCGCACCCCCCCCCCCCCCCCCTTTGCCACGAAATACAGACATCTACCCTGTTTATCACCGTTAACTTGGTCGTCGGAGTGTAAACTGCACACCCCCTTTTTTGGGTGAAATTCGAGTTCAAAGTGCGGCTTATAGTTATACTCCGGAAAATACGGTAGGTACAGTTACGGTTCTAGTACACTTGTGGGTATGACTGCAAACAGTGCATGATGGCAGGTATGGTATCATAATGTGTACAGCTGTAGTGGACTTGCTCTGCGAAACCAAACTGTGGGAAGATTATGCATAGCTCCCATTCCCGCATAACTGTTAGCCTCGAATCTCTGCTCCTGGATTAGTTGTCTGCTCTCTTTCCTTCACCTTGTACAGTGTATCTTAGTAACTTACTGTGTTGTACATGGCCATGGGTATTTTCTCACTCCATTGTGTCTATGGAACCTGTCCTGCATGTCTGTGTGTTCTGAAGTTCACCAGGCTTTGCAATATATATTGATTGCATTGGACGTGTAGACCAGGTTGATTCTTGATGTATTGCTTTGCGAACTACTGGCAAGTATGTGCTTGTACTCTGCACTCAACTAGTATCAGCCTCACAATCTGTGCACACGGGGAAGTGGCAAGACAGGTTCTAATGAGGAAGAAGTACGTACCACTTCGGCGCAAGCAAGATGCCACCATCAGTTGCCAACGAACAACATCAGGCCTGGAAAGCAATCGCAAAAGAAAAACAAGGCTCAGCTTCAAACCGAAGATCTGTGTGTGTGTGTGTGTGCGTGTGTGCGTGTGTGTGCGTGTGTGTGTGTGTGCGTGCGTGTGTGTGTGTGCGTATGTGTGTGTGTGTGTGTGCGTGTGGGTGGGTGTGTGCGTGTGTGTGTGCGTGTGTGCGTGTGTGTGTGTGTGTGTGCGTGTGTGCACCTGGCAAAAAACGGCATCAGGCAGCGTTTGCTCTAGTTTGGGTGAGTGGCATTATCATACACATATTATACGTCCATTACCTAATGAACTCCAGGCTATGTGCATGGGCATGTGCACTTACTGCAGTGCAGCGGCATTGGCAAAAAATGGCATTGCCCTCTCATAGGTACCCGATTCGACGTAGAAAGAGCCCAGCCATGAGATGACATCAATGTCGCATGGATAGTAGCGGCTAGCCTGCACAGCAACAGTACCGGTCAGCAAAATGCTTCACTGGATTTTTAATAGGACGATGGCGATCGAGATCACCAATGCTGAATTCAGTTGACAGAAAGCACCATTGTCCAGTCATCATGATCATTAAGCTAGCCCTCCAGCAGTTCATGGTAAGCAGATGGTGGGCAGCAGTCTTGCATGGGTGGACATGATGGACATACTGTGCTCCCTGTTCACAAACTTGCCATGTATCTCAATAGACTGAATAGTGTTTGTATGCGCTACATATACGTGCTTGATTGAAAATAGGATACATGTAATATTATCGGATCAAGTTGCTTACTTCTTGAAAACACTGGAAAGCCATTGACTTGTCATTATCCTCCTCGTACATCCTACCAAGACGGGTAAGCAGCATGGGGTCCGTTGGCACGAGTGTTTGCAATTCCGTGAACCTGTTTAGATCGGAAGGCATGTACCAGCAGAGTGTTATTGATTGATGTGTGAGTGCATTAGCATCATACATGTTCACCTCTACATGTCCATTCCCGTACAAACTGGATGTGACCTGCGCTTCACCTGTTCACCAGCGATTCAAAAAATTTCTCGCATGTGATCCTAAAAAGTGACCGTTGATCCGTCCTTGAAAAGGCTCTATAGGCTATACTTTACATGGATACAATGCACCATTCTGTAACACCGAAATGTAGCCTTCCATCCACCACACTCACCATTTGATGGCTTCTTGTCTCTCTCCTTGCTTGTCATGCCTTCAAATTTACACAATGTGTCAAGGAAATTATACTGACATGGGTCCAGGCCTGAGGAAGCCTGAAACTACCCAACCCCTGGACTCAACGCTCTTTTACCGTGGTCTGCTTTTCAAGTTAGCATGTTCATGAAGAGCAGGCGTGAAGTACCAATTCCCCCCCCCCCCCCCCCCCACACACACACTAGAGTCTTCATGTCAGCACCACCATTCACTTTGCAATCATCTTGGCCATGCCTTATGTAAATGCACGAACATTGAACGGCACCCTCGAATAGTTAGTGGAATCGAGAATGGCGGTGATGTTTCATCATGCACATGCAGACATAGAACAGTGCAGAAGACGGCCGCTTAGAGATTGGGCCTTTTCGGTGTACATTGCTTATTGACAGTGTCTCCTGAGAACATAATAATGTTGTGCACATCCCCCCCCCCCCCCCACGCACACACACAACATGTGCAATGCTATTAAACACTGGTAAACAGCAGCATTTGGCCACAATCGAGGTCGGCTGGAAAGCGCAGTTGTGGTGTGGTGGTTGATGAAAAGAAAGTGCAATGCTGCTTCAACAAAGCAGTGTACATGTGTGTACATGATGACTTAGGTAACAGATCTCAGTGTACATGTGTGTGTGTATACGTGATTTCCATTGACTTATTGGATACAGATCTCCAATCTGGTAGAGGACCTGTGAGTTTCCCGCCAGGATGCTGTTGAGCTTGACGAAATTAACGCATGCCTCCTTAAAGTTTCCAAGTTTCTTGTATGCAAGACCTATTGAAGCGGATAGGACACGGAGCAACATACAGTGAAAAGACGGAGCAAGAGTCACGCAAGCCAATGCAACGAACAACGAGAGCCAGGCACGAAGGCTGCTGAAATGTGTACATATGCAAAGCGTGCTGCTGGGAGAGTTTGCGCATGCACACAATGGCGCATCCGTGAGCTGGCGCGAACACGCACATGATAGACATCGGCATACAGTGAAAACATTACGTCACCGCGTTAACATAGTTTAGCTACGCGAAACGATTTAATGACATCCCAGAACAACTTAGTAACTTGGTTAGTGCCACTGAACTGAATGAAGTATGCGAGCCAGATCGGTACGACAGAAACCGCCCTAAGACGTTTTATGTCGAAATCAAGTTATCACGTTTCAAAGTCCCGTGAATTAAAGCTCTGCGAAGCGCAGACGCCGGCAGTTTTGTTGTGACAAGAGCTGTTCTCTTGTTGATAAGCTGTTCGGTGAAGACCATTGACTGCTGCACGATTGTCGAGTATCTCAAGAGGCTCCACTTATTAGGATTGATTATGGCTACAACATCTGGGATAGGCACCAGAACAAGAACAAAACTGTTCTAGCGTACATGGCATGGAGGATTGTGTGTGGCAAGCCAGATACCAGCTGTCTAAAGGCGTAAAAATTATCTTTCAGCGGAAGTGTCCTTGTTGTGCTGGTGTGTTTAAGCTTCGTGCATTGCTGCGGGTTCGGCTGAGAGCGCATGGTGGTGACGGGTTGAGAATGTAGTAAAAAGTCAAGATACCATGGAGCTGTCATTCATGCTCGTGGGCCATGCTCGTTGTACAGTAGACGGTTACTTTGGTCTGCTGAAGAAGAAGTTCCCTTGCATTATAGATAGAAACTATGCAAGATATATATGCCATGGATTGCACATCATCCTCATGTGCCGTGAACACCCCGCTTGCATACAGCTGGTCATGGAGAGAATGGGATACCGATCTCAGCAGCAAGGCCATGTATGCTGTATGCCAGAGGTTGCCCCAGAGGTTCACGGTTTTACAACACAAACCGAATGGCTGAATTAGTACACTGCCTTTGTAACACGAAATATTCCGATGGGGATAATGCTGTGATAACTTAAATTGTTATTTCCTGATATGTACTTATGCCTGTTTGAGAAGCTTCTAGGTCATCAATATTGCATTTTTGTCGGTCTAATATTTTGCCATGTGATCACTAATAAAACATGACAAAACTGTTACAAAAAATCACCCTTTTAATTAAAGGTCCATTTTAGCAGAAACTAGGCCATATTTGCTGCAAAATCGCTCAATTCAAGTGACATGCCATTATGAAATAGGCATGTCAGATAAACTTGAAATCTTGTGTTAGTTCCTTGCTCATATACTAGTATTACCATGATTTCTAGAATTGAGGCGGCTGGCCGGTCTTTTATCATGTTACAGCCTGTCTGAAATAAGCACCACATCATTTCATTGCCTTTTGCGTGGACTTTTTTTTAAATCGGGTAACATCTTAAGCCGCTCAAACTTCAAAGCACTTCGGCTAGTATTGCTGAAAACACGCTGCATACGCAAGGGGATCTTCTCGACTAGAAAACAAAAACAGGGGATACGAGCTCGTGTACACATAACTCTGGTGTAAACTACCCTTTTCGCAAAGACCACAGAGCAAAAGACCAAAGCCCCTCCACCCTCCGCAAAGACCACGGAGCAAAAGACCAAAGCCCCTCCACCCTTCGCAAAGACCACAGAGCAAAAGACCAAAGCCCCCCCCCCCCCCCAAAAAAAAAACCCCATCTGAGTTCAGCAAATCAGGCTGACCTGCGTTAATTTTGTGCATTATTATCTTACCAAGGTTATATAGAGCTTCAGTACATGCAGCTTCAACGCTGATAGCATCGAGATAATAGTCCCTTGCCTTCGCAAAGTCCTCCAGAACGAAGCTGCAGTTGCCTTTGTTCACCAAGGCTTCAAACATGTCGAAACAAATGAAAACAGTTAAAAACTCTGCTTTCTCGTCATTGCTCAAGCTCGGAAAAGCAGAACTTGCCAGTCACTTGCAATGGCAATACTGCAATAGCCTAGCTTCACTCTATCATGTTGTAATGAATCTGTAGTGGTGATGTCACTCTCTGAAACACAATTGCACTGTTTATTACAAGTTGTTGAATGCACAGGATTCACGTGTGCCACCTCTGGTGTGAAGATCATCATAGACAGGACACACTGTGTCTTTCATGGATGAATGCTACCACTGAGTAAGCAGCTAACCTGCAGGATTGTAATGATCGGCTTCAATAGCCTTGTCTGCGTAGTTCTCCGCTTGTGCCGTGTCACCATCCTGCAAACGAGGAGCATGGCAAACGCGCAAGTATGATAGGTGAGCAGTGTGGGTTCAAATGAAAAGTTGCTTTTTTATGTTTTTATAGCGATATGTGGGAACGAGTTATGCAGCAACTATCCACGACTGTAACAAGATAATAAGCAGTTGTTACAGTCGTGGATAATTGCTTCATAACTTGTTCAATATGTGTTCTCCTTCCAACCGTTACAATCAAACTACGGTAGTTATGTGTCCAGAACGTTTTCTTGTCACAATCGTTAGTGGCATAATTATCTCTTTTTCTTGAAAGGTTGAATCAAGATCTTCAAGTCACATTCTAATACCTCAAAGCACTCCGAGGCTGAGATTCCAAAAGATGAATCCATCCGACTACCCAATCTACCTCAGATTGTGGAATCATGATTACTATAAGTATCTTCACAGTGGAGTTTACTCACCAAAAACAGTAGGAATGAGAGGTTTGTTGCAGCAGCAGTCGTGAGCTTGGAGTCCTTCTTCTCAAAGTCTTTCAATGTTTCAATGGCTTTCCTATGGTCCTTTATCTTGAGGTAGGTAACAGCCTTCGTGACCTCCAAGTCACTGACTAGGTTCTGGTATACTGATGAACGTACCGCCTCAACACACCTGTGGAAAACAGATCACCATCTGATCAGTACTCATTGTTGGCACCAGGGGCGGATCCAGAGATCTCTACAGGGGGGTTCCGGTTGAGCCAAAATTGAACAGCCAAAATATTATGGAATCAGATTGTTTTTAAGTTGTGCGGTTGACACTTGTAAAATTACGACAATCCGATTGTGTTAGTGGGAATCGCATGCTTTTAAAACACACTACGGACATAATATTATTATTATATTTCTCCATCATCGACCACACCACAACTGCGCTCTCCAGCCGGCCTCGACACGTTGCCACAGCACACCAGCATCGCTGGAGACTGAGTCGGAGCGCAGTTGTGGTGTGGTGGACGATGGAAAACCTGTATACAGGGCCAAATGCTGCTGCTTACCCTACATTGTAGTACGGACACATAATCATATACATGTATGCAATCGACTGGCACATAGGTTCTGTGAGGGCTTGAAGACCCTTTCAACTTCTCGTAAAGATCGAATATGCAAGCCATGGGTACGTTGAGAGCCAGGAATGCCGAAATGACAACTAAGTTACTTTCCCTGTCCATTTGTACTTTCGGAAATTTTTGGCATTTTTACGATGCGAAATGCTCTATAGTCACAGGACAAGAGCATCGTCTTCACTTCAGTGACAGAAACAACAACAGCGAAACAGTGTCGACGGGGTACAATCCTTCCAATGTCATCTAAAACACATCGCTGGCGCAGCACTCCGTTCCTGCGGGGAACAACTAGTCACTACTGAATGCTGCAGCAGGTAGAGATTACTGACTTTGCTTGGATGTCGGAGCCCTCATCTTCTGAGGAGCTTGAACTCTACGTGTACGGTTCGAAGTTCGTGGAAGAATGTCAGTACTCGGAACATCCTTTCTCTTCTGCAAAAAAACTTGTCCTGAAGGAATACTGACCACACCACACCCGTCCTGAGCAGCAGTGAATGACAGCGCCAATGGAGGTAAGTAATAGTTTGGATCGTTTCGAAAGATCAAAAAGGAAACAACCACCCAATGTTGTACAGTGTCCGTTTGTAAATCACGGACGTGAACATCAGTACAGACTACTATCCGTACAGTATCGATCTACCGCACGCGCATGCAGTGCACTGACTGACAGTCTGTGCTCCTTGACTCAGTGACTGCGGGGAACAACTAGTCACTACTGAATGCTGCAGCAGGTAGAGATTACTGACTTTGCTTGGATGTCGGAGCCCTCATCTTCTGAGGAGCTTGAACTCTACGTGTACGGTTCGAAGTTCGTGGAAGAATGTCAGTACTCGGAACATCCTTTCTCTTCTGCAAAAAAACTTGTCCTGAAGGAATACTGACCACACCACACCCGTCCTGAGCAGCAGTGAATGACAGCGCCAATGGAGGTAAGTAATAGTTTGGATCGTTTCGAAAGATCAAAAAGGAAACAACCACCCAATGTTGTACAGTGTCCGTTTGTAAATCACGGACGTGAACATCAGTACAGACTACTATCCGTACAGTATCGATCTACCGCACGCGCATGCAGTGCACTGACTGACAGTCTGTGCTCCTTGACTCAGTGACTGCACTGACTGTGATCGGACGGACGTCCTTTTGTGCACACATGATATTTTCGATATTTCTCAGCCGCACACTTTGCAAAATTTAGGGGGTTCCATGGAACCCCCGGAACCCCCCCCCCCCCCCCTGGATCCGCCACTGGGCACCATAGACACCACTCACAATTCACCCATGTCCAGTAAAACCTGTCAAGGCGACCACTCATAAGGCCTAGAAGACGACTGCAACCAGGACCAAGGGATGCTATTTCAAGTCAAACGGCTCTGGATAAGGAGACCACCTGGTACCAGAGACTAGGTTTTGAAGGTCCCTTGAGCGGTCGTCTTAGACAGGTTTCACTGTAACATGTTCACGACAGTACGGGCATACATGGACAAAGCTCTGCCGCGGCAAAAAAAATACATAATCTCATCACACTCTGCCCGTCCATGGCCTGAGTTCTGGACATGCTGGAAGGCTATCAATGGTCAAACATCACTTACAACTAAGTCTATGCTGCAAGTGATGTTTGCAGTGATGCCGGGCTAACTGGAAAGCCATTCTTTTGTCTATTCAAACACTCCTAGCCCTAGGACATGGAGATGACTTAGGCTACCTTACCAATCAAAACCGGCAGCAAACGTTGACTCGAGAGCGGGTGCCATCACCTTTGCAGCGGTGACAATGCAATGCTCGGTGTTTCTCTTCCTGTTGTAAACACATCACCGCACAAACATACCACACGCACACACGCGTATGCACAGACACACGGACACACGGACACACAGACACACACAGACACACACATACCATTTTTGACCTTGGCGGGTACGCGGCTTTCTTTGAGAAAAAGCGCAAAACAAAATTGATTGCTAACATTTGATTCTATGAGAGCAAACTCCAAAGGCGACAATGACGGAAGGAAATCGAAGGTGATCTTTGTATCAGGTGGTTATTGGGTTCACAGAAAAGGGCAACCTTGATCTCATCGACGATGATGCATTGTTTTTTGGCGACATCCTGTCCAGCAACGCCAGCGCTTCTTAGAGTGCAGATGAAACAATCGCACTTGACACGTTACACTCACCAGTCGGCAGCGGCGATGAATAGGACCTGGATGAGTATGATCAAGGCCAACCGCAGCCTGCCACGGGACTAGCTGAGGCCAGTGCAGGCAAGGACAAACAGCCAGATATCAAACTGTCATCCACTGGGAATATTGAACCGCGCTAGTTGGGTCGCTGGCTGCCTTCGCGGAGGTACTAGTAGTAAACTTTGTTTCTTGGGTGTCCCGGCAGAGCTGCTAAAATCAGCACGAAATGCTACGGATGTTCCTGGTGATGATGATTGTCGCATGCTTTTAGTCGTGGCGAGTCAGGGTTGAAAGAAACTCCGGAAATTCTGATCATGACCCAATGGAAGATGTGCATGGAGAATGCTCAGAAAGGCTATCAAAATTACGTGAGCGGGAACGGAAAAATTGAGACCAAAACAATGGAAGGCCTCTAAGCGCACATAGAGGAGAAGGCGAATGTTGTACGAGATCATTATAGAGCCTGAATAGCGAAGGCCAGGGGCGCCATCGCTGAACAGAAAAACAAAAGCAAATTTGCAAGTACCAGCATACGAGTACTTCACGTTTGACTTCGCTCAGCAGTCGCACATCCCACACCATGCCCATTAAGTAGGTGCTCTATGCTTAATAAAGGGGAAGTTAAGGCAAAAATCAAAATTTCACCAGTTGTAGTATTCGGGGTGCTGAGTCGAATGGTCGTGGTCCGAGGAAGCTGAGACGCTCCCTTCCTACTTTAATCCCAATCGAACCCGCGCACTTCCACCGAAACTGGGTGACTGCGCCCTACTAGATGGGGATTTGTATGCAAAATGTCACTAAAAGCGCCATTTCGTTCTTATAAAAGCACGGATGACCGCGATTGGCCCATATGTTGTAGTCTTTTGGACGCTGAGTCGACTGGTTTTGGTCCGAAAAGGCTGCGATGCAGCGTTCCTCCTTTATTCCCAATCGAACATGGTTGAACAAGCGGTCACGTGCTCCTGCGTACACCAGTCACCTGGTCACCGTGCCTGCAGGGTACAACTTACTAGCCTGTTTGACCTTTTTTGGGCGCACTCCTGTCACTCGAGTTGAACTCGAGTTGAACCTTGGTGTGAAAGTTGTCGCCTGCTGGCGTGGTGACCAGGTGATTTGGGCACCCAGGAGCACGTGACCGCTTGTTCAACCATGTTCGATTGGGAATAAAGGAGAAATGCTGCATCGCAGCCTTTTCGGACCAAAACAAGTCGACTCAGCCGTCCAAAAGACTACGACATATGGGCCAATCGCGGTCATCCATGCTTCTATAAGAACGAAATGGCGCTTTTAGTGACATTTTGCATACAAATCCCCATCTAGTAGGGCGCAGTCACCCAGTTTCGGTGGAAGTGCGAGAGTTCGATTGGGATTCAAGTAGGAAGGGAGCGTCTCAGCTTTCTCGGACCAAGACCATTCGACTCAGCACCCCGAAGACTACAACTGGTGAAATTTTGATTTTTGCCTTAACTTCCCGATTAAATGTTCCACATCGAATCCAGATTTTCGGTGTTGCAGCAGAGGCTGTGCCAGTACAGTACAACTATCTGTTTCACAAGAATGAGATCATCAGATTCGATGGCAGCAAATGCCACAGGCCAAACTTAGAGGTCTCATTCCTCCACTTTCATCCTCAGCAGTACACGTTATCGGTCTGCATGCCGACAATTGCTGCGGACAAAACAAGACTAAGATAGATATTGCCTATCAGATACCTCTGCTGGCGAATCCGATGATTGTGGGGCTCAACACATCCATCGACCTGTACTTCAGGCATATTGGGCACGCTCCATGCTTTGTTGACGGCGGCTTTGGGCTACTGAAGCAAACTTACAGAAAGTATGACGTTGATACGCTTCAGCAGCTAGCTGATGCAACTATCAAGCTAGCAGCCTTCAACAAGGCCGTTTTGTTTTCATGGGATTGGAGAAAGTGTGGGATGCTTACATTTCCATTGTTTTCAAGCCCATGAAGAACATCACCAAATGCCAAATATTCCACTTCTCGGCGGACAAGCCTGGGATGGTGCATATGTCTGGATTATCGACGGAGGCTGACAAGACCATGTCGCTTATCAAGCCTGAAGCTGACACTAACACATTGAAGCCAGAAGTCCTTCCACCTGTCCTGCGACCGGCCGAGATGTCAAAGGCTCGTGCAGACTATCTTTTCAAGCATGTCCGTCAGTACTGCCACGAGGAGAACAGAGACGTCACCTGCCTTGTTCCTACTGCCGTTGCTCCTGCTGCAGCTACCCTGCCAATTTTCACGACTTGGAAGTAAATGGTAGCACCAATAATGCTGATCCTTCGAATCAATGTTGAAAGAAGTCAGTTTCACCAAAATAGCCCCAATTAACTGAGCGCCACCTCGATACAATTTATATCTGCATATAGCTATACCTAACTGGCCACATAATGTCAACTATGTGCATGAAACGCAGCGTTACAACAATGATCTAGCCGGTTGTCTCTGTTCCGTAGTCTTCTGCCTTTGTAATAGAGAGGTTGCGCACAACGAAAATTCGTAAGATCTTGACCGTCCGGGTTCGAGTAATGAAAGCTGCTACGAAGATGCGTCCAAACGCAACCGAAACAGAGCAGATAAACGAAAATAGTTTTCGTCGCGTGGAGTCCTAAAATACTGATATTTTACAACTTCCTGTGTTGACTCTGCGCACCCGCGTCGACCTACTACGAAGAGTTCACACGCTGTGCGCAACCTCACGGTTTACGAATATTCGTTAGCTTTTTCTGTTAATTTTTTTCGTTATGGCGCTACGAATTTTCGTTATGCGCACCCTCTCTATCGTCAACAAAATCGGCACTTACATTGTAGTAGCGGTGGTGAGGCTTCCTGCAGCTTCACTCATAGGAAGAGGTTTTTTTAAAAGCATCAACAACGAGTTCGACAATGTTGCAGAGTTAATGGGAATGAGCGTGTCTGCTCTAAAAACCTTTTCCTATGAATAGGAACTGCATACACAATGACTATGGGTACTCAGAGCTGATGCCTTATGAGGGCATAAGATACTTCAGTTTTATCCGTGTGTTGGGGCTGTTGCCCCCCCCCCCCCCCCCCCATCCCCGTCCCTTGCCTCTTATAATGCAGCAGTCACATGACTCACTTCTCTTCCTCATAGCGACGCAGGCCATCATCTTTGATTGCATCATGCACCATCACAGTGTGATGATCGGCATCCTGTATTCAGTGGACCACACACGCACATACGAACACACATACACAGACAGACAGGCAGACAGACACACAGACATGCAGACATACATACAGACAGACAGACAGACACACCGGTCAGATGTAATCAGGACTCAATAGCTGCTAAGTATGAACTGTGCTAACACTTCCTCTTTGGGCACAACGTTTCGAAGCCACCACAAACAATGCTGTGGTTCGACAAGAGACAACATTTAATGTATACTAGTAGCCAGTAGTAGATGTAAGCAAGTCGTACAGCAGCCATGCATGTCCATTACATGATGTGACGGGCAAAACCCCCTTCAAACATACTAGAATCCCCAATAATCAGGGCCTGACTCGGGATGTGATGATGAGTCGGTGATACATTGTGTACTCATTTGCCTACTTGCTCTGAACCTCTCTACTTCGAATTATTTTGTACACACCGTAGTAACATTATTGTCTCACTCACGTTGTCAATTAGGTAGCGGTCTTCCTCACTGATGCCCATGTTGATCTGCAGCATCTGCAGGAATGTTTGCTTCATTTTCTCGGAGTCGCCAAGTGCGTAGTAACAGAGGATCAGGTTCAGAGCTGCAAGTCACAGTTATTGGCCCCAATCCAGAAAACAGCAGAATACATAGGCACACTGTATTACAGTGTAGTACGGTGGAAGGATGTATGAGGCGATTCAGTGAGTGCCGGCATCGCATTTGTAAGGGACATTGTGTGCAAGGCATTCATTCCAATGTTTTCGAATTTTCAAAATAGTGTGCCTGCAGTAACCACGGCACCACACAGCTCAAGAAATGTACTGCGAGTCATATGGCCGTATCGGCAATGAACCTATTTTCGGCGAGACATACCACTTTTGAAGCTGGCTCCTTCTGTCATGATCACTTCCAAGTGGTTTACAGCATCAGCGTAGCGGCCTGTCTTGATCAGGACTGTTGCTATGTTTTGCAGTACCTTCATTCTGCAGCACACATGCATGTATGCACATGAATGCACACGCACACAAACACACACATGTGTGCATGCACACACACAAACAAACAAACACACACAGATGTGTCATTACAACACTAGAGAACACTCGCCAGGAACATTGTCTCCAGAAGACAGAAACCCAGATCACAATCAGTAGCAGTAACTGCACAAGTTCATCATCAGTTCTGCCTAACCTCATCATTTGATGAGAAGCGCTAAACTTGTCCAGAGCCATACGATACATCTTCATCGCTTGCGTGTAATTGCCCTGCTCAAAGTAGATGTTACCCATGTTCAAACGCAAGCGACCTGAAACAACACAAGTGTCCAACATAGTTACTACAGAAATACACACATACCTACTTTTATCGATTGTTGGCAAGAGACAATCCTCATATCATAATGCAATGCCAACACCTAGTGGCACTATACTAGATTTAGAACCATATGGAAGTTTTTTGTTTCACCCGGAGGATAGGCCAAGTTGAAATTCGGTGAACATTGAGAGAGTGTGCGCAGTGAAGAGACCCAAGACGTGAGTATCCAGACTAGATAACATGTGCCATGGTCGTATGGCAGTTCTTAAAAGTATCTGACACATCCCCTTCATTGGCATGCTCCATGTGAGAACTATCCAGCTTAGCCAGCTCTGAAATGCAAGTACAACTGAAAAACAACATTAGAGTGGGCTAAGCAGAGTAGGCATAAGTACCGGTAGCCAACAGTTTTGCACAGGCACTATTTCATCTCCACTCGTTGTACAATGTCAAGGTGGTCACCAGTCTTGCTATCAGTGCGGTAAAGGTAGTTACCTGCTGTCGAATATGTCTTGTTGCGAACAATGACCATGTAGGAGTTCAGGGCCTGGGTATACATCTTGCAGGAATAGTATACTGTGGATAAGTTGAAAATCACCTGTGTGTACGCAAATACAAGAGTAGAGAAAAAAACCTTTCCACCAAAGAAGCCACGAACTACAGCAAGATACACCCGACAGCACACTTGCTAAGAGAAGAGTATTGCGCCATGCAGACATTGTAAGTACTTGTATATATGGAGTATACCCTGCCTGGATTATCTTATTCAGATTCATACAGTGTTGGATAAGATGGCTGATTCGGGTTTACAAATATGAGCAGAGGTGTCACCTTTTAAAAGGCTTCAGCTTGCCGGCATATCCTCAGCCATGCAGTACGAGTAGCTCACCATGACATGACAGGATGAGATCACAATGATGTGATAACTAGCATAAAGCCGAAACACCGAAAGATTTATCAAGGACTTCATGGTGTGCATGAGCCGTGCAAGAACTGTGTCTTCAATACAAAGTGCCCAAGAATGCTGCAGACCGGGAAATGCATTCACACATAACCATGCAAGTTGACTGCAGAGTGAAGTAGCTTACCCAGTATGTGAGGTCCATGTTGTTCTCAATGCCGCCTCCCAGAGCCTCTCTCTGTTTCGTGACATTGCGCTCCAAACGTCCAGCATCTTTCGCCTTCGTCAGAGCCTACACACAAGATAAGCAGGGGCAAACTGATCACGACCAGGCACGACAGCATACTGCATTATGTGGCATATGGCCATGCAGGGCTTGGGTAGCACTCCGTTCAGCAATGGGTTCTTTGACTAAGCAGCAAAGTTCTTCAGGATGACCATTGCTTATGCCATCATCCTTGTCACAGAATCCACACAGGGTTCAGTGAATCACCTCTCTAGCTGACAAGCTATCACTACCTGGTGACATGTACATGTACAGTGTGTACCCGCTGAATTGTAAACACTCTCCTCACCTCCTTCATGTTACCTGCTGCCAGCGCCTTTGCACTTTCTTCTACCAGGTCATTGACTTTCCTTTCCGACACTTTCAGCTGCTCCTCAGGCCTGTGGTTGTTGGTAAACAAGAGATCGATTTTAGCACACAACACACTGTGTCGGCAGTACTTGGAAATCTCAGGCAGTACCTTCGTAGGCAATAGTAGGTATGTTAAACAAAAAAGGAAGTGGCTATTCAAGGAGTATGGATACAGCAACTCTGCATATCCACAAGAAAGCGCCATTCACCATATGGTCAGTAACCAAGCTTTCTATCATTCAGTAGAATAAAGTGGAGCTACAGAGTAAAGATGGCTGCTATATTAAAGCAACTTACGTGTCCTCCGGTTTCTTTTCCATTGTTGCACCATAGCCAGTACTTGCGTTCAGCTTGCTGCCTTCTAAACAAAAGGGACGCATAGACCACATGCCAAGAGAGAAGCAAGCACTGTGAGTTGAGATTGGATATGATCCAGAAAAAAACCTGGAGGTCCGAGGGAAGGGGTATGTTACTGGGCTTTGCTGTGGCTAGAAGCTACACATCCAAGCTAGGATTTGAGACTGAGCTAAAACACTCGTACAAGCCCAATGTACGTTCTGCTAAGGCATCCGTGACACGATCGGGTCAGCACTAGGAGACTAGGAGATACGAGACATGACTCAGTTGCATGAACAGCAAATGATAAATGACTGGCAAACCATGTGCCGGGACCTACAATAGAGAGCAGTGCAACGTTGCATTTGGATATGCACACAGTGGCATATGAGACTACTACAGACTAGTACAGTGATATAACAATCTAGCCATAAGCGCTTGATTTAGTGGAAGGCTCACTCTAGTACCGAAGAAGGAATCTTGAAGCATGCGTGAAACGTGCTAGTTCTACGATATGATGGTCCGACCTTTGCCGTGTGATGTAAATCCAGCACCCCGGACTGATGTCATAGGTCGTGGTGCACTGGAATCCTATCAAGGGACAACCACAGACAAGCAAAGCAGTGGTGTAGCGGCACATGCAATAGAAATGTTGTCATGTGATACGCCATGCATACCCATGCATTCGGCCATCCTGGCATGCAGGCATCTCATACTTCGAAGTAGTATCACGAAGATAGTGTCACTAGAATCTTTTGTGTGTCCGAATACCTGTATTTAGCCCAACAGACAGACTGCACGCATCTACTTTAGAAAAGAAGTACAATGCTGGCATGCGGCACGCTATAGTGTTAACATGAACATGGCTTACTGCAGCTTGAAGGCCCGTGATTGGTCGCCCAGCTCCTGTTTTCATGCGCCCCTGCAGAATAGCATGCACAATCACAAGGACAGCAATCACCAAGCCGGTAAGACAAAGATATCACGTAAGCAAGCAGAGTACACCACCACCTGAGGAGTGTGCTACGCATACATGCAAAAAACAAAAAAACAAACAAACAAAGAAGCCGTCCAGAAGACGGTATTGGACACGGAACGGTACTGTCAAGTACACTGATCTTGACAGTTCTGTGCTAAAGTCAGCAACATTGCAGGTTGTCTCTAGTTCTCACAGCAACTCTACTTGGGCATAGGCATCATCGGCTCATGTGCTACCATCATACCATACTGACTTAACAGTTTAAGCAATCAATGATTGCCTATTTCAGTTGCTGTAAATCAACTCAATGCTCGGGTACGTCTATAGTGGCGTGAGTGCAGGCGTCTGCGGCTAACTATCCGTACTGTACTAGATTCAGCGAAAAAACATCACAGCTACATGTACTTACTGCTAGGGACGTTCCCGGTACCGGAGGCTTGCGGCCAGTTGCTGGAGGCCTCCCAGCCTGGTTCCATTTGAACACGCATGCATGCAGAAAGGAAATCACATTGCAAAACTTATTCATTATTACACACACACACACACACACACACACACACACACACACACACACACACATACACACACACGTGCACACACACATACACACACCAGATGATCACCATAATCCACAATATACACACATATACACACGTAAACACACACACACACACACACACAAACATGCACATGTGAACGACATGTGTTCTAAATTACAGCTGTGACATCTTCCAACATGAGTGGTGCATACAGACCTCACTTGATGGTGTAGTATCCACCTTAAATTGAAAAATTGTGCTTGGTTTGCCCGTAAAAAGAGGCTGTTTGCAGTGCTTGATGGTGCAGTGAGTGGTGATTCCTTGGCAGCTCGAGATCCCCGGTCTTACTTTACCACCCGCACAGGCCACGCACATCACCGGATATTTGTAAGCACAAGGCATACAAAGTACAGTAAAACTAGGGTGGATGCCCTTGGTGCAGCGCAAACGGTCCTGACATGACAGGATTCCGCTTGATCCAGGGAGGCACGTTCGATGCACAGCACTTTGGTGCATGACAATCTGTCCGGTCAATACAGGATTCCGCTTGCTACAGGGTCCGGCAAACACAGGTTTTACTGCAATAGTAAAGGCTAAATGCACAGCCAAAGATAAACGTTCATAGTTTCTCCCAAAAGCACACCCTGATGTCGATCTACTGATGTGCAGCCATTATTTCATGATAGAATAGTGTCAGCAGTACATGTCTGCAAGCGTCGCATAGCTGTATTCAACGGTTCACAACCATCTTGTAGTCAAAGTGGCTGTATAAAGGCCTGCCCAGTCTGAGTAAGTCTTACCATGTGTGGTCGTTGCCCATAGCTAGTTTTCACTGCCTCCCGTAGACTCTCGTCGTTCTCCAACGCCTGCAACGACACATACACGTATAGCACTGCAGATGTCCACAGCTCCCTCAAACAACAATGTGGTATGGGTACTAGTATGCGATCGATGCGAGGATACTGGATAGGACTTATTAGATAAACTTTGTTTCTTCAAACATGTTGTTGGTTGACAGCATGTGACAAGGTGGAGGACACGGTGTCCTCCACTTTGATACATGCTGTCAACCAACAGCATGGATAGGACTTGTACTGGGTAGTACAGTTCGGAAGTTTGGAGGCGGCTTATGCTTGCTGGATACTGAGATCATCATTCGGGGTGAAGGATACTGGGATCATAGACATAGTGCGGGTGCTGGACTACTGGGATGATGGGTGCTGTAGTGTAGCCTGTAGGGTCTTATAACTCTTATCTGGAAAAAGTAATAATAATTTAGTTCTTGTGCACACACCCACACCACACGCTACAAGAGTCAAGAGTAAGAATGACACACGTAGTATTGATTTAGACATCACTCCACACCTAACACATAATTCTTGCCAAGTACAGTTTCGTACACCGGTATGTGGAGGACACCGGATCGTGATAAGCGGCTTACCTCCACGTCTTTGGAAGCGTCGTAATCTTCAAAGCCTGCGTATAGGTCGTCTTCTTCCTCCTCAAGGAAGTGGATGTTTGCCAATCGGCCCGCCATCTTTCCCCCTCGTGTGTAGTCACTGGTGGTCGGGATCGAGCCGTTCACTCAGTCAGAGCTTCAACGCTGTTTGCACAATGAAGACCTGCCAGTTTGCCACTAGTGAGTCAAGACTGAACTCTCGTCAAATTGTCCACAGGTCCGCGACGCTTTCCTTGCAACAATTACAATGTAGCGTTTCCCAACGTTGCCCGCTTCAGCGGTCACTACACACCCACCAAACTGAAGCACATACAGTGTATCAAGACACGACGTTTTGGGCCCCTTGGCCTTGGCTACCTGGCTTGCTAAGCTAAACAGGACTTTTGGAGGTGGACTCGAAGTCAAAAGAAAACTGAACGAACCACGATACTCTGGCACCGCACTGAGAGTGAGTCTGTTGCTGTTCTTTCAAACTGTGCTGTCTTCATGATCTTAGCGGTTCGCGTTACGTCGCTGACATGCATATGCATGGTCACATGGTTCATGACTGCATGCATGCAGGGTTTTTGTGAGCGGGAAGCTGAAGCGATCCAGGCGCGTCCGGTGCAGTGCGGTGTGAACATGTGTATGTATGGATGGTGCATAATAATACGTATGTGTGTCATTGTAGCGTTTTGCTTGTTGTCAAGGATACAATGTTTCCTAGTGTTGATGCACGCATTAGTATTAGTAACTATTACTAATGTATTAGTAGTATTACCTCTTTTTCGATCTTGCCAGACTTGGTGCTACAAATAATTAATTAGTACAATCATAAACCTTGTTTTTTTGAAACCAGAGAGTTGTATACGGCTCCCTGGTTGAAACATGTTGTTGGTTGACAGCATGTAACAAGCTTGGTAGCTATATGTATGTGGTCGGTTGACAGCACGTGGCAAGGCAGAGGAACCGATCACTATGATTGTTATCATCAAACAAGGCTTGGTAGCTATTAGTATATGTGTAACTATAATAATCGTATTTCGTCTCTCAGTACATAATATACAGCGTGTAATACTATTTTTTGCCACTGTATCAGAATACGTATCAGAATACGTATCAGAATACAGTGGCTAACAGTCACACCTTAGCTATACACTGTATACAAAGGTCGATGGGAAGTAATAGTTGAGGCTTGAGCTGCATGACTGGTTGTTGGCCCATATCCGGCTTTTGGACGAGTACTGAGTCCTCCTAAGCGCAAAGATCATCGGGTGCAGACTACTGCAGAGAGTGTCTTGGGAAGAAGAGCCTCGATGAGTGAGTGGACCACAGCGGATGAGGAATGTCCAGCTATGCTACTTTCAACCACGCGGGCGTGATCACGGGTGAAGCCACATTGATTGACTTGGACTGCAGTCACCAAACAAAGCCAGTTTACGGTTAGCCAACTCTAACCATAACGAGTCTAGACTAGGCCACACAGTCCTACTACATGTTGATCGGTCCACGACATGTAACAAGGCGGAGGATGCACCGTGTTGAAAACAGTGCTAGTCTTGACTACAACCATCATCGGTTGCTGCTGCTGTCAACTGATCAACATGTCAATCCAAACAAGGCTGACATACTAGTACAACAGTCCTACTACATAACAGTGTTATCTGCACTGTCACACATATAACCTGGCCATAATTATGGCTATGGCTGGACCTCCACAGTGCAGCATTCAACCCGGCCGAGTCCATGGCGAGTTCTGCTAGTACTAATACATCCGGGATTTCCAGTTTACTACACAGTTGGACGGGTCTTCCCTTGCATGCTCTCTCTCTCTCTCATGCAGCACACGATAGAGTTGAATTCAGAGACATCATTCACAATTCTCTCGCTGATTAAAGGGGAAGTTAAGGCTAAAATCAAAATTTCACCAGTTGTAGTCTTCGGGGTGCTGAGTCGAATGGTCTTGGTCCGAGAAAGCTGAGACGCTCCCTTCCTACTTGAATCCCAATCGAACTCGCGCACTTCCACCGAAACTGGGTGACTGCGCCCTACTAGATGGGGATTTGTATGCAAAATCTCACTAAAGGCGCCATTTCGTTCTTATAAAAGCACGGATTACCGCGATTGGCCCATATGTTGTAGTATTTTGGACGCTGAGTCGACTTGTTTTGGTCCGAAAAGGCTGCGATGCACCGTTCCTCCTTTATTCCCAATCGAACGTGGTTGAACAAGCGGTCACGTGCTCCTGGGTGCCCAAATCACCTGGTCACCATGCCAGCAGGCGACAACTTTCACACCAAGGTTCAACTCGTGTTCAACTCGAGTGACAGGACTGCACCCAAAAAAGGTCAAACAGGCTAGTAAGTTGTACCCTGCAGGCACGGTGACCAGGTGACCGGTGTACGCAGGAGCACGTGACCGCTTGTTCAACCGTGTTCGATTGGGAATAAAGGAGGAATGCTGCATCGCAGCCTTTTCGGACCAAAACCAGTCGACTCAACGTCCAAAAGACTACTTCGGAAGTACAACATATGGGCCAATCGCGGTCATCCGTGCTTTTATAAGAACGAAATGTCGCTTTTAGTGACATTTTGCATACAAATCCCCATCTAGTAGGGCGCAGTCACCCAGTTTCGGTGGAAGTGCGCGAGTTCGATTGGGATTAAAGTAGGAAGGGAGCGTCTCAGCTTCCTCGGACCACGACCATTCGACTCAGCACCCCGAATACTACAACTGGCGAAATTTTGATTTCTGCCTTAAGTTCCCATTTAATGCCTCTACGATCACCTTGTGATTATGAGTTATACATACTTACATACATACATACATACATACATACATACATACATACATACATACATACATACATACATACATACATACATACATACTAGTCAGAACAACAGATGGCTTGATCAGTCACAACTTAAAGTTTCATGCCATCTCAGGCACTCATCAGGTGATAATTATGGTTATCACCTGATGAGTGCCTGAGATGGCATGAAACTTTAAGTTGTGACTGATCAAGCCATCTGTTGTTCTGACTAGTGTGTCACGGCTCTACCTTCCCGGTATCGAGCTCTCTTGGATTTCTGCTGGAATTCACAACAGTGTACATACATACATACATACATACACAGTCATATCTTCCATATAATGGAGTCCATGCGGGTCATGGTGATAGAGTATTGGTACTTCGTCTTGAGTTGTGTTGCCTAGCATCTCCAAACATCATAACATCATAACCGAGTGATACGGCTATAGAACCAAGACTAACAGGTTCATACTGTGCTCTTGGCTACCGTGTTCACTGTCTTCACTTTTCTGATCGCCACGACTCAGCTCTCGAGTGACCTGGTCCACTGTGTAGCCGAGTTTCCCGGATGGAGTCCACAGTCGGCCCCCACAGTCACTGGTAAATAACTGACTTTCTCAAGAGTGTCTGGGTTCGCATCCATTTCTTTCACTGCATGGACCCTTGACAGGCTTGGAGAGGATGTTCACTGATGGCAGTGTCTATGGTAGTCTGTATCCGGCGCACGGCAAGGACACGTGGGTGATGATTCGACCTGGGTATATCTACTATGTGTTTGTAAGGCGTCCAGCGTCCCCTGCCGTGATCATGCTCACACTGCTCTCTATACAGCGAGGCTAGACTGATGTGGCTATGATGGTCAGATTTTTAAATGTTTGAATAAACGGCGAGGAGACAACCATTTTTAGTACTGCAATCAATAAGACAAGCTGAGTCGACATTTAACATGTTTCTTCTAAATGAAACCGTAGGCTGCAAGAAGCCTCACCCTTACTCAATCTGATTTAAAAAATGTTGTTACGGCGGTGACTCCACCAGGAATATACACGCTTCCTCTGTCACACAACATGCACATGAGTAGCAGTGCTCGATAGATACTATGATACAATGCCAATAATGACTAGAAGGCTTGGATTGTTGATCTCGTTGGCAGGCACTGAAGGAGCCTGGCTGGCTGGTCACATCATTGTGGTAGATTTGTGATCCAGGAATCTCAACCTGCACCATGATGTTGATTTGTATTATGCCATGATATGCCAAAAGGGGTAACATTTTAAAACAATGAGTCTAAGCATGAGTGATTATACGCATGTTAGTATCACATATTATTATCAAGAGTCCCTCAGGCTGAGACATGTGATTTGTGAAGTACCCAGACCAAGAAGGAAGCGGCGTAGAATCCCCAGACATGTGTGTACATGACATGTACTGCAACTTCTTCAAGTATTCTCCTACTCCACTCTACCCCTCACCGTCTGACCTCTAAGGTCCGCAGAGAGTTATCAATAGCTCACCATGTACAGTGTAGACCTGGGAGCCCGACACACACACACACACACACACACACACACACACACACACACACACACACACACACACACACACACACACACACACACACACACACACACACACACACACACACACATACACATACACACACACACGTGCACACACACGCGCGCACACACACATACACATACACGGCTGTCACACGCACACACACACACACACACACACACACACACGCGCACGCACACACACACACACACCTTGACCTTGACCTTGATCTTGCCCATTGCGTACGCAATGATAGCGAATCTCGGAAAGTTCAAGTGAGGACACGAGCGCAGAACTTGGCATGTCGTTTCAGGTCTCCTGGTCGACGAAACGGGCGTCCACAGACACATAGAAGAGGATCAGGAGCGGGCCGTGGCGGTGGAGTGCTACTCACAACTCGTCTCCAGCCGGGACTATCTTGGCAACTCTCAAGCCAGGTGGTCACGCCGAGGTCCGCCAGGTCAGTCGACACCACATCTCGCCACACACACGCACACACACACACACACACACACACACACACACACACACACACACACACACACACACACACGCCCACATGGTGCCGAGAGTACATAAGCTCCCAGATAGGAGCTTATTTACGCTTGATGGTACATGTACATGTAGGTAGCCCTTTGAGGATCGTGAATCGATGAATGCCGGCAGAAAAATGGGCAGAATTTGGTACTTTTTCTGGTATGTTTCGTACTAGTACTAGTAGTAGTAGTAGTAGAATTTATTATTTTGATAGGGAAGGCCCTACAGACGTTGCCGTCTTGTTACAGGGAACCCGAAGTGCTCTTTACAGAGCGAAACGTGCATGTTTGGTATGTGGATAAAGAAATGGAGCAGCCAGACTGCATACGGCTTTTTGCAAGCATACAGGCTTTACAGCATGTAACCATGGTAACCAGGTAACAGCAGATCACATGCACAGTCATGACGTGATGGAGGCAGTGCGAGGGCGTTCAGTCAGTGCATGCAGCTGTACTGAGTCTGTGTGGTATCGTGCTTGTCGCAGAGTGGTGCAGGTAGAGTTGTACTGACTGTGCAGTGTGAGTGACTGTAGAGAGAGTGTAGTGACTAGTGTAGCAGTGTAGGCTGTGTAGCTGGATATGGCATATGGATACGTGTACAGCCAGTGTACTAGTGTGTAGGCTGAGCCTGCTGGCCTGAACGTTTTCGAAGAGAGAAACACTTTTGAGTTTTGGTTTGAGTTCAAACTTTTTTTATTATGGTTCGTTCCTTTTGATTTGTCCGCGGAGTGCATGGACGACTTCAGCTAAGATTTGGACAAAGAAAACGATTCGTCGCATGGCAGAGAAAACGTATTCGTAACAACAAACCATTTGAGGAGGTGGTCGAGCAATGCTATGTCTTCCAGAGGTGGCTTCACCAAATTGGACCTGGCAGAAGAGAATGTATCAGAAACGAGATTGTTCGATCTCTTCTGCAACTATCTATCACTGGGCCAGTGGGAATTGGCCAGACTTTGCCTGTCTAGTCTGAGATCATCGCCTAATACACATGTCCAGCTCAGAGATATCTTGCTCGGATTGTTGGCTAATCCATCGGAAGCAAGGTCAGTGCAGTTTCAAAATTTGATTTGGTTTTGAAAATGGTGAAAGTACTTTCTCAAGTAATTCTATAATTTGTATCCGTTAGTTACCATGTGTGTCTGCGCGCGCGTGTGTATGTATGTGTGTGTGTGTGTGTGTGTGTGTGTGTGTGTGTGTGTGTGTGTGTGTGTGTGTGTGTGTGTGTGTGTGTGTGTATGTATATGTGTGTGTGTGTGTGTGTGTGTGTGTATATGTATGTATGTGTCATGGATCTACAATTATAGTCAGTTGCAATTGTTGCAATTCATTTAAATACTCAAAAGCAAGTTCTTTTTATCTATCCATACATTGGTACAGTACGGTAGCTTTGGGAATTATGCATGGACGACTCAATGAGAATATTGACTCAACTTACTCTCTGATGCACCACAGATAGAGAAAAAAGAAGAGGTGTACTCCGTTGTGCCGTACCAGCTAGGAAATATCTACAGCCCTCCCTGGAAAGGAAAAACATACTAACTGCATTACCAGAAGGAATATGCATGCAAGTTTGTTCACACGATTCGGGATACCAGGGTGTTATGTTGTGTGGACTTGGTGTAAATGCCTCTGCGTTGCATGCAATGGGCACTCTCTGAGTAGTGAGTCCCACCTAGCGCTATGGGCATGTGCATTATACATGTATTCTACACACGATAATTTGCCAAACATCAGTTGCTCCAGATGCACCCACCCAATACTTGGAAATGGCGAAATTGGTCCAGTCCCTGGCAGGGGCAATGGCCATGGCTAGTCTGCTTGCTTGAGCTATGAGTAGCATTGGGGCTTGAACTCGTGCCTGGCGTGCTCACGGCGGGTGGTCGCAATCTTTCCTCTGTTATGTGGTCATTCCCTTGGCATTGATTTTCTTGAAGATAAATGCAATCACACTCAAGAAAGAACAAGCTTCAGACTCCTAGTCTACATAGTCATTTGGAAAACATTTCCACTAGCACTTTCACTGCCTTCTCATCAACTGGAATACAGGAAAAAAGTAACTGAAAAGTAACTGAACAATTACAATGGATTTTACTTCAGTATACAGTGGAGATGTGATAGAAACAGCGCAAAGAAGTGTAGCCATAAACAGCGTGTTAAAACGCATAACCTCATACATGCAGAAGGAATGACAAAAGGTGCAAGTGTGAAGAAACCAAAACGATTTTGTATGTATTTTGACAGCTATACACAGCCAATGGACAAAACTGACGAGTTGTTCACATTGAAAGTTGAGAGTTGATTGTTTTTCAATTCAAGTCACGTGTACATAGTGCTACAAGTAGGTTATTGAATACTTTATAAGCTGTTTATTATTCACACTAAGAAGCCTAACCTAAGTCGTAAGTTGTGTCCATTGCCTGACTTTTTGTTGTCACGATACATCACACGCTTGTTTGTCTTCTTCACACTTGCACTTTTTGTCATTCCTTCTACTTAGTATGTGTAGGAGTTATGCGCGTTTTACCGTGTTGTTTCTGGCTATTCTTCTCTGCACTGTTTCTATCATATTTCTGTTGTATATAATTCGTTGTACTTATTCAGTTTATTTTTGCCTGTATTCTACCTAATGAGAAGGCAGTGAAAGTAGTAGCGGAACAATTTGAAATGTTGACTGTGAGAGCCTGGCATTTAGTTTCTCTTAGCATTGCTAGTCATTCTTATTGATTTCCTCTGCTGCGTGTTCCCTTCGTTCTACAGTCAAATATGGCAGTCGGTCTCCTCACCGTGTCATCTCTCATGGCTGTGTTTGTTGGAATGGCTGGCACTCTTTCCCGAGGAATCGGTTAGTAATCCTGTCACACGGTCGCATTGTACTTTTGTTGGATTTCTCCAGGTTGCGTTGACATCGTCTTGTTTTACTTTTAGAAATACACAGAAGGATGCAGCCAGTGAGCTGAGAGTGCTCGGATCCCGCATATGCAGAGTGTAGTACACAGTACAACAGTGGAAAAAATGCTAGTCACAGTCGACTCCTGATATAAAGAACACCATTCTGCAGAAGAATTAGTTCGTTATAGCCGAAGTTTGTTATAGCAAAAATGCACTCACACTATAGGGCTTGAAAGTGCTACGTCACAGCATAGCAACAATTTCAAAAATTCAAAAACTGAATCAACTTGGATCCAGTTTTTGTATGGATCCAAGCACATTTCAAGCGGTCTTACTCACAGGAAGGTGATGTAGCCAGTGAAACTGACCGATTTGGCTAGTGGGGGCGGGGTGACAACAGTGTCTGGTTACTGGTGGCGAAATAAAAGTCACACCTGCATGCGACATGAGTGGGTTGCTATGCACCCACATACTTAGGCAATAGCAAAGTCACACCTTAGTGGATCCAAAATAGAAATCTGATGTCAACTTACTACTCCCTGGCCGTTTTTGACGTCATCACTTTCAAGCCCTATACAAGCAGCAAGTCATGACTGGCAAGTGGCCCATGATAGTATGAGTGCACTTGGTTTACATGCGACCCTACACGATTTGGTTTGTTATAAACGAAAACTGTTCGCTATACAGGGCCAATTTTGTATCGGTTCAAACAGGGATATGGGTTCGCTATATCACGAAATTCGCTATGCGAGTTTGTTATAAGTTGAGTCGACTGTAGTTTGTTGCTACTGTACAGGCAGAACATTTTGTCGGTCAATAATTTCGTCCAACTCCAAAGAAAGGGAGTTCGTCCGGCTGTAAATTTTGTCCATGGATCATAAGAGTGTATTGAAAAGCTGGACAAATCGACATTCGTCCGGCATTTAATTTAGTACAAAAGCTCCTTGGACGAAAAAGACGAAATTATATTCCAGACGAATATTTCTGCTTATATAGTAGGTTGTTGCTAGTTTGTTGTTGTTTGTTGCAATAAGCCAACCTTGCTCCACTGTTGTGCTGTGCACTTGTAAAACTATGAAATGTGACATTGATTTATGAGATGTATGAATCATCAAGGTGCCTGTAGTTATTGCATGGTGTGTGCTTACCGTTGGCGTTGTGGATGCTCAATGTTGTACGCACACATTCTCCGCATTCCTGACAATCAACTGAATGCATGCGCATGTTTGGTAATCATCAACTGGCTGCATGTGCATATTAATTTTGGTCATCTCTGTCAGTCGGATGCCCTTTTCTTTGTTGATACACTCTTTCTGTGTGCTAATGTATCCCCTCTCTGTGTACTACTGTATCTCCTTATGTGTGTGATGTACAGGCTGTCGTAGCTGCTGTACAGCCTCGATTGGAGTTTGTTCTACTGCTCCAGTCTGCAGATGTTGATGTGCCGATTGCTCTGTACAGTGTAAGTTATGTATGCTCTTTGCCACCATAGTGTTCTTTGTTGTGCTAGCACTCTATTGCAAGGCTGCGTGGCCACTGCATGTTTCTTCAGCAGCTACATGCTTTTATGGTATGGCATATGCATGTGTATATATGCATGTCCCCAGCCCGAATAGCTGTTTGTAGCTGCCAAAGCCCATGTGTATCGCGGCAACCCTGACCGTGACTGTCTTGCTTGTTTCATTTTTGCGGCGTTTCTACCGTCTTCTATGCAGGAGTTGACGTCGTACCATGAGCACCTGTTGTCGCTGGCTGGTCTCCCAAGGGATCGAGTCTCTCCTGATCAGCGCGCACCATCTGCACTCTCATCCGAGGCACTCACTCTCATCAAGCACTTGCTGCACTGTCAGCTAAGTGTGGGTAGTGCGTTAGCAGATTGCCTCTCGTTTAGACACACCTGTGGCCGAGTCACCGGCGGCAGCATGGGGACGGCAAGAACAGTAGCAGTGGTGTCTTCGTCAGATGCTCAGCAGCAGTTGTTTGAGAATGACCAAGTCCTGCAGGGTGTCTATATGCAATGCATATCTGAGAGGCTTGCTCTGCTGACTCGACTGCGAAAGGAGAATTCGAATGATGAGGTAGAGCTGACACGGGTGGCTGGCAGTATCTATGGCTTCTTGAGTCGAATGGACCCATCACCGGAAATGATTGCACTGCCGCTGGATGCACTTTTCACTGACCTCCTTCTGGCATCAGTGACCCAAGTTGGACACACCTCTCTGCTGCACAGTCTTTGTCGCAACAAGTTGTACTCATGTCTGATTGGCCGCCAGCAGCCTATGCTCATCGAACGCTTCTGCAAGGTCGAGGATCACTTGCATGTCACGAAGTCATTGCCTGACTTCACTGTTGACTTGGCATCACTGATCCCCGCAGCTTCTGCTGGCAGCGAGACAACTTTCTCGCGCTCCAGCAGTGCCAGCTCGGCACAGAGCACAGACCAAGCCGACATGAAGACGTGCGCATGGCATCGGCGATTCTTCGCTGCCTTCCAGGATGGGGAGCATTTCCTCGAGGCACTGTTGGTAAGAACTGTGAGAGTGGTCTATGGCTATGGCTGTTTGTTCTGATGTCATGCTCTGCCACTGCTGCTAGGATTTACAGTTCTTTTCGTTTATGTTTAGACAATTGCATTGAACATTTTGGGTGATGTGCATCATCTTGACTTTCCTTTCCTTGCAGAAACTGTCACTCCAGCTTCTCCGTCAGAAGAAACTGCAGCAGCTGCGGGCCCTATTGCAGCCGCCCGAGTTTGGTGTGCTGCGACCGCTTGTCGTGCTGCTCGGCTGGGAGCTGTGTAACAATCTCGATGAGGCATCCCAGTTGCTTCAAGCACTATGGAATGATATGGTAAGTTGATCTGTACACTGTCCAGCAGCTCATCATAGCATACTGTTGGTGACATTATCACACATATCCAATGCAGTCTTGAAGTGGCAGGATTACACATTGTGGTACAGTAGGAGGCATGCCTCTGGTCGTGCAAAATGTTGTCCGCAGCTGAACTGGTTTCATGTTCCCCCATGCACGCATGTACACAGGCATATACTCATACCCGTACACACGCACGCACACACCTTCGAAAGTTCCGTATTGCTAAAATGTAATTCGTTTCCTGCTTTCCAGCCAAAGAGTGTAGCTGACATGATGCCTTTTTGCTGCTGCTGTTGCTGATGGTTTGTTTTGATACAGGATAATGAGAATCTGCCAGGTCATTTACAGCAGGCATGTCAGCGACTGGCGTATCAGGTTCATCTAGTCGAGTGGTGTCGGAGCAGAGCAAAGTATGGCTCACGTCACACACACCTATATTGTTATTGTTATTTTAATTGCACTTCACGTGAGAGTCAGTCAGACTGACCTTTCCAGATCCATAGAAACGCGACTATAATACTATGCTCATAATATAGAATCGCCGGCCTTATTTACGAGTAACAGTTATGACTGATATGGACCGTTTGGTGTAGATGTCAAGGGTGTGCATTTGTTTTCTCACTGCACTCTTTCAGTGCTTGACCTGTCAGAGAAACCGAGTCACGGAAGCATTACACCGTTTGGACGTTGTTGACCACCCTCTTTGTGATGAAATGCATGAGGTGTAAGTCTGCTCTTATTTTTTTAATTAATACTTCCTCCTCTTTCCCTGTTTGTGTATGTCTGTGCCTGCGTGCCTGCATGCCTGTGTGTGTGTGCGTGCGTGCGTGTGTATGCGCGTGTGTGCGTGCGTGCCTGTGTGTGATGCATTCAGGACAAACCAAAGTACTCCGCAACGTAGTAGCGGGGACCACCAGGCAGCTGACCTGTTTGAAGGTTTTCAATCACACTCAGTCCTGTTTGTCCTGCATGCTTCTACTTCGTTGGCTGACCTTGATCCTGATGAAGTAACAGACATGTTGCAACACCGGCCTATCTTTGGTTCTGCTACTCCATCACCGTCCAACCGTTCGATCATCTCATCCAACGGTAGTCTTTCATCGCCATTTAACCGTTCCCACCCATCGGCAGGGGTGATCGTAGGAAGTGCCAGTAGCCGCAGCTCATCACAGTCTCGCTCCCCGCGGATCCTATCAAGATCAATGTCGGTATCTGCTGCAGCCAATGCTCTATCATTGCAGCAGGAGCGTGATATTGCTATCTACCACAGTTTCTGTGCTGTTCTGGACTTCATGAGTATCTTAGCCACCTGTATCGATCCAGGATCTTTGCCTCCAGAGCTTCTGCAGCGACGTCGTGAGTTGCATCGGTGCATGGTACTACTACAGCAGAGCCCGGAAGAGTTTGATGTGTCTGCTTTCATCGCGAAGAAACTCAACCATGCCAAGGAGTGTCTTGCCAACACGTTTCCACTCAATTACCGCCTGGAAGTGCTGGAGAATGTCTTCTCATTGTTGTTTCTGCAGTACAATGATGTTTACTCCATGGCTAAGGCCGAGTGTGTCAGTAGTGCAGAGTCTGATCCCCCACCAGCAGCAGCAGCAGCTTCACATGCAGAGCGCCATGTCAGCACTGCATCCTCGGCACATGCGGATGCTACTGACAGCCTGGCTTCCCATTCCACTACGCCGGCTCTGGGCAGGGCGTTCATCGCCTCGGAAGATGTAGTGCGACAGGCTTTGGTCATGCTCAAGGATTGCCTCATTAATTTGACGTCAGCGAAGTTTGCCCAACTCAGCAGCGCGCCAACTAGCAGCAAAGTAGACGGGGCTCAGTCTGCTGGTGATGATGATCTTGTCAGGAGCTCTGTGGACATGACCAATCTGCAAGCAAGAATTACTCATCTCGACCAGAGTATCCAGGAAGCTAAGTGGCGCCTTGCTCTTGTGGCCTCGGCTCCAGTGGAAAGTTCTGGAATTGCTGCCAAGGCCAGCAGTACACACTATGGTGCAGTGCTGTCATCAAGCTCTGATGAGTCGACGGAGAGTGAGGAGGATGAGTCATCCAGTGACAGCGACAGTAAGTTGACGAACAGTGGTACCACGGACACTCGCAGGACCCAGCGGAAGCGTCGCAAACCAAAAGCAGGCACTTCATCATCTGGCAGTCGGCGCAGCACGCCTAGCTCAGCTGCTAGTCGCGAATCAACACCAACCGTAGATGACAGGCCAGCAAGGTCAACCTTGCGCAAAGACTCTTCGCAAAGGATAAGCCGCAACAAAATCCGACGCAAGTCCACATCCGGTCGCTTTCGTTCCCGACACCTCTCCACCATCATTCCCCAGATGCTTTCCACCCCTGAGTCTCTGCTGCACTCTTGTTTGAAGCGGCGTAGATTCGAGCGTGCACGCGAGGTAGTGAAAATGTTCAAATTGGACGGGGAAAAGTGTGCCGAGTTGGTTAACTTTGCCGAGCGCCTTGTGAGTGTTCGTGAGAAACTCACCTCTGTTTCACAGCGCAGTGGAACCGGTGCACAAGCTCTAATGTTACCGTGTGGCGTTGCCGCAGCTCTCCAGCCAATCAAACAATTCGGTCCTGCAACCATTGGCAGTTTCAACCGACAAGCCAATATGGCGGTTAGCGAGCTTCTGTCTTCATCGGCCATGCCGAGCTCTCTCTATCTCAGCACACGCCTGAAGCAAGCTGGCTCACGCGATCAGTGGCTTGACATGCTGTCTGCAGTTCTACCGTCGTTGGTGGTGTTTGACCTGGCTGCCACCTGTCATTTAGATCAGCCTGTGTCACTGCAACTAGTCACAATGGCGCTGGAGCGGTCACATCCTTCCTCTAAGGGCAGTGGTGGTCACCGGTCAGCTAGTCCCTTCCAATCCACACAGGCACAGCATGCAGCGCTCTCCGCCACTACAAGCACTGGCGGCGCCCATCGCGTCCTGAATCCCACTGAGTTGATGCAGCGCCTATCTCTTATGGTCAACAAGGATACATACGTCGGCCTCCAGTCTGCCCTGCCGTCGAACAAGGAGACCGGAAGAAGCAGAAGCGGTAGTGGTGGTGAGCCCAGTGTTGCTGGAAGTGTTCACTCGGTCATCAGGGCAATCACCTCTCAGTCACTGCATCAGCTGCTTGTTGGTGGCGTGCACCATCTCTCGGCCCAGCAGTTTCTCTCCAACCTGAAGGTATGCATTGCTAAGTGCAGCCACACTGCTCTGTACACTGTACCAAGTGAAAGCCTTTCTCTAGGCAATCTACATGTCAGGGTGGCTTTCTTCCATGATGCTTGTATTCTAACTTGTTATTCATTTCCTCATTGCTATCTCATTTCTGCAGCATATTTATAATAGTGGGAGCAGCTCTAATGTAACCAGAGGAGTGTGTGTGCTCTGTGTGTGTCTGTGCGAATCTCAAGGACGCGGAGCGACAATGGCTGTCTTGGTCACATCTGGTGTCTGTGATGGACGAATATGACGAAGTGGCTCTGGATGTCCACGAGCCTGTTCTATCTGAGGATGGCCAGGCCTCGCCAGTGCGTGAAGCCATCCAGCGAGTACTTGGTGTAAGTAGTTTATAGGGTCTCGGTGACTTGCTGTTGGCTGTATAGGGGGAGATGGGTGAGGAAGACCATGTAAACTAACAAACTTAGCTGCGAGCATGAATGTCTACTTTCATGTATAATGTGGTGTGCTTCGGTCTAATGAAGCATTGGCTCTTGACGTAGACAGCGTGGTACAGTGCGTATCGGTTATAGCGTGGTCGCGTAGAAGAATATACTGCTTACAAGAATGACCTCTCATATTTTCATAATCATAACATAGGTTTCAAGTGAACATTTATTCTTACAACTTACAAGCAATGTCATCGCATAGTAGAATATATCGGTCCTAAGAATGGATTTTGTGTAGCAAAACATACCAGATTAGTACAAAGTGTACCGCCTGTAGTAATAACATCTGTCCAATCAATGCAGTTCTGATCCGACTCGCATTGCATCATAGTGCTGCAGGTTCAACTGTTGCTGTCATGTACAATGTATCTCATGCTGCATAGCCACATGGCAAGTGTATGGGACTATGAACACCCGCATGCACAGGAGCGATACGTTGTATGTATGATGGCCATCCTGTCTCTGCGTACATGCATCTGACATGTCACACTTGATTTATCGTGTGTAAGAAATATCGGAAATAAGAATAGAAAGTCGTTTTTCTAACACCCACGCTATACCTGTACAGTCAACTTCGCTAATAACGATTGCGGATATAACGACAATTCGCGAATAACGACATAATTTTCATGCCCGGAGCAAAGTCCCATCCAACTGTGACACATATAATGAGACTTCGGATATAACGACACTTCGCGAATAACGACACTTTTCTGATGCCCCGCCGAGTGTCGTTATAAGCGAAGTTGACTGTAGTTAGTTGCCGATGTATGCGTGTATGCTTGGGAGGTTACGCATATGTCTGCAGAAGTCCAGATGGACACACTGAGGATTGGCACGGGAGAGGAAAGTATTTTTTCTGTGTGTGTGTGTGTGTGTGTGTGCGTGCGTGCGTGTGTGTGTTTGCATGGACTTAGGCATATGAAGACAGCGTGGAGGATCAGCCCAGAATTCACGGTGTTGTGCGCTACCTTGCTCAATTCTTCAGCCATGTAGAGAAGCTGGCCAGTTTACTTCTTGGTGCCCAGGAGACTACAGGTGGGTGGGTGCAGCAAGAGTACCGCACAGAGCACAGAGCAATGATAATAGTGAGGTTCTGCTATACGTGAAACGTAGAGGAATTGCGTAGAGAACAGGTGTCTGGGTTAGATTCTACTGCTTCGCCTGCTTTGGGTCCAGATTTCTACGTGGAAATGAGGTTCTTTAATCTCTATGTTGTGGTACATGCAAAGAGAATGCGTACGGATCTGCAGGGTATCATTCAAATGCAAGCAGAAAACTGCCAAATTTGGAAGGGGAAATCCCCAGTACACATTCCACGTGATTCCTTTACGTGAACGTAGAGCAGAACAGGTTTTCTTTACGTGACGGGAATGCGAAGAGTGTTCCCGTGATTCTTCATGTCGCGTTCCCGTAACGTAGAGCAGAACATCACTATTGTTGAGTCAACGTTGATTTTTGTTAATCGAAAATAGGCCACCATTCGCCTGCACCCGAAGTGTTAGGTACCTCCTTTTTTTTTCCAGGGGAAGTACAGATCCCATGGTGTGCTCATCATACATGTGTGTATGAAATACGTCATGCACTGCATATGTTGTTTTTGTTTGTTTCTGTTGATCATCTTGCTGCAGGAGATGAAGACTACATTGACTGGTGCTTACAGCATCGACCTATCAACCCACTGGCTGTGCTGAAAGAGTCCCCCACTGTCACGCTTGGCCGGTTGATGTTTGATAAAAAGCTTCCACCTAGCAAGTATGTACTACATCTGCTACAATTCATGACCTCCCTTAACCTGCAGCTCCACATGGGCACAACAAGCCAGTACCAACCTACATGTACAATGTATTTGCCCTGTATCACTACGAAGAAGCCTTTTCACCAGGAGTTCCCAAAGTCTGGTGGCAAAGCTGCACATAGTACGTTTGGCAAGATTGGGAAAAGTGACTGGCGAAATATCACCCGATTATGAAACCTGAGGAGAATGTGTGCGGTGGATGCAGGCATAACTAGATGTTCTAACTAATCGATTTTGACAGCATGTTACAAGGCGAGGACGCATAGTGCTCCTGACTACAACCATAATCCGGTTGGCAGAGTCCCGGTCTTGCGACCATTTGAACCGACTCTGCCAACCGGGCTATGGTTGTAGTCAGGAGCACTATGCGTCCTCGCCTTGTAACATGCTGTCAAAATCGAAAAACATGTTAAACTACCAAGCAAGGCTTCTGTATACAGTCGACCTACCCTTATAACGATATTTGCGTCGCACCAAGAAATATTGTTATAAGGGTAATATTGTTATAGGGGTAACTGGTTCATTTCATACACATACGTCATAATGCATGGATTTTGTTCATTGTTTACACTCTTCATAGCATAAAAACTGACATACGTGCACATTATGCACACAGCAAGGTGCCCCCATTGCATTCCGCATGTCCCAGCGACTTATCAAGTGAAGCTTGCTCTACCTGGATAGTGGGCTCTACATATTCCCTGCTAGATATTGTTATAAAATGGAAAATGTCGATTGGTCAGCCCATTTTATATCGTTATAGGGGTAATATCGTTATAGCAATATTGTTATAGAGGTAAGGCATTGTATACACGAGTCAATGGAGTGATTTGGTTTGGCAGAAAAATATCGTTATAAGGGTAATATCGTTATAGGGGTTATCGTTATCAGGGTAGGTCGACTGTACCATGTTCTAACTACCAGTACCAGATAAAACTATCAATATCCTTTAACCCGGTATCAAGAGTAGATAAACAAGAGTGTGTAACTCCGGATCTCTCCTGCACAATCTCCTGATACCCACTGCGGACTTTTTTGTTGACGTCACCTTTTTTCAGAAAAACGCGCTTCTTGCCGCAGAGCAGTGTGAGAGCACGTGCTGGGCACCGACATTGTAATGTAAGCCCGGCCAAGTGCACGAGGCAACACTTTCCAAAAGACTAGCAGCGCGTGGGTGGTCGAAAAGATTACGTCAACAAAAAATTCCGCCGTGGGCCAACCCATCCGCGCGGATCCGGGAGTTGCACACTCTTGTTTATCTACTCTTGCCGGTATTGATCCTAGCCTCTTCACTACTTAGCACCTGCCTCTGCCCGTCACTCCGGCTGGCATATCCTCATAAAGAGCCAAATACCTCTTCCAGCAGATCCGTGAGCAACACCATCCACAGAACAGAGATAGAATGTGTTCATCTCCAGAACAGGAAGATCCAATGCCATCATAAACCTTTCCTTTTGAAGACTATGACATACCGATTTATTCTGCAAAGTTTTTGGTTGCAATCATGCTGCTTGAATTCTCACAGTATTGGTTCCAAAATGAAAATCCAGGTTTTTTGCTATTTTTCCTAAAAAAATTGGAGGAAAAGAGCAATGAAATTGTCATTGTATCTAACTGAATATGAATGCAATCCACCTAAAACTTCACCAGAAGTTGAAGAAAGGGTCACGTCGTTGTTTGTCTTGGTACAAACAAGACTGACTTTGCTGTTTGCTGTTTATTGTTTTTGTGCAGGGTGGAAGGCATAGCCAATGATCTTGGCCTGGACCTTGTGCAGATCATTATGCAATGCTGCTGTCCACCCGTCTTGGTGTCAGGCAATACCTCGTTGGCTCTACCCGTTACAGGCCGTAAGTTGTCTAATGTGTGGCAGGTGGACACCTAGTATATCACGGTTTGTGCCCACATACACGCAACTTGTTTCCTAAATTGTATTGTTTCATGATTGTATTATCAGCTAATAGCATGCTTGGTTTCAGTAACTTCACAAAGTCGACCAGCAGACTATTCGTGGTGTCGTGGTCTCAGATTATGTTCTCCTTGTTTTAGAAGCGTCTTCTTCTTCTCGTTTATCGCAGCAACATCATCACATGCAATAGCAGTTTCCACGGTATTCAATGGGAACACAACGGAATGGAGTGGAGAAGTGATGTCGCCACTGGAGTTGTCAGCTACTCTGCTGAGCAGGACACTAGCACTTGTTACTGGTACGAGTCAATATCATCACCATGACACCATACTGTTAGCTTTCCTTATTATGTAGGTGTTCTATTGCCAGCAGCAATGTTATGATTGCACTGTCCTTGTCTGTGACGGGATTCGACGATGCTTGCAACTAGTGCCAAGTCACGAAGTGTCAAATTTGATTATTATTCCCCTTTTGGATCCATCAAGCCTGAATGGAAATCCGTTAAATGAAACGGTTGTGGAGAGCATCAGGTTACAGGGTTGACCTTGTTGAGCTTGATGTCTCGTACTTTGTGCAGGTACTGCCTTGAAGTATTGCTTTTTTATTATACTTTTGTTTTGACTACTGTATTGAATACAGGCAAAGCACGTGTATCTCAGAATCACGTTATGGACACAAGTGGAGCAAGTGCTCTAAGCACCATGCCTGAGTGGCTGGAGATTGTAAGACTCACTGCCAACTTTGCCCTGGTGGATCTGAACAAGCTGGACGGCAGTGAAACCAAGGTGTTCTTCTATGCCAACGTCCTCAACCTACTTCTCGCCCATGCTGCTATTGCACTGCATTCCGTGTGGCCTGTGGATGGTCCTGCTCGTATTCTGCTGCTCAAGACGGCATGCTACCGTGTTGGCCAATTGGGTGTAGTCAGGTAATTTACTCCTCTTATCTGTCAATTGTAGGCACCTTGAGAATTATGGGAACTGTTGCGGCAGTGTGGTCGAGTTAGGGTTGGGCTCTTTGCTATTGATGCGTTCACATTTAAAAAATTACTGGCACCTTCACTAACTTGTGTGTTTGCTTTCTATGTATGTGTGTGTGTGTGTGTGTGTGTATGTGTATGTGTGTGTGTGTGTATGTGTGTGTGTATGTGTGTGTGTGTGTATGTGTGTGTGTATGTGTGTGTGTGTGTGCGTGTGCGTGTGTGTGTGTGTGTGTGTGTGCAGTGCATTTGACCTGTGGCATGTGATCCTGCGCTGTGGCCTGCCCTGCATGGCATATGGCTGCGATGTCACATCCTTGCTACCAGGTACGCATGCTCTTACGATGTCAACGGCAGATGACTTTGTGACTACTGGAGATACTTCTGTGCTTGTAGTTTCCTGCCAGTATGTACATGTATACATAGCAGTCCATAGCACACTGGTTCCCCGATGTACGATCTACTGCAGTACTGGTAGAAGCAGCCCCCGCCCCCACTGTTAGGCAGTGCATCTGCCCCTAGGGTTTACCGGGTGTTAGCAGCCGTCGTGAGTTCCCTTCGGGAACGGACACGATAATTTACTTCTTTTTTACTGGTAGAGGCAAGCTTGTGTATATTTCCTTTGTCTTGTGGGTTGGTGTTTCCTGGTGCAGTTGTTGCCGAGCATGATCCGTGGAAGATCTACACCAACCTAGAGAATGATCCACGGGTAGTATTCCTGATCTCTGACTGCTCATCGACGAGTCCATTGCCGAAGGTTAGACAAATAGACAAGTCTATTGCCCTTACCTTTTAGTGGTCACTGGTGTGACAATTCTCACTTTCCGCAGACAGGTACCTGTGCAATGCACCAGATCATACATGTTCTCATCAGGACGTATTGCACCACCTTAATAGTAACTTTGCAGTGCTATTGTTTGCTTTTAGTTCTGATGGACATGCTCTGTTGTCATGACCAATCTACTGTAGGTCAGCAAAGTGCAGCGACAAGATTAGAGTTTGTATTCTGATGATAGGCATCTGATGCCTTAGCTTTTCACAACCAGGATTCACTTCCCTCATGCTTGAAAGTAATGCTCTCTGACCTGGCATGCATGCAGTGCTTTTATTCATGATGGCTTTAGCTGCTCACACTTCAGGATCATGTTTAGCAGGTGCCTTCGCATGTAATGTTTACTGCTTGTGTAAAGAATACATTCTTGGTCTCTCTCTCTCTCTCTCTCTCTCTCTCTCTCTCTCTCTCTCTCTCTCTCTCTCTCTCTCTCTCTCTCTCTCTCTCTCTCTCTCTCTCTCTCTCTCTCTCTCTCTCTCTCTCTCTCTCTCTCTCTCTCTCTCTCTCTCTCTCTCTCTCTCTCTCTCTCTCTCTCTCTCTCTCTCTCTCTCTCTCTCTCTCTCTCCCTCCTTTTGTCTTACCGATTGTTGACTAGGTCTTGGATGGTGAGATAGACCTTGACTCTGCCCTAAGCGTTGCAACATCCACGTTTCTAGCATCCTCCATTCACGTGATTGGGGACCAGGTAGGTACATGTTTGTTTGGCCATCTCCCTTGCACCTGTTTGTTTTGCCATCTCCCTTGCACCTGTTTGTTTGGCCGGTCGTTACGCTGGCTGTGTGTTACCACTGACGTTCATTGAACAGCTTGGTAGCTTTGATATTGGATGTGTATTCAAGAACCACAAGTCTGACTGAGGGGAAAGAGCAAGCTTCAGGCTCTGGTTCTTCTGGAGTTCTTTTCTTCAGTCTGATTGCATTCTTGTCTTCTTGAAACGGACACTTTTTTTCTCTTTGCCGTTACCAGGTTGTTCTACCTTGTCAGCTTGACTGGTTCCGTGAAGATTTCACGTCTAAGTCAGATGCGGATGGTGATACAGAGCTGGTAAAGTTTGTTCAGAGGCACCTGCTCGGTGAGAAGTTCTCTTCACTGCAGAATGCAGTGGACATGGCAAGCAGTCGGTCATCGGCCATCAGCATAACGTTTTCTGCATTCAACTGGGATTTGAGCTATGTGCCACCCACAGCTATTCCTGCAGATGCCAGTGTGCCGCACACTGACAATGTGCTTGGTGCTGACATCAGCCTGGAAGTAGCCAAGGTGCACCTAGCCACACGCTATCTTCTCACAGACAGTGCCATGGACTACCTGGGAAATCAGCTGCCGCTTGCCTCGGCTCTAGCCAACCTGGTGTGTCCTCGCTCTGGTGCTTCATCTCCTTCACCCGACGTTGGTGATCGTGGGGCTGATTCTGATGAGGAGGACGTCAATGAGGACCTAACAGCAAGTATCATGGCACATGTTGCCTCGCTGGGAAATCGCTTTTCAGCGTCAAGCAGGATGGTGTCTTCGCGCAGCAGCACAACCGCAACACCAGTGCTAACTGAGAGTGTCACTAGTGATGAGCCACTGCTGTCTAAGCTGGAGAACACCAGTCACATGACGTCCATTGTTCAGAGTGTGGAAGAGAAGTTTGAAGTGCTGCATCGCTTCCTGCTGTTGCGCATCAGTGTGCTGCCGGATAGCAAGTCGTTCCAGGGCTCTAGTGAACAGGACTTCATGCGTATGCTGCAGACACTACTGCTGTCACCTTTAAACAGTGCTGCTAGTCAAACAGCTATCCAGTTAGTACGTAACTTCTACCTACGACAGTGCCACTGGCAGACTGCCGTCAGCTTGATTGACTCAGTACTGTGTATGTTGCCCGGTGGACTGGCATGCCCTGTGCCTGATATGTGGCTGGAAGCAGCTGCTATTGCATGTCTTGGTCCAGGTAAGTGTTGTTACTGCTGCTGCTGTTGTTGTTGTAGCACCTGTGAAGTTTGTGTTGGTTTATACTTGGTGAAGTGTGTAGTATTGTTTCCTCCAGACAATTTGATCCCGAGTTACCTGCATGCTCTGGTTTTTGAATTTTAAGGTAGCTCAATACTAAAAAATTGGTCCGAAGATTGTTCAGTTTTGCTTTTTCCACACTTTCCTACGTATGTGTACTGAGTGAAAAAAACATTCCTGGGGCGGGGGCAAAATCTTGCAGTATGCTGCCTACAAAATATACGATTTTGCGACTTTGCGGAGTTTTTAACACACATCTCTTCAGGAAATATTTCATTAGAATGCTTTATTGAGTCTTTCTTGTTGCTCTACTTCGTCCAGGGATGTCCCTGGAACAAAATAGGAGCATTGGAGAAGTACTACCAGCCTTGAATTCAATTATTCAGTTCCAGTTTTAATTTACGACAAATTTGTTACAAGGAGGATGAAATATCAAAATTGGTCCGAAGATATGTGCATGTTTTACTTCCTTATGATCAAGTCAGACCCTTACTGAGCTGGAAAAACAAAGGTTGGGGGGGGGGGGGGTATTTGGGCAAAATATTGCTGATAGGGAGCATTTTCATATATCGGACATGTGCATTTTGCCTCCTTGGTTTTCATTGTATTTCTTCTTCTTTTACTATACAGTATCTTCAATGAATCCAGTGGTCACCATTGTAAAGGACAGCGGCTCTGGGTCCCATGATCAGCTATGTAGCTGGAAGTATGTGTGTCGTATCAAGTGTGTGGACACGTTTGTACGTGCTGTCCTTCGTCACCTCTATGACTGGCCGATTGAAGTTGCTCTAAGCGGTCTGGAGATGTGTGTAGAGCGACTCAAGTCTGAGCATCCGCTGCGCTCTGATGTTGAGGATCTCTATAGGCGTGTGTCCGTTTATCAGAAGGTATGCTGTGCATGGGTGCCTTTGTGTCTTTCTGATTCTGTGTCAACATGTAATGGCCATCTACCTCCCGCTGTGCGCGTTTGTGTGTGTGTGTGTACCTCTCTCTCTCTCTCTCTCTCTCTCTCTCTCTCTCTCTCTCTCTCTCTCTCTCTCTCTCTCTCTCTCTCTCTCTCTCTCTCTCTCTCTCTCTCTCTCTCTCTCTCTCTCTCTCTCTCTCTCTCTCTCTCTCTCTCTCTCTCTCTCTCTCTCTCTCTCTCTCTCTCTCTCTCTCTCTCCACTTTCTCTATTGTAGCACTGCTGCTCTTAATATGTGTTTATACTGGCCGTGTCCCACTTCATACTTGTGATGACATAGTTACGCGAGCCGTTATTGAGGAGAAGTTTCTGTGTGTGTGTGTGTGTGTGTGTGTGTGTGTGTGTGTGTGTGTGTGTGTGTGTGTGTGTGTGTGTGTGTGTGTGTGCGTGTTGATATTGTTTTAGGTACGTCTATGTGCACTGCAAAATGCGTCTGGCACTGCCCTGAGTGAATTGTTGGCAGCGACTCCAGCAGCAGCTACTGGCCGCTCCGGTGTATTGGATGACTCTCAGTGGACATCATGGCGCAACTGGACTGCTGTGCAAGTGGCCAGTGAGGAGCGACCAGAGCTGGTTGTACAGCTGTTGCTGCAGAATGGTGAATACGACCTGGTGCGCAAATGGGCCAAGCTTCATACTGTCTCGTCCGAACTAATGGAGGTATGTGACTAAAATCTTGCTTTGTACGCTCTGTGTATCTGGGTGCTATAATGGGCGATCTTCTGAAAACGTATTCATTAGCTGCTAGCAGCTACAGTGTGCTTGTCTGAGAGTGCTGAGTGGACTCATGTGCTTAACACCCGAGTCTACTCATTGTTTGTGAGCCTTGTGCTTGCTGCTCTACTCAGTGTATGCATCTGTGTTCTTGTATTGGTGTGATTGTATTGATACTCATACACACACACACACACACACACACACACACACACACACACACACACACACACACACACACACACACACACACACACACACACACACACACACACACACACACACACACACACACACGCGCACGCGCACACGCACACACACACACACACACACACACACACACACACACACACGCACACACACACACACGTATATACTCTTATACTTGTATACTGCCACTATTCACTACGTTGCAGGCTGTGGAGAGACGCTACCTACAGAGTTTGCTCCAAGGCGATGATTTAGACCTGACACAGGCATACCGGGTAAGCTCTCTTATTATCTACAGCCTATCAACTCTCCTTTTCTTGGTTTCCAGTTTTCACCTTGTTATGAATGTTATGAATGATCAAGAAAGTTCTTGTATGAGGTATTGCGGACAGAAGTGAAGTGTTTGGGATGCTGAGTGGCTTCACGAAAACGTTGCCCTCACCAGTGCAAACTATTTTTTGCATATATCAAACGTGAGGCAAGAAGGTGGATAATCTTTAGGCAGGGGAGAGGGATAACTCTGCTTGGCGTTTCGAACAATATGGGCCACATGTACACACAGCACAAGGAAGCTTTGATAATACACAACTGCAAGCTTCTTTGTTGTCTTCAACTATCATCTGTGGACTCCCCCCCCCAGGCATGTGTCATTGATGTGGCCTGTGGGGATGTACTTTTCTCAAGGTTTGGAGACTCCACTGTAGCCAATACTTGAATCCATACATCCTGTACACACACCTTGTACACACTCTCTCTAACGGTCTCTAGGCTACACTGCAATTGATATACATTAGCTCAAATTTTCGGGCAAAGCCCATCATCAGGAATAAGTTCACTGTAGACAGAACAGGGGTTTATATATATGTGACAAGTACTAGTGGCCAAAGTGTGATGGTATAGCAATACCACAGGAGAAGCGAGATTATAATTCTGTGTGATATGTATGAAGTGAAAATATAGTGCAGTGATAGTGCAGGATTACTAGCGTGAGTACAAAGCAGAACAATACACACTTCTAGCAACACTCACACACACACACACACACACACACACACACGCACAAATTATGGTAATGACAGACATATTTACACATCACCCAACAGTCGCCAACCATTGTCACTGTTCACTGCCGGCTTCCTCTTCCTCATGAATAGTGCCTCCATGATTCTGCGGTCAACGTATGACCGTTGCCTGCGGGCGAGAACTTGCAGATGGGCGAATGGTGAAAACTGCGGTGACGATGGGAAGGTGTGCTGCTTTTGTCGATAATGGTCTCCCCATGGCTTTCCCAATGTCGCGTTCTTGGCTTGTCTGTAGTGCTCCTCGGTCCTCTTGCGTGTTGTCCTTTCTGTTTCCCCGACGTATTCTTCTTGACAGATGGTACATGTCATGGAGTACACCACATCTTGGGACATACAAGCATCACGCTTCAGACCACCATCGCATGCACGACATTCAGCCGGCCGACCCCGCCGCCTCTTCTCCCTCCGCTGCTGTACCGTCCTGGGGCATTGTGGCTTGCTGAATGACGACGAGACCAACATATCCTTTAGTGAGCGACCGGACGTAAAGACCACACGCACATCTCTATCAAACGACCTGACCACTTGACGAACCCTCCTTGCAAGCTGGTCATTTAAGTACGGTACCTTGACAAGTGACGTGTACTGTCGTTTCCCCTTCCGGTGTGGTGTCTGCTGGTGGGGCTGCTCTCGGATGCGTGCGGTTGTCCGTGCGGTGTCGGAGTGTTGTATGGCTGATTGTATAATGCTCCGTGGGTAGTGGTTATCAAGGAGGAGTGCGGTGATCTTTTTAATCCCCCGTTGTCGTCCTGCCTCCGTTGTTGCGTTCTTGACTGCCCTGCGGATCTGGTTGTTGGCGACAGCGATTTTTGTTTCCATTGGCAAAGCAGACAAATATGACAAATGTACACCACTATGGGACGACTTGACAAATAACTCCCAGTCCAACTTGCCACCTGACACCGAGATTGACAGGTCCAAGTAACTGATGGTGTGAGAGTTGGCCGTGTGTGTATATTCTGCGGTGAATTGTATGCGTGGGTGGCGGGAATTGAGATAATCAACAAATGCCAGAAATGCCGCAATACCAAAGATCCAAACGAGTATGCAATCATCAATATACCGACGATACAAGAGCGGTTTCAGGGGATACTCAGACAGGGCACGTGACTCGAACTTTGACATAAAGATAATAGCCAATGGGGGCGCGAGGTGGTTGCCCATAGCTAGACCCTGCTGCTGTCGATAGATGGCGCCGTCAAACTCAAAGAAATTTGACTCGAGGACAAACATGAGCATTTCGCGTATGTCTGATAATGACAGTGCGAACATATCAACTGATTCCTCATGCTCTTCCAATAACTCTATGGCCGCATCGATGCTTTCTTGAATAGGAATATTCGAGTACAATGACACAACGTCCAGAGACGCCACAATACATTCCTCTGGGAGGTTTTCGAGGTTGCGCAACGCCGTCATACAATCTTCAGTACTCGATAAATGTGCAGGTACGAATGGAAGCAACTGCGTAAGAATGCGCTCAAGCAGAAGTGAAATACTGCTGGTCGGGCTACCGCATGTCGATACCACGGGGCGGAGTGGGAGGCCAGGCTTGTGGTCTTTGGGGAGTCCATAGAAGGTGGACATTCGCGAGTTGTGTGGCTTCAGTGCACGAGTGAGTGGTGGTGGGATTTTTCCGGTAGTAATGTCCTCTGCTATCCCAGCAGATGTCTTGTCCAGTTCGTTCACGGTAATGTCGGACCTCTCGTAGTTGACCTCACAGCTGAGCATTTGTTCAATTTTGGACATGTAGTGTGTTTTGGCCATGACAACAAACCCCTTGCTCTTGTCGGACGGCTTGATTATGATGCTTTTGTTCTCACGTAGGTCTCTGATCATCGTTCGTTCTTTTCCCGTCAGATGTCGAAGTGGAGTCTTCTGGGGCGCCGTCATTGCCATCTCCCTCCTGTACAGCATAGTGAGGTTCTCCCGGAGCCTTCTCATTTTTCCTTCCTCTTCCCTTTCCATAAGTGGTGGCTGTTTCTCCGTCGTAGCTATTTTCCTCAGCTTCGGATCTTTTCGCAACGGTTTCATGTTTTCATCCTCCCTTTCCTTTTCTCTTTCGTCACGTGTGTCATTCTCTCTGTACTTCTTTGCGACTTCCCTCCATCGTCTCCCAAATGCCATTCGCTCCACTCCAGCCTCCACCTCCATAATCATGCGTTCATCCACCTTCCTGGCAGGAATGAATTTCGGTCCCAGTGACAGTAGTTCTCTCGCGTCGTCATGTATCTCACCATCGACTCCACTCTCCACCACCACCCTCGCTGACCCAGTCTCTTGTCTCACCGGCTCTTCTTCTCTCGGTCCATCTCTCCCACCAGCTAGTGCTTCCTCCTTTCGCAATAATTTGGCTCGTTCCGCTTGGATAACACGGCTACACATGTGTCTTGTGTGACCCAGCAACCAGGCCATCTGACTAGAGGATAGTTCTTGATATAAGCGTCCCAAAAACCGATGACTTTGTTTTCGGAGATCGTTAATGGTTCGATACTTCTGTGGGGATGTGGTGACGTTAAGACTTTGATTTATTTGGGGCAAACCTGTTACCTGCACTGTAGCATGTTCATCGTGTGTCCTCATCATGATAGTATGAATGTGTCACAGAGTCCCAATCCGTCTCTGTTGATGATAGTACGAATGTGTCACAGAGTCCCACTCGGTCTCTGTTGCTTTCCCTTCACTAATCATAAATGTCGTACTTTGGTGTTCTTGCAACTTCTTAGCATGGTCTGACATACCGATGCTGTGTTTGTTGGTTACTGTGTAGGCACTTGAGTCAATTCAGGTGAAGGAGATTGCACTGAAAGTGTGTGAATCAGTGCGGCCGCTTCTCAATGACCTATCCAGCACGATATTTGTCATTCAGTATGAGTTGAACTGCATGGATGATCTACTATCGCGATCAGAGCGTGAGAAGCTCATGCAGATTTGTCTTGGTGCACAGGTTAGTGACGTGTATTCTCTGTGCACATGATGCCAGCATGCGCAGTTTGCTTACACGTATTCTCAGTGCATATGATGCCATGGTGCTCTGGTTGCTTACACGTATTCTCTATGCACATGGCTGTGGTGACCTGTAGTAGCAAAGCAGGCAGATTGTGGAAGGCTATAAGCTGCTTATACATGCACGTGTACTGACATAACTACCTTCATTGTACTTACATTATGCAGTTGTGCTCAATGAGATCCGTGCTTGTGCCTGAGTTTGCGCTATGCGCCAGTGTACAGTGAACCCAGTGCACAGGGTCTGGAGCTGCACAACGCTCGGCGTGACGTTGACTCACGATGGCCAGATTCCGTTGAGCAGCACTGTAGTATTATCCGTTCTTCATCATTCAATCACACCTCCTTCTGGTCGGTGCATTTGTCCTTTTCTGTGTATTTATGTTCAAGATTGTTGTGAAGTTGTTCTGTCTCTATTTCCACATGCAGTGGGCACATTGTTTGTCTTGTCACCTGTGTGGGTGTTGTGTGTTCTGTGTCACTGTGTTGTGTGTGCTGTATGTAGGCCTTACTATGCCTGCCCAGTCATTCAAGACGCCAGTATGAGCGTTTGATGGCACATCCTCAACTGCTCATTGAACAGCTGCTTATGAATATGAAGGTAGGTTTGCCATTGCAGGCTGCTGCTGCTGCTGCTGCTGCTGCTACATAGCAGTATGGACTACGGGACTCAAGTACTCTCAAGGCCCGCATACTACTTGAGCTAGTTTTAACTTTCAACTATCTCTACTTCAACTTTTTGCATCCCCTTCAAAACGGAGAGGCAGAAAAGTTGAAATGGAGATTTTATTAAAAAACACACATGAGGTATTATGGCTGATGGTCTATTTTGCTCATGCACATCATCTACCACTGCACACACAACGAAATGCGGGGTGTGCAGGCTTACTGCACAAGGTCTTCTTGCCAAAGAAAACGTTTTGTGAAAACTCGCAACAGCAACAGCATCAGACAACTGGCTTCCGCAACAACAAGCAAAAAACAACCAGCTGCAGCATCCCTATGGACCAATAAGCAACTACAGTCCATTTCAAAAAGATTTGCAATCCTGGCGATCGGCCGGGGAGTTTGCCGTCTTACCGTATGAGCGCTCGAGCGCTTCCTGGAAAAACTCACTGTGAACTCGAAGAAATATTCCGCGCGAAAGCATGAAAAATGACAACTCACTGACGTCGGTAAATGTACGTCTGGTTTACAACAAACAAGTTCCTCCTCGTATCGATATGGAGTCGACAGTCAGAGAGGACATGTCGAAAGTGTGGTAAATTTTGACGGGCGGGATGTGTCCCAATTCGTTTTGTGACCAAATAGATTCTTTGAGCTGCCGCGTATGAAATTTCTCTCACGATGTGACGAAAACGGCATCGACACAGACTCATTCCCAAGTCCATGATATGGCAAAGCTATCCGTGTGACTTCGACGACATTTAGAGAAAGGCAGACGCCTGTGAAAGCTGATAGAAGACGGCGTTCCTAAATTCAAATGAATTGGCGATCATGAAATGCTAAAATAATTCTCAAACAGAAATCGATCGATGTGCGGGTGTATTCAACAACACGTACTGACGTAGCTACAGCACAATGACTTCCGCGTTCACTCACACCGTTTCAGTGTTGTGTGTGTTCACAACTTCACATGGCGTGAGCCAGTCAAGTGTCAGTCAGTTCGGCAGGAAACGCGAGCTCCAGCAACAAGTCGTTTGGCGCAGCCACCTTCTTTGTCTTGTACCAGCGTGATCACCAAAACCAGGGAGTCGTAAAATATTTTACGACTCTCTGACCAAAACAATGAAAAAATGAAGAAAAATGTTTGACTTGAAGATTTGTTGGGATTTGAACTCACAACTTCATGGTCAGCAGACAGCATTCATAACCACAAGGCCAAAAAGGAATGGATAAATCGTGGGTTTTGATAAAAAATCGATACTGGCTTCCAGGGCAAATTGTAAACCATGGGAAAAGGCCCGAAACCTGGCCGAAATTCTAACTCCTTAACCACTGGTCCAATTGTTCCGAAACCTTCACAGAACAATTTGCCATGCCCTAACAAGCCCCTTTATGTACTTAGTTGTCCAAATTTCCCTTATCTTCATACTTTTTAAGACCAAAACCTGATTGTAAATCTTTTTGAAACAGACTATAAAGCATGTGCAACAGCTAGCCAGAGTCAGCCACACCTGCACAGCATACTTTTCGTAACATACTGCCAGTGCATATGAAGCACAATCATATACTCAGAATCAGCAGCAGCATTTGTAGCAATGACGGGTTGACGTATGGCACAGGGTGGGTGGGTGGGCAACTTTCTGTCTGGCAAGTAGAAAAATAATGAACAGCACTCTGCGCCAGCACACTTTTTCAGCAACCGCTGTGCCCTCGCACCCATGATCGATGACCACGTGCAAAAATCTACAAAGAACATGATTTCTCGTTTATTTCACTGCGTTCAGCCAACGAGAAATGACCACTTCTTTGTCTATTTTGCTCATGCACATCATCTACCACTGCACACACAACGAAATGCGGGGTGTGCAGGCTTACTGCACAAGACAGACAAAGCATAGCCGTCGCTGTGAAAACCTGGCATGACCTCTACCAGCTGGAGCGCTTAGGATACTGGCTCCCACTTTCACAGCGTGACACCTGGTGTCCTCCATCACGCAGCCATGCCCACCACCTCGACATCAGCGGCAGCAATACGGCAACTGTTGCCTATCTCGGATCCTGGATCCCAACAACGCAGCACCCGGTGCCACCTACAGCACGCACCACACACAACACCAGAGCAACACGGCAGTAAATGTTCCTACCTATAAAGGGAGCATAGCAAACGCCAACCGGTAGAGCCTTGTCTCATACCATCGCAAGCCCGGCGGTCACTGCAATTCTCCACGCGATAACTTTTAACGACTAAATATTAATGATTCATCTCACTAATTGCACTCGACACCAACTAAGCCCAGTTGCAACGACTTTAACCCCCCCCCCCCCCCCTCAGTTAACCAGCAACAACCAAGCCCTAGACCGCCCAGGGCACTGGAGCTGAAGCACAACGCGCCTATATAAACACAAACAAATAAATAAGTAATGTAACTCTCTCACTGACTGCACTGGATGCCAACTAAGCTAAAGCAATTCTAACAACATGAGACCTCCCAGCCCACAGTCATGTCAATGTGGCACGGCTTGCTGACCTGGTTGGCTTGTGGTGTTAGCCCGCTGGGGACAGAACTTGACATACTATAGAACGGGTAATTTTAGCGACTATTAATTTTAACGTTTTCCCATTGTCAACCGGTTAGCAACGTTTTACTTTAGCGATTAGCAGCGATTTTACTCTCGGATCACCAGTGCACTACTAATGTCTCGACGGATTTATAGCGACTTGAAACTTTAGCGAAAATGAGTCGATTGCTAAATTCGCTAGGGTTTTTACGTCGCTAAAATTACCCTTTCTACAGTAATGACCTGGCTGCCCACACCGGTGGCACACCCCTGAGCGGAAATTGCCCATTGGCGCATGCATAGATAAAGGTGGGTGGCTAAGCGGCATCCCCCCCCCCCCCCCCCCCGCATGGTATGGGTTGGGTTGGCATGTTTAGGCCCCGCACCACCCCAGCTACCTTCTTCTTTGACCCTTCAGCCTGGATCGCAGCCTGGAGACGTTTCTGCTTTTTGGCTCCCCCAACTAGTGCCATAAGCTGATCGCCTTTCTGGAAGGATGTTGCCACCTGATGGCCATGCTTTTCTGCAATCACAAGCCACTCTTGCCTCTCCTTCAGCAGCCTCTCACCTTTTTTCGCTGCCTTCCTTCTCTTCTTGGATTTTGCCGACCTCACATCGTGCAGCAGATCCAGGAGCTCGGCATTCAGCTCGAATTGCTTCGCGTAGCTTGTCGTTTTCCAGCTCGCGACGTCGCTGGCGGCTGACCTTGCTTTCCGCTTTGGCGACCTCAACCGGGATCGTAACGAATCCGAGAAGGGAGATCGTGACGATGATGATGATGACGACCCTGACTCTGCTGAATCCCTTGGTCTTTTCCTTTTCAGGGACCTGCCACGGGCTGTCAGCTCACCGACACTCCTTTCGAGTATCCGGATTTTCATCCCCAGCAGCTCCCTCTCCGCCATGAGCTGGGAATGCGGCATTCTATTTATAGGTGACGTCGGAGCCTGCGTCTCAACTTCGCGGGGGACTTGCTCTTCGACTGCAGTCTCGTATTCCGACGAGGTGTTACCAACTACGTCGGAGTTGGGGAACTCGAACACAGACAAGTCACGGGTACCTCTCCTCCTACCACTACCTCTGCCTCTGCCAGAGGCCACCTGCACGGCGCTTGCAATATGGCCACGTCGACCCATTCTGTATCTGACAATTATTACAAAAGAATCGAAACTTTGGCCGAGACTGGCAACTTTCTTTCTGGCAAGAAGAAAAATAATGAACAGCACTCTGCGCCAGCACGCTTTTTCAGCAACCGCTGTGCCCTCGTACCCATCGATGACCACGTGCAAAAATCTACAAAGAACATGATTTCTCGTTTATTTCACTGCGTTCAGCCAGCGAGAAATGAACACATCCGAGTTCGGTCTGGTCTTTTTTATATGAAAGCTTTGTCTGTCTAAACCAATCTGCATACAACTTGTATAGAACAAAATCCTAACCGTTCTCGACTTAAAGCAGTCAATCGAATGCTGCATTTTCCACACTAATTTAATTGGTCCATAAAGGGTTAAGGGCGCTCGGTAGCGCATTTGCCCGTGCGGTCGCGGGGGGGGGGGGGGGGGGCAGCTGCACTAATACTAGTGAGGTCTTACCATCCCTACATGCATGCTACATCACATATGTGCTGTTTTGGACACAGCTTGTAATGTTTTTGTTTTCGACCTTAGGTTGACTGGGCTGAGCAAGTGGGTCGGTGCTTTCGCCGAGCAGGCAAACGAAGGAAAAGCGTCAACACGCCAGCAACCATTCTAGAGGAGAATGATGATAGTTCATCTGATGAAGAGATCGATGATGAGATTGCCGAAGCGTTTTCTAAGTCAACAGAACGCGCTGACTCCTTACCTAGTCAGTTTGTTTTTGAGATTCAGAAGACGTTCGATGACCTTGTTAGCCGCTACGCTGAGAAGGCACTGGAGTTTCCATCCTCCTACATCCCACCACTCGTTGACAGTAAGCCAGAATTAGGATTTTAGGATTGTCTTCTGTCTCTTTTTCCAGCCATTAGAGAGGTTCTGCTACACGGAACTACGTACCAAACTCCGTGTCAACTGCAGTGCAGTTTGACACGGATTTTTCGTACGTTGCACCGGTTCTGCTGTACGTAGCAGGCTCGAAGCATGCTCAAAGCATGCACGAACACCCCGCCACATGTACTCTGTACGCTCACTTTTCACACGGAGTCCAGTCCGAAAACGGTATGAAAAAATCCGTATCAAACTAAATCCCGTACCGCGGCGAAGTTTCCATACGTACTTTGGCACGTTTTACCGTGTGGCAGAACCTCACTATTGCCAGTCCTCTGTCCAGTCAGTTTCCCTTGCATGTATTCTTGAATAGACGTTATTCTTCAGTTTTCGAAAACTAAGAAATGCATGCGATAATGATGTAGTGTACCATTGGTACAACGGTAGCATTAGGTTTCTAGGGTTAAGAGCAGTGGCAGTGGTAGTGGTAGTGGTGGACCGGGGTGGACTGAGGTGGACTGTGCTGGTGTAAACGTAATCAAGTACCTTTACTATTCTGACATCAGTGCATCATTGCAACAAATCTGTGTGCATTGCGTATTGTGAATTACTGTCCACAGCTTCCAGTAGGTCATCTTCTGTGTCTTCACTGCGTGGCATGGATGGCTCGTTACTGATGAGAAACGAGTCACCATTCACACGGACACCGACACGACCCATGCGTGCCGAGGAAAGCCCCACGTTTGGACAGCAGCGTGCTTCATCGTCGACTCCACTGAGATCGGCATCACGATCATCACCTGTTCCGCGGCGTAGTGGTGTACACGGTAAGCTAGACTATCCAATGTTCTTGTCAACCTCATCACTCACTTTGCTAGACTATCCAATGTTCTTGTCAACCTCATCACTCATTTTGCTGTTCCACGACTCCTCGTGAATGACATACCGGTAAACGATGAGTTTCCGCTTTCCCGAAGTCATGCCTAGTAGTGCACACTCTCAGTCACTGGTTTACGTACTCTTGGTGACATGCACAGGAACATGACTGTACAAGTAGTGTACATACAAATGCAGTGGGTAGCATACCGGTGTAGCTAGTCATGCTCTGAAATGTGTAATGTGTACAATACATGTTAACTCACCGGCAAGTATTATGTACCTTACTGGTGACGTTGCCATGGTTTGTGCATTACATGTTGAGTTTGAATACTCAGTATATTCCTCTGAGACCTGCCAAGTCCAAGTCCATAGCCATTGGTACCGAGTATTTATGCTACGCTCCCAGTATCTCTAATTGTGCCCATCTTGGCAACTGCAGCTCTCGTAGATGTGTGAAGTCAGTGTGGATGGGGCTCGGCTTTGACTGGTGTGTGTCTTGACGCATTATGAATTAGAGCTGAATGATGACGATCGCTATGGCACAACTGTGTCTATGTGTCTTGAACTTTGGCACAGATGCTATGCCCACATCAGCCATGAGAACACCCACAGTATCGCGAACTCGCCCGTCCTTAAAGGACAAGGCCAAGGATGAGAAGCAGCAGCAGCAACAGCAGACATCCACCTATCAGCCACCGCTGCTTATACCAAGCAAAGAAGAATGGGTGAAAGATGAGACGGTTGCCCTCTGTGTGGTGTGCCAGACTGAACGATTTAGTATGGTAAGGTTTGAGCAATGATAGCCACTCCTTTTTTTCAGGACTTTGAAGCTCCATTGTAGCCTTGTCATCTTTTCACTGCACCTCCAACTCTCGCAACACACAAAGTCCTCGGCCACACCGCGTACAACGATTGTTTACAAATACCCAGCAGGGTATCATCCTGATGATGTGTGGCAGCTAGTGCCTAATGATGTCCTCCTGGGTGAAAATTTGGAAACAAGCGTTGTACATGGTGTAGCCAAGGACTTTGTGTGTTGCGAGTTGGGTGTATCTCTTAAACTGTCGCTGGCAAATCCTATATATAGGATTTGGATTTTATGCAAAGATATCGTGATGTAGGATCACTATTAGTGTGGAATGGAAATATCGTTCATGGTATGAATGTATGTAGGATGTTACATGCAATTGTGGCAGAAAATCCAGCAGTTCAGCTGAGTTCCTGGAGCTTAGCTTGGTTCATGGTAAGCTTGGAAGCATTGAATATGCAACCCGACGTTGCAGCGCCTGCACTCGTAGCAGCTCTTGAGGCACTTCGTCTTCCCTTGCACTCGGCAGTGCACACACACTCGCTATGGGCTGCTACCTGGTCCATCGATCTTGGCGGGCCAGTGGCAACCAATGGCTCGGTCGGGTGGCGGATTCTGAACAGCTTCAGAAGTGGAGTGTCGTCGTTTGCCGAATGAGTCGCTGCCACGTTTGGACATTTCCAGCCCCGCAACAAGCTGCTCAGCCAGGACTCCGCAGAACTTGGAATGCGTCATCTTCGGCAAACTTCTCTCTTCTGGCAGCTCCTTGTGTATTATGTAGGCATTGCTGATGGCCGAATCAACGCACCACCAGAAAATGGCATGCCACCATTTTCGACTACGGACACGTACTGAATAATAGACACGAAGTTCATCGGCGCGGTCAACAGCATTCATGAACTGGTTGTAGTCGGCAATGCGGTTCAACTTTTCGACATCCACTGGAAGTCTTGCCCATGAGCCATCATCTTGCCGCCGAGACTGTATGCGCTCAACCGTGGTTAGCTCCACCTTCTCATGTGCACTGGAGATCATGTACACAGGTTTGCTGTCATAGATGCTGGCTACAACAACCTTGCCCTTCGATGCACGCTTGATGGTTCCCTTTACTTGCGGAAGGCGTGACTTGGTAACTACATCCTGCTTAACGTCACCTGGGACCCGGTTCTTGCGGATGGTGCCAGTGAAGAGGATGCCTCGGATGTGTAGTGGAATGATGGCAAAGCCCCTGTGACCCAACCCAAGCGGCCACACAACCAAGACGTTTTATTTAGCTTACATTTGTCTACAAGGAAAAAAGAGAACTGAAAAAAAGCCATGATCTCGGAACTACTCGTAGTAGTAGTAGTACTGCTTGACCTAAACCGGAACTAAATCGTACCCGCACGGTACGCAGCGCAGACTGCACGTACAGCAGAACATAACCATGATAACGCGACGCAGCTTGGAAAGCCAGCTAGCTAGCTATGTATGAAACAACGGACCGCAAGCATGACAGCGGGAAATGCAAAGGGCCAGTCGGCAACAGTACACAATGACGATTTATGCTATTGGGTATCATTCATGGCTAGACCTAACACTGTATGCACGTGACATGTCGCCAAGTTATTGTTCTAACCAGAGGAGTAATTGTCACCTTCAGCAGCATGGATCTAAGAGTAAGACTAAGACTGTATTCATCATCACACCTCCACCAGGTGACAAGTCTCTTTACGAGCAAAGACCGGAATACACTCGAAACGCTGTGAAAGGAAAAACCTATAGCATTTAGGAACACAACCTAGAATAATAGAACCACAGAACAAATGAACTACTGCACACCATCAGCTCCACACTCACGGAGCATACCTCCTTGGGGCTCTCAATGTATCTCGATTCCGGAGGCTTCGTCCAACTGGCTGATCATCTTCAGCAATCGGCAGGTCAAAGGCAATGGGCAGTTCGCCATTGCTGCTAGAACTGGCCTCCACCTGGTCGACTTCCGTTGACTCTGACTCAGCCTCGCCTGGATCCATCTTCAACAGATCAACATTCACGATCTTCGTGCCACCGCGACCGTGCGCAACGACGACCGTTGAGGATGCCACCACTGCCTCGACCACCCAACCACGCTCGTAGGGAGGCTGGCGCTTCTGCCGTCGGTCCTGGCGTCGCAACAGTACTGGATCTCCGGGCTGATAGGGACAAGCGACACGAGATCTCGATTCATCGATGGAGTCAGCTTGCGATAACTGGCCGTCTAAATAATCCCACACCCGGGCCGTCTGCATCTTCAGCTTGTCCACCCAAGCGCTCTCAGATAGCTCGCTGCCGGACTTCTCCACCACCAGGCGCTTCGGCTTCCAGCCATACATCGCCTCGGCCGGGCTGATTCGAGTGACACTATGCGGGCGTACACGGTACTTGAATAGCAGCAGATCAAGAGCCGCTTTCCAATCATCCTCTTCCTCCAACACCTTCCGAATCAAAGTGAGGAGCGTACGATTGAACCTCTCTACCGTGCCTTGACTCTGCGGGTGACGAACTGCACCATGCTGCACTCGAACTCCAAACGCCGCAAACAAAGCCGACATGATAGCGTTGACAAACTCGGTGCCGTTGTCGCAGCGCACAATCTCTGGTGGGCCCCACCGGGCACAGATGGACAGAAAGGCATCAGCAACACTTCGTGCATCGTGCCGGGGCAACGGAACGACTTCAGTCCATTTGGTAAATGCGTCCACACACACCAGGACGCAGTGGAACCTGCCATCACGACTGCCGCCGAGCTCCATGGTGTCGATGAACACGGTGTTCCACGGACCAGATGGCATGGCAGACCTCGTAGCTGGAACACTCTCGCCACGCTGCGGACTGGCAACAGCACAGGCCTGACACTTGCCAACAAAGTCCTGGCACTTTGCTGCCATTGAGGGAAAGAAGCACCGGCATTGCAGAAACCGCCAGGTTCCCTCCCAACCGGCGTGTCCAGTCTGAAGATGGGCTGCGCGCAACACTCTCTCCTCCAGAGACTCTGGGACTACTGGAACGACTTCTTCTTCACCAGTCGGCACCTTGAAGCTCCTCATCAGGACACCGTCGGCAACACAGAGTTGATTCTGGATCTTCTTGTAGCCAGCAGCGACAACTTCCTGTTCAGCTGTCTTCGCTGCAATCACCGCTGTGATGGCCGCATCACTTTCCTGTTCGCTGGCTATCTCTTGGAGCGACACAGGGCCAAGAGCAGATGGATCGATGCAGGCACCAGACACGCCGACGTCAAACTCGCCGACGCCTGACTGACCTTTCCAGTACTGGACGAGCTTCTCAGGAACTCTAGTCAGCTCGTCTGCCTTGTTGCTGGCAGATGGAACCCACTCCAGATCAACGCTGAGGTCAGCCGCTTTGATCAAGTCATCGATGATTTGGAGTCGCCGGTGAACCACCACCTTGTTCAGCCCACTGACTTTGATTCGCTTCAAGTGGCCGAAAAGCGAGCTCAGCCAGCCATGAACGGTCTTGGAGTCGGTCAAGACCTTCACCTTGCGCACATTCCACTCAACCGCCAAACTCAGGCCCTTGATGACCGCCTCGAGCTCTGATAGGTTGATGTGGCGAGTGTCGTTCTTCAGTCTCAGCCAGCATTGGTCCTCTACCACTCGGCCGTCGACTTCCAGGGCCACGCCATAGGCGATACTCGAGGCATCACACCAGATCTTCCAGGAGTGTTCCTCGCCGCTTGGAACGCTCCAAGCACCATGAACTGGGTCTTCCTTCAGCACCCGAGCCATGACGTCACGACACAACACCTGCAACTCTTCTGGAACCGGCTCATCCCATGCATCAGTCAGACAGGCCAAACGACGGAGCCAGCTTGACATCGGCCGCAGCCAGCGACACACAGGATAATGCGCCGTCAGGGCGCCACACCAGCGAAAGATGCTACGCTTCGTCAGCACAGCAGGAATATCAATGGATGTCGGGTCACGACGATCCCATCGCAGCTGGTCTCCCTCAGCATCAATCTTCAGGCCAAGCACGCACGCCTCCTCAAGCTTCACAGGCGGCTTCGTTGGTAGACCATACCGTTGCAGAGAGGCAGCCAGCTCCTTGGTCTGATGGCGTGGTGTCAGGATGTCATCCACATAGTTGTCAGTTGCCGGAAAGTCCTTCGTAACCCACCGGACAATAGCATCCATGACTTTTGGTGCGATTGAAAGGCCGAACCCCATGCGCTGCATGACAAACTTCTGACCTTTCCAAGCCACCACCTGAAACCGCTGCAAGGCAGGCTGTACACGCACGTTCAGGAAGGCCTTCCGAATATCCAGGATATCCATAGCATCGCCGCACTGGCGCCATTTCCGAAGCTTCTCTTCACATGCTGGTGCATCCAGGCCCGGATGAGACACAATGAGACTGTTCAGCGCGCGATAATCCAGACAGGGGCGGACCGGAGTGGACACTTTGTGCTCTTGACACACTGCCAGCAGAGGCAAAACACCGCCAATCTCGCCGTGCGAGCCTTCGTCATAAGGAACTAGCCATCCTTGATCAATCCAGTTTTGGACCTCGGTGACGAACTTCACCTCCTGATCATCCGATAATCCTTGGCGGGAATACTCGCCGATGCCTGTACCGATAGGTGAACTTGGAGCAGCTCCGTCGCACCATTTCCAAGTGACTTCCCAGAAGCCTTTCTCGGGGTCGAACATCACTTCACAGTCACTCATCTCCAACGTGACCTTGTCTCCATCCTGTCGGACCTGAACGTGGCGTGGCAAGTGCTCTTCATTGCTGATCTTACTCTCGACTGCAGCCACGACTGGCCTCGTTCCGAACACAGCACCAGTTAGCTGGCCGTCACTCTCTGAATACTCCAGAGCAACACCACCGGCCGATGAGATCACGTCAAGACCAATCAGCATGTCAGAGCGAACCACGTCCAGAGAATCAACTACCAGAAACTTGGCCTTGATTTTCGGCAGGTACACA